TCGATGGTGACGTACTGCAGAGAGAATTCGTCTGCTGGAATGAGTGCGTTTATGCTTGGAACAAAAGAGGAGTGCGGTGCCGATAAATCGATAATGAGACGTTTTTTATTAGAATATTTGTGAATAGCAATACCAATAGGGTTAGTGCGCCAGGAGGAAAACGGTGAAGAGGTGAAAGGACCGATCATGAAACCGTTTGTGGTTTCTGCGGAAATGAGAGTGTCTACAGCGACTGGGTCTAAACGTGCAGACTGGAGATTAGGACATTCTAGTGTACCTGGGGGAATGGCTATTATGCCTGTGTGAAACCCTTGTGAGAAACCTGTGGTGAGAAAATCCACTAAGTGCCTGCTGGGGTGACACCTTAGATAAAAAACCAGGTTGTCGATATTTATGTCGGTTAGTCATTTGTTTGGTGACAACCTGGCTGGACACATGGTCTTGGTATGTGCCCTGAAACATATGGAGCAGATGTGCAATAATCTACAGGCGCTGAAACTGCAGGAGCCTGCGTTGAAATTATTGCACACCTGTGCTTTACCTAAAAAGGAGATGGGCCTACCCAGCTTATCCCGGAGACCACCCGCTGGCTTGTGAGGGGTGAAAGAGGAGTGAGGTGTGAACGTGGGGTGAGGGGTGAGAGTGGAGGTGGTGGGATCTGGTTCGACGGGACATAAGTCCGCCATGTGGGATGTGGAATTACAGATGGCACAAGCCGGGGGCCTGAGTCCGGCGAAGTGGCGACAGAAAAGTTCAGTGTCCATCTGACCCCAGTTCATTCTAATGTTGAACTGCTTGAGATGGGTCGCCGCCTTCGCTGAGACTGACTTGTGGTAGTCATAGAAGGAAGAGCCCCCGTACTTGATGCCTAGATCCACTACCTTGTGGAGATAGAGATCTAGCTCTTCTCTCCTATGGGGATACACCGTGCAAATGACGTCGCGGTATATCCCGAAAGCTATCACAAACTGTGGGATAGACAATTTTTATTAAGCCTGGGATCCCTCGTTTTAAGCACAACAGAGATGTCACCATAATTGTATGCCTTGTTCTCGAGTACATCCTGAGAGGCTATGAGTAAAGACACCAGACACACATCCTTCCCGTCAAGGATATCTTTCCTGATAGAATCTGGGACGGAGTGTGCTGGTGACTCGAAAGGTGTGATGGCTGTGCCAGGTGCTGGAGGGGGGAGTATAGAGGGACATGAAGGTATGGCAGGTACAGCCGTGGTAGAGACTGGGACTACGGTGTTAGTACCTGAGGAGGAGATGGCGCTCTCCACTTTAGACAGCCTGCTATTGAGGGCCTGTAGATTGGCCAAGATATCTGCCAGGGTATCCTGGGTGGCCGTGCTGTTACTTGGTGGTTGTCCTTGAGAGCTAGTTCCCGGCCGAGGCTCGGGAACTTGGTGGCAGCCTGTAAAGTTCTGCCTTTCTAGCTGTGGCCGGAAAGGGGATTCCCCTGAGCCTAAGCTCGGCTGTGATTTTGGGAATAGTCCATGCTCTCAAGGACGTGGGGGTTGAAAGAGTGAGTGATTCGCCTGGAGACACGGGTCTGATTGGCGTGAATGGTGCTTCTTCTGTCAGTTCTTCGGTTGGAATTGGTTCTTGGGACATTCTAAAAAGGAATGATTATGTGAAAGATATATTAGAAGGGGAGTGAGGTAAGAAAGGGGGGGGGGTATGGGGAGTGGTGTGTCTTGAAGAACTGGACTTTAATGCTAGATGCCGAGGCGAAAAACTTAACTGTTGAATGACTGGATAGGTGAGGCCCTGCTAATGCCAAGTGGCGATGAGAGGCTCTACCTATGATTTGGCTTATGACGTAGGTGCCACAGACGTGGTGGCGGGATGTTGGCCTCTCGGTGACGATAAGAGAAATCAAAACGTGTGGCCGTGACAGGTGAGGCCCTAACTAGAGCCCTGTAGTAAGGCATGCGAGGCTTATAACTATGATTTGGGCGTGGGGCCGTACCTCCGTGTTGAGGTGGGGTGGGGGTGGTAGGCCTCGCGGGATCAGATTTCCTGATAGGGTGGGCTAAGGCATTAGCCTGTGCCGTATAGCCAGTTCGATAGTATGCTAAAGGGTAAAGTTAGAGGACTGGAATGGTGTGTGGATACTAACCTTGACTGGTCGCAAATGGTATCTGGAGCCTCCTGGTAAGTGTAGAGAGTCTTGTCTTAAATGTTGTCTTTGAGGAAGAATCCTGGGGGTTTAAGACAGATGTTGATGTGTTTATACGTATCGTGATGTCGTATGAATAGTATAGGGAGAAGGTTTGTAAGGGGCACGACGTGAGATCCTGCATTGAGGGATCTGGGAGGTTTAGGTGTAGGAATGGGATGATTTTGGATATGAGTGAGAAGGCAGAATGAGGCCTTGGGGTAGCGAATGGACGTACTTGAGTAAGGATGTAAGTACCTGAAGGTATGGCTGAGTACCGTGTCAGGTTTTGGTGTCTTCTTGAGCCTGGTGGCCGTATGACCGAAAGTCTGTGTAGACAAGTAGTAAAGAGATAACGTATCCTGGGCGTAAGCCTGAGGGAAGGTAGTAATGGAGTTGAGACCGCGTGAGGTCTAGTATTGAAAAGAGAGTGAACTATACCTTTGTTTAAAGTACAGAGATTGTTTAATCGTGGCAGGTTAACTGCGTAGAAACGGTGGAAGCTTAGATTAATACAAGGATCTAAGGGTTTAACCAAGACAAATTCCATAGTTAGCAATAGGTGTGGAGATAATTGATAAAACCTGATAACTCAAGGTGATAAAAAACCATACCTGTTCCTGTAATAAAAGGACCTTGAAATAACAACTTTTAATGCAGAAAAGCAAGAGACCGATGCAATCTGTAAAAGCCAAAAGATGTGACAGCGTGATTTATGTGCAAGGAATAGTACGGATTATGTGTAAAGGGTATAACTTGAAAATAGTGTTTAAAAAGACTTATCTGAGTGTTATAAGGAAAGAATGGTATAGCTTGAATTTAGACACGTATGAAGTTATGAATCGTGGTGAACATTATGTTTATTACAGAAAAATACTTTAAATGGTTTAACAAGGTAGAAAAACACAGGGCTGGTAGTTAACCATATAATGTAACCGCAAACTCATATGAAGGAATAAATAATAGTAGGACTGTGATTAGAACTTATGCAAGCTTAGCTTAAAAGAATAGAAATAACCGAATGTAAATTAGTAAGATGGTGTACGTGAATTTGACCATACGAATAGGTTGGTGCAGAAATAACCGAACGGAAAAGTGAATACAGATAATAATGAGCTTAAACATGAAATATTTATTCGGTTGTTTCCGTACGAAAAAGCATAAAATGATAGCGAAATGAGCCGAACGTTCGTGCGTTTTTTTGGCGCGAATGGAGATATTAACGAAAGCGTGTATTCGTGAAAATGCGAAAGAGGGAGCCTACCCCTACGTTTTTAGGCCCGAACGGCGGGGAAATAGCGAACGCTAATTCCCACGCCTTGCTTACGTGAACGCGCCGGTCTCGTGACCGGAAGTCGGGTACCTCGACCGGAGGGAAACGGAGTGGAAGGACCTCGGACGGACGGAGGATTGCACAGGGCGTCTGGCTGCTGGAAACAGGTACAGTTCTGGCGGGAAGCTGGACCGGAAGTGCTGGTTGCTAAGGACAATCAGCTGAGCGGCAGCGGTGAGTAGGGGCTGGGAGCTTAAGTAGGGGACTTACTCCTCCCACAAATTCAAGCCTAATGGCCTTTCTACATACATACATACATATATATATATATATATATATATATATATATATATATATATATATATATATATATATATATATATATACACACACACACACACACACACTATATACATACATATATATACACACACACACACACACACACACACACACACACGGACAATTACCTCAATCCTTAAGTAAAAACATAAGCTGCGAATAGAGAAAACATTTCCAAGGCATACTTGCCTTTTTACCTTTGATTGAAGTGTGAAAAAGGTTGGGAGCCTCGGATCTAAAGTAAGAACTGTCCTTAATTTAAAAATTAACTTGCACATTTTAGAACAAAATAAAAAAAAATTAAATCTAAGTTATCTATGTTTTCAGTTTAATTATTTTAGCCTAAAAGTGGATAACCCTGACAATAACACCATTTCATCTTAAAATCTGATATTTACCTTGAAATTCCCCAAATTCACGAGTTAGTAAATAACCCCCGACAGATTTGAAAGCAAAACATTTCAGACACATCTTGCAAGGGACATCTATATAGGGAACAGCAATTCTTGTTGGTTTTTCCCATCCCACAAAATGAGATTTTTTAAATCAGATTTATTAAAGTGATCTAAACTGGGTTTTCTTTATAATAAATTCTGCCAGTTTCTGGAGAAATAGATTTGTTACAGAAGACCGCCAAGTTTAGAATGGCAGTAAAAAGAGAAAGTGAAACCCATCACTTTAAAGTCATAAAACAGTGTGGTGGAAAATTCATAAATCCATTGAGTCTGTAGGAAACAAAAATCCATATATTCAAAAATGATGGATAGGGTACAAAATCCTACCCCCCGGCCCCCCCAAACAAAAATTCCATTGGTTTGAAAAATACACATAAAAATGTCAACACAGATAAATATCCCCCATGGCTCAATTGCAGAAAAGCCTGTCACAATAATGTGATGATGCATAGCCCTTGCAAGGACGTTGACTTCTTACCTTTTCCACAATGTCTCCCGAAATGTGTGGCTAATGAAAGTTGTGCATGACGACACCCCAGTGGAATTATACCTCCGGCAGCAGAAAAGTTAAATTCTGTACGTGTGGCGTTTTATAGAGAAATGTTGTACATACAGACTCCAATCACTGAAGTGGTAATGGTAGTTTGAGTAACCTTTTAATACAAGGTGGGCAAGGATGTAAACCTAATAGCGCAGACTTAAACATTTCACAAGTAATCCAATTACAACATACCTTTGAAAATAAAGAAACCGAACAACTGGAGTCTTTCACTAATATAATTCTTTAATTATATTCCAAGACAATTTTACAGTATTTGCAACCGATTTGTCCTGTAAAATCAACTGAATCCAGTAATACTCTTAAAAAGTTACAGAATTGTCATGCAAATAATTGGTTTACATTTATGCACATCAGTAAACGAGATATATAGCTGTACAATATTTACACATTAAAATTACATTTTAACGCAAATAGAAACATTCTGAATTTACTAAAAATAAATAAGATTGATACAACGCCACATTTTTACTGTCATGTCCGGTCTACGAGTGACCCGTTTGCATAATATTATACATTTATTTATTTATATATTTTACAGTAGAGCAGTTGCTGTACATTGCTTTGTCTAAAATACAAATGTTTTATTGTAAAAGCACAACAGGTTAAATGGCATAGAAAAATGTACCAGGGTTTAGTTGTGTTAGAGTGCAAGATTCAGGCCAGCTGAATCTTGGGGAAAAAATGACTATCTTTTCATGTTACGATGCAACAAATGCAGTTTCAAAAATGAACAATTTGACCAATGGAAATGCTGGTAAAACATATCGCATGCTGAAGAGAAATTTGAACGTAACAGTCTTAAATTCTTAGAGACGGACCGGAGTAATGCAGTATAAAATTGCTTAGAATGAACATGTTTATGGTGTGATCTTTATTAAGGTTTGTTTTGACGGTAACAGTGGAAGCCTGGATAGGTTACAGGGTTATTATCTAAAGTAAATAGTCTGGGATTTTACATTTTGTTCTAAAGCAGCCAAGCTGGAAATAGTCTCCAAGTGAGCTATATTTTTAGTTAGGCTATTTTAGCGTAGAATTTGAAATTAGCTAGATTCACGAGAATTCACTTCTTACTTCAGTAACAAATGCTGATGGTATGAACTTTGCGTTTGCACATACGTTTATAGGGAACTTATAACCTGATTTAACAGGAAAAAAATGCAAAAAATAAAACACAGCTTTATTTATAACTCCTGCATGAGCAAGCTTACAAATGGTGAAACATTACTACAGAAATTGAGAACCTTATTTTGCAAGTGTCTGGCTATTAGCAGCTACACAAATATATATTCAGTGACTGTATAGACTTATGTAATTAAAGGGAGGAATTATACATTATAAAATCAATGATCAAATAGTGTAATGTAGAATGAATAAGACAGTCGTAAACATGGGTTTATTAACTAACCCATGGCCAAATACCTAAACTTGAGGTGTTCAATGATTACATCTAAATTTGTGAAAATCAGAGGTCAGTTCACTGCCATTCATTGTTTAATGAAGAACTCAAAAAGGTTTTATAAGGCATTATTAAAAAGAATACATCATACACATTTTAATGATAGGTTCCCTTTAAAAATAATTCTATTGTGTATTATCTATATTGAAATTCAGCCCATTTCATTCAGGAGATTCTAGTTCTAAGAGAATGGAGACATATCACATTGTGCATAAGGAAGGGTAGTGCATAAGATGCTCTCTATCCTCCTGTATGAAGCATTCACATGCTGCACTAGGAAACCTTATTAATTAAACAAGGCGATTCATTTGTGTGGCCTTTGATTCATTTCACCTATGCAGCATGGGAATTCTACACATTCATCCACTGCACTCCACATGCGTCCAGTAAAATACGGTGAATCTGGTAACCCTTAGATCTGCGGCATTAGGAAGTAAGAAAGATTTGTAATAAAACATAAGATTTTATAGGACCTTATCCTCTATATTACTTCTGATCTTGGGAATAGAGTGCAACAGTTCTGGTGATCACACTGCTCATGAAATTACAGGAGGAAAACAGAATGGCTATTTTATTTAGAAAGATTTCCAGAAAAATATGATAATAACAGGCTTTCATCACCCTGCGGAAGTGGCAAAGGAGTGAGAATTGTTGATGGATTAATACAGGGTATTCAAGAAAAAAAATGGAGAAAAAAAAAATTAAATTTATTTTCCCACAATTATTCTTATTTTAAGGCAAAAGTAGAATAGATTTTTTTTTTTGCGGAATAAACACACGTTAAATTAGTGCTATTTGCCATCTGAACGTACAAGACACGGCTATATGAATTTGAAAAATCTAAACACGCCTTTTAACTCGTCTGGCAAAACATGGGAGCAAAGGCTTCCATTCAGCTACGGGACAGAGAAACCTCATAAATCCTGGGACACAAATGTCAAAAAAGTATATTTTATGAAGGAAAAATCGTAGCAGAGGCCACTTTCTACCAAACCGAGCCTGTTCATACAAGTTTTATAGGTCTGTAGACTTTAGAATTAAATATTATGAGAATACGAGAATGCATAGCTGTGAATAAGGCAGCTAAAACAAACTCAGACCTGTACAATCTCTAGGAAAAAAATAAAAATAAATCAGGAGCCCATACAGAACTGTGCCCATAACGAACACGTATGGGCTTTATAGGGGCAGTTACGTTAAGGCAAAATTGTTTATAATTTTACAGTAACATACAGTAAACATCTTGCGGCAGTACTAGACTGCATTTGTCCTATTTCCTGATAAAGACAGAAAAAGAATATGTATTTGTACAGTGCTGCTATAAAAAAAAAAAAAATGCACATTTTTCCACCAATAGTGATAAAATACATTGATTAGCACTTTATCAGCACAGACCAATTCCTGCAGCAAGGAGTATATTTTATGTACTATGACAACGCCGAGCAGTGCAAGACAGGTACATTTAGCTTATAGATTCCATAGAAGAAAAGGTTTTTCTTCTGAAACTACATTCAGAAACAGCTTTTCTCCTTGTAGACAGCGCTAGAACCCTGAACATGGCTTTATCCCCCCCCTTAAGGACCAATGGTATTTCACATCATCAGCAGACTCTGGTCCCAGAAGACAGGACGCCAGGATGGAGTGTCCTACTTGTTTAGAATTGCAGATCTATACAGTATTGAATGTGTTGGACATTCCATTTCGATACAGGAACATTAAAGGCTGGTTTGTTACAATGGATATTTTCTGCCCTTGACAATTAAGTGGTTAAGATTTGTCTTGGCAGAATCAAGGAGCAGAACTCAGATGATGTACTGACAGAAGCTCCGTGTGACCTGCTCACAGCAAAATAGGTCTGTAATATTTACAGGATTACTGTAGAAAACGGGCACCATGCAATATTAAACTTGCAACCCATCAGATAGAATATAGATGTATATAAACTAATATATTTATATAGTACCGTCTATTTAGCTGCCACTCTAGGAAATATACATTTGCAAATACTTAAACAGGATTTATATAACATAAAGCAGACATTCTATTCATTTGGAATAAAGGTGTTAATGTGTTTTGGAGGCAAATCTCATTCCAAATGAATGGAACGTTAATTATTTACATTGGGGTAGTTATCATTCCGCTTTACACATGACTGAGAAGTGTGGACTTAAACATAGTATCAAAGTAAAAAAAATAAAAATTATAAACACAAAATGCTAAAAACAGCCCAATGATTTCCTAACAGTGCTAGCTTCTCAAAGTCCGTAAAAATACCATTAATAAGATCTGGTGTATTTCTTCTCGGTAAAGGTCATGAAACATCCTGGTTATTAAGAGGCCCATGAACTAGGGGGGATGTTGAGATAGACAATGCTCATTTTTTATTTGCAATTCTTCTCTTTCTTGTTGCCAGCATATCGTAGAAAGGATCCTTGCTGATGCTTGCTCTACAAAATAAAGAAGGGGAAATTCTTATTAAACAGAATTTGCTGGGACAATAAACCTTTACGATCACTTGGAGAGCGCGTCACAGTAAGTTTTGGGGTTTTCTCAAACTCAGCTACTTTGAGCTAAGGTTTGCACCTCATCACAGCCCATTTTACAGGATAAATGAAAATTTATTTAGGTAGTCATCAATGTGTAAATTGTCAGGACTTGAAACTGAAATTCAAAATTTAGACTAAAAGAACCAAAATCGAAAAAACTGACTTGAAAAAAAAAATAAAAATAATATTTTTTACAACCCCTGGTAACGCTTTTGGAGAAATGTAAAATAAATAAATAAATCATACCAAAACCAAATAATCCAGTAGAGACAACAACAGGCTATGCAGAAGTAAGTATGTTTTTGTCTTGTACTGAAAGGGTGGATAAGAATATCATTTCACAAATAAATCTCCCACAATGTTTCAGATACGGGTGTGATCTCTACACAGCTCCTCGTAGTTTGTTATGGTACCAGGACGGTCCTCATGCCTCCCATGGTCAGTAGTTAAACCATTTTAGCTTACTGGCCGAGATTGATAAGCTGATGTTCTCAGCCAATGTGCGCTTTGCACAAGAGAGCAAATAGAAGCTGCTACATAAGTGCTTCCAGCTCTGCATCATTAGTAGTGAAGGTGGGTAGCAATGGGAAGAAGTCAATCTGTTCTAAAATGGTTTGACTACTTACAATGTAGGGACGGCAGGGCACTTCTGGCACCATAATCACTACAGCAAGCTGCAGTGGTTATAGTGCTTGGAGTGTTCCTTTAACCCATTAAGGACACATGACATGTGTGACATGTCATGATTCCCTTTTATTCCAGAAGTTTGGTCCTTAAGGGGTTAAATAGGGAACTTTATTCAACTAACTCAGATTTGTGTTGAGTTGAAAACCAAATTGCAAAATGTAGTAAAAAATAAACAAAAATAAAGGTATTTGGAAAAATGCGTTACTAAATTCGCCCTGTGGTTAATTTAGCCTAAATATTGCAATTCAGTTTTAATTTCAACGCAGCATTTAGAGAGAAAACCCCTGCGTGATTCTAGTCAATGTGTCACACTAGTGTCCCTTATGGTCCATGCCTTGAGTATTGTGGCCAGGAGTCCGACTAGATTCCAAACAATATCACTCACTTAATGGATTTGATCCATTCCTCCTTTTCTTCAGGGGTTGGTGCAGATATTCTGTACACAACATGGTTACCCTCGACCACACGGCCATCAGCTTCGGTTTTACAGGCTTTGATGACTTGTCCTTTGTGACTTGGATTGAACAGCTCAAAGCAATTCTGTGTTTAGAGAAAAAATAAACACAAGATCAAAGCGCTAATATGTCAAAATGCACAGTATTTAAATAGTGACCATCCAACAAGCTGTTTCGCAACCACAATAATAGATATTTGTGGCTACGTTCCAAAATTATGTTAAAACGTCCAGATACTGAAATAAACACAAACACCACGTATCTAGAGTATGTTTAAATAAAAAAAAAAAAAAAAAAATTAAATGTGGAAATGTTTCTTACAGGTTTTCGAGGATCTTCAACTTCTCGAATACTCAGATTTTCCAAAGGAATTATTCCTCTTGGCTCTTTATCCTGTTAAAACAGACATGCAGGAAATAAGACTTTGTACCGTTCACATCAGTAATAATTGCAACAGGCCATGTACCTCTGCTAGCAGCTAGGGTCCAAGAAGAAAAATAAAATGTATTTTCTACCAGCAGAGGGAGACAGAGGACTAGGAGAGAAAGCATAATGCAGAAATTGCCTTCTCATCTGGCAACTTTTAAAAATGATAATTACAAAAAAAAAAGCCTTTACACACAGATATGGAAGTTTCCTTGCGAGAATTAAATTATATTAATAATGCACACATGGGAAAAACACAGTTATTGGAATTGTGTTGTGCCAATGGTAGGACAGGGACGGTTGTGTGTATTAATTGTTAAAGGGTACAAGGTACTTACTGTTGTGTATTCAAAGTAATACAGACAGTTATCTGTCAAGATAAACCACCTTCGTTTCCACGTTTTAACTCTTCCTCCTAAAGAAACAAAGCATCGGCTCATTAGAAATCCCTTCAATGGCTCATTCCCATAATGCCCTTCAAACACGCACTTCTGCATTTAAACTTTGAATTTCTGGGCCGCGAAAATTCCTTTGGAGCAGACCGTACATTAGATCTGCAAAACAATTTGCTGAATCCCGATTTTATCAGGCCGTCAAAATATACATAGTAACGTGTGAAATTAATCTTTTCAGGTACATTAAAAAAAAAATTAACCAATCCCAGACCAGAACACTTCGACGTCAGGGAATTACTGACGTGAGATTTGATAGATCGAGAGAGATAGAATATATCTTTTATAGTTCTGCACTATTACATGACGCAAGAACTTGCTATGTTAAAGAAAGGATATCGGGTGCTTTCAATTAAATGAGATCTACACACACACACACAAAATATTTAAAGTTAGATATAAGCATTTGTTATTTGGAAAACGTGGCCGTGCTATAAATTTAACTGAAAGCGCCGGATGCTAACATTTCTTTAACACTGCAAGTTCTTGCATCATTTAATAGCGCATAAATTTTTTTTAAAAAGCAATCTTAAATGAAATGTCATTCAGACACAATGTCATAATTAGCATACTAAGATTAAGTCTAGAAAATCGTGTTGTCTATATATTTTTGTTTTTATCAAATATTTCCATATTATTTGAGGTCGAGGATTCTTTGAAATAGTTAGAGAGGTTTTTTGTTTTTTTTTATTCATGATATATTAGAGGCCCCTCTCTAGTCAGAGGAGATCACTTTGGTGGACAAATCGAATTAAAAGAGACTTGGGAAGGAGGCAATGCTAATCGAGGACAACTGCAAAAACAAAACTATTAAAAAAATAAATAAAATAAAAACAAATGTCTGGACACAACAGTGAAGATGACGCCAAAAATAATCAGCCAATGGAAATGCAGAGCCAAAGGGTGAATTTTTAAGCATGGGTGTTTAAAGCTATGGGAACTCATGCTCCTTGATGTCAGAAAGGCTAAGGATAAAAAAAAACAATTGCTTCTTAAAAATCTGCAATTTGTTTTTATTTTTTCTGCCCAAGAAATTGTGTTTTTACCAGGTTATTCTGGTATTTGAAGGGCGTTTTTGTTATTGTATGCTGCATCCATTACCCACAGCCTAATCTAGTTAGAAGGTAATGTCATTACAAATAATGATGTTAAGAAGGTATTACATGAAACCAGAAATTGCATTATATTCTTCACCTATGAGTCACCGTTAAAACCCCCATCTACAAGTCTTCAGCGAGCACCAACCTAGCCTGTGCACACATTAAAATCAGTCTCCCCTGCACAATTAGCCACATGTTTACCCTGACAGCGACCAGGTAGGTAGATTGGTTTCACTACTGCGTGTGCGGAGTATTTAAAGAAACACTAAGCCGTAAAAGATCTATTGGTGTTAAAAACTTTTACTTTTCCTGCTCCCCAGCCAGCCATGATCTCTCTGTACATGAAAGATACCGGACATTTTCCATTAAAAAAAAAAACCTAAAGAATTACTTTACTTTATAGACATTAACTTGCTTCCCCCAAGTGCGCAGCCAAATGGGTTGGTCATGATGAAGAGGGCAAGAATGGCACCTGTGCCAATAACAATTATTGCACTTGTCACAAGGTCAATAATAAAACTTACAATGAATATTTAAAAAATAAAAATATCACAATCCAAGGCAATCACCTTTGAAAAGTCAAATTAGCAGTTAGCCATTTTACCAAAGGGCAGGCAACCAAATTTTAAAACATTCTAAGTTATTATGAAGAAAACTGCACTAAAAGTGTAGCAGCGGGATGTTCTTGAAAATAGCTCCAGTTATAGAATGTTGTCCATTAACTGTATTTAATGAATTAGCCAAATTGATGTGGATAATATTCGGAGCTACTGGTAAGGATTTAAAAAGTTAAAATATGCCTCCCAGCAATTAGTACTCAGGTACATTGCTAAAACAAAAAATAAAAGTACTAATACATTTTACAGCCAATATACTTGTTTAATTATCTTATCAGAAAACTGACAGTACAATTTTTGGAAAAGCAATTAAAAGACTACAAAAGTAACTTCCGCTTCAGTCTCCATACACACTTTCTAAAATAAGTCTACATTTATTAGCTTCGCTTATTGCCAAGTGTTCAGAATTTCTCAAATCATGCTCTTAATTGTCTGCAGCAGCCTTCTGTAGGTGGTTAAAGTCCAATTAACAGAGCAAGAGATAAGACCTTCTAAAGTAAACACATTGCGCTGTAAAATGAAACCACAATGTCTGCATAAACAAAAGGATTTAACTCAAATACAGCAGACAAATAAGACTGCAGGGGCGCGATTTATACACCAAAACTGCTGTCATTAAGTTGTTTTGAATATCCTTTGAGGAATACAGTTCAATACAGAATATGTTGATCTGAATGTGAGCACACTTTCTGATAATTCCAATTCCTCAGGATTACTTGAGAATATTGATTGTCAATCAGCAGATCCCCTTGGTTTTATATTGTCCCTGAAGAACAGAAGGCAATCACAGAAAGCAGGGCTTATTTGTTAACAGGCAATTGTCCTTCAAGCAACACAACACAAAGGCACTAAAGGACACTCGACAATCTCTCTCCTTAATGAATAGCTGGTCGCTTGATGCCACTATTCACTGAGGGGGAAAATGGCATTCAGATTTCAAAAACAAAACCCAATCTATTACCAACACTCACAGGATGAGATTGGGCAGGTCTAAAAATATATCAGTTTAAGAAAAAAATATTTTGCTGCACACATCATGCAGACAAAACTAAGGACAGCCCTACCTTAGCCCCAACCATAACCTGATGATGCCAATGACATAATCCAAATTTATATTATTTCATTGGAAGATAGAGTTTTCAGCCTGACTTTCATTAAATCTATAGCAACAAGTGTGCCAAGTCATGTGAGGTAGTGGTGTCCGTGGTGCACAGCATAAAAGTTTCTGGTTTGGTACAGAACTGAAATAGTCAATATGTAGGCTGTCAACTAAGGAAATACCATTTTAAAAGGTATTTAAAAGAAATTTAAAAGAACAAACTAGTTTTCCTGGCACTATATAGGTTTGTTTGTTGCATCAATTTTAATTAGGTCTGTGAAGCAATACCCCATCACTTGGTTCAGCACATTTCATTTCCTTTTTGTTCGTTTATTTGTTCGAACCCACCTGGTTTGGTTCCCGAACGAGGACCACCCCAACACCTCATTAGAATATGGAATACAAAGTATCCAGTACAAAAACCACAATGGAAACAATAGAATGCTCCCCTGGATGGCCAAACGCACCGAACACATGTGGTCAACAGAATGGATGGTGGTCATTTTGACTCCAGAACGCAGGCAGTGGTACTTGGTCATAGAGTGCCTGGAACTTATTGCGGCCAGGCACTTCCGCGAACACTGGTGAAGATGGAACTGCTACACGTTCAAGTTCCCAACCACCCATACAAACAGCGTTTGTGAGATACGTACTACCGATTTGGGGGGGGGGGAGGGGCATTCGACACTTGAAATCCTTCGTATGTTGTATGTGTTTTTCATACAAAATCTCTCGAACTGAGACCGGCCCTTACCATGATTCCTCTGGAACTATTTTCGGCTTACACCGCGTGGCTGGCCGGTCAAAACTTTCCCTCGATGGCAACTACAAACTACAGAACTGATCTGAGTGCTTTTTGGGTATGTTAAGCACTCAGATCAGGGCTATTCGGGGATGTGCGGGCATAAGGGGACCTATAAGCACATGTGGTGGGACTGCCACGAAGCAAAAACCTTCTGGGTGGGGGTGCGGAGCTTGCTAGAGAGGGTGTAACAAAGACAGATCAACATAGACCCGTGGGTGTTCCTTCTATCCAGACCAATAGATAACTGGCCGAGAACGGAACAAAAATTGTTAAACAAAATCACCCTAGCAGCTAGACAAACAATGGCACAGAGCTGGCTCAAGCCGGATATTCCCCAGATTAACACAGTCATAAATAAGATAAAAGACGCCCACGTAATGGACCGACTAACAGCCCAAATCAGGGGCACACTAAAGGCACACAAAAAAGTATGGGAACTCTGGACGGCTGGGGACTGGGGAGACTAGGAGAAGGGAAGGAAATAGAGACATTATACACACACTCACATGACTAACGCACATCCTACTCCCCACCCAATGGCCAGGGAATCATGGTACCTGGGATGGCACCCGCCAGGCTAACAAACCTCCAAGAGACCGGCAAGCTGATAGGACAAAAAAGAGCATGAGAACCAGCAAACTCCGCTTTACTCCGACCCAACCACGAGAAAGACTTTTTCCTCTCTCTCTCTCTTTTCTCTCCTCACTACCTCTCTGTTCCTAAACTCTCCAGGGGGAGTAAGCCACCATGAAAAGGTACAAGTCTACCAAACGGAAGTAGACCACTAGACACCGTATGCATCCACAATAATTCTCCTGGAAACAGTGGATTGTTAATTGTTAAATGTTAATTGTTGAAGGTGAAGAAGTATACAAATTGAGATAATATGAAGTCGTCAGTACGCAAGTAATTTTTCACAGGGACAAGGTGGCATATCAATGTGAAACTGACAATGTTTGTACTTACTTTTCTGCCCTTTCTGCTATACGCAATGCATATTTGCTTCTAAAAAAGTACATTGTAACTCACCTACTAACCAAAAATAAAGAATTAAAAAAAAATAATAATATGGTAACATACAATTTGTATATATTGCCAGGTGAGTGCCTTGTCCACAACAGATTTTCTGGATAAACTTTTTTTTTTTTTTTTTATCTTTTAAATAAACAATACAAAATAGAGAAACAGTGTAAATGTGTCCTTTTTCTTTGAAACGTCACATATTTAAAAGTTGTGGATTCTGTCAAAGCGACGTATATAAAGCTAATGGTTAAAACAGTCTCCTTAAGCCTTGTTTGTGCTAGACAGACCTGGCAGAACAGTGAAAGAGGTGGGCTCTGGAGCAGTATAATCTTTTATCCATTAGGGACTCTGCTGACAGATGTTTCCGCTTGGATTTGTTTTTATGGAAGGTCAGACTTAACTATTTCCTAGCTACAAAACAGGGGGAAAAAAAATATATAATTTTTAAATACTATAAATGCTGAGAAGGTAGAAGAGATTGAACACCACTTTGTTACAGTGCAGTCTTTTTAACCAAATCCTTATAGCTGTGCCTGGAGATTTGGATCCATTCTAAATATTGTATTAATGGGGCAGTCTAAGCACCCAAATCACTTTGGTGATTAAACAACGTTACTGAGAAATTGCACCGTTTACATTTTGCCGTTTTCACATCTAGTACTGGCTGTCATTCATAAAGGGCTTCGGACTAAAAAGATTCAATTACGGATTCCATTTTATGCCCAGTGTCAGCATGGACAGTAATCTGGGTGCATTCACGGCTTCTCTGTGAAATGCACTGGTTTCAGTGGTTTTAATAGAGAAATCATGAGATGGTAGATAGCAGTAATTGCTTTATTTACATTCACTGTCCTCAGGGCTTAAATAAAAAAAAATAAAAAAAAGGGGGTGGTAATTTAAAACAGTAACAGATCTAATGGTTTTGTTTGTTTGTTTTAAAAATACAAAGTGGATTGTCAAAAAAACAAAACCAACAATGAACAGAAAGGACTGTTGATTTCTTTAGATCAAGTGATTTTCATTATTTTTTTGATAATGCAGCGGCTGTGGACTATGTTTCCCAAGATTCTAAGCATCCAGTCAACAACAGCTGCAGTGCCAACTATTAGCCATCAGTAGTATAATCATACTACGTACACTTCTTATGCGAAAACAGAACATTGAGATCAACCAATTTTATAAAAAGAGGAACGTGCCATTGGTTTTCATGGTGACTGCACCAATTTCACAGCAGTGCCACACAAATGTTCTATTTATAAATCACCCAAATATGTTGCCAGATCAACACAGTCCCTGTTTGGAAGAGCTCACCCAGTCGCCATCATTCTCCCTATGTCCCCTACTGCACGACCCAGTCTTTTTACCACCTGTAAAACTCCCAATATGAAAACATAAGCATGATGTAGTCCAGTTCAGTTTTTTTGATGCGGTCATGCTCAAACGGCTGAAAATCCAAATTCACAGAAGTAACATTTTATTTTTTATTTTTAATAAAAGTCTATTTTCAGAATAAAATATTGAAAGAAACACATTTATGCAAGATTTGGGGTTTATGAGCAGAAAAGAGCACAGTTTAAGAGAGTGAGTTTTCCTCTAAGCAAATCAGCTTTGTATTCCAGAAAACGTAGTGTATCAGATTGTATTCTAGAAATCCAAGCCAGAGACACTGCAGGTACCCCAAAGCATTCCTACTACTAGAAGTCAGTACTACTAAAATCAGTAAATATGGATTAAAAGAAGAACTATCTGCAATATGGGTTTAGAAGACACCATTTAGTTACGTGGGCCAAATTTTTTCTTAAATAATAACTTGCCAATGCACAATTAGCCACAGTTAGTTCATTACCAAATACTCGACCTTTTGAAAAGAAGAACCATAACAAATTCTTATAGAATAACCACTTTTGGAAAGCACAACTGGATTAATTGTAAGGCACCATGAAGATACTTGGGCAAATATGGCCTCCAATCACCATCCCTATATAAAGACTAAAAAAGGGTTGGGGGTGCTTATGGTCCCTGTGGAATCATAATCCTTAACCTGTGGGGAGCAGAGTCTCCAAAGGTCTATAACGGTTCGAAATGTTCAGGAAGTACTCTCTGCTCTGCTGCTGAGTAATTAATTTAAATTATAAAAAGAAAGCAAGCACGTGTCAGCTCCTGAATCATTTGTCCTACACATGATGCTTCAAGAACTTCAGGAGTTTTCTTTGTAGCCAACGGACTAAAGCAAGGATTTTGGAGGTTACAAATTAACAGAAATTCATGATTCAGAACATCGAAGCAAAAAAATATCTACATACACTGCAGTACATTTTTCTTCCAATATAGTATTTCACTCATATACCCAATTTCTACCTAAACACCAGCTCCTGTTAAATCTTTTAGAACTGGTGCAGTAATCAGGAAGGAGTAGAATTATTTTCTTATAACATTGTAACAGTCCTCCTTGCTCTTAAATTATAATCAGTCTCACAGTGCAGGTCAACTCGTGGACTATGTGCCCATGCAGAGTGCACTACAAGGCACTACAATGGTATTTGCCTAGTCGCCAATTCATAAATTTGCAACCAATACCCGTCGGCCAGAGGTGAGGAGCAGTTATGTAGCAGCTAAGCAGTAAGTCCTGGATTAAATCGGGGAACACCTAGTAGGCAATTAAACTGATTTAGCTAACCAGGAAGCAGTGGCAGTGGAAACAGAACAGTTGGTGTGGACACCCATGTCCAAACGCACCTATAGCAAGTGAATAGGCTGAGCAAGGTTGGAGTTCATCGGTTTGATTTTATCCTATCTATTCCAACTCTGGAGGATGGGAAGCTACCCAATGATCAGTACGGTCGCTTCATGTATGGAAAAAAATATTAGGATGTGTAGTCCACATGCTGCCTAAATAGCATAATAGTTCCTGCAGATATACTGGCCATGCATTTGTGCCATGAAGATCCCATTCTTAGTTGTATACAGAACGGAGATCTGGGGTCTGTGAATCACTGGAGTTAATCGAAGTCACTACCAATTTTCCAATCTTCCAGTTTTGTTAAGAACATGCCCACTGCACCTTCAGGTACCTTTCGGAGCATGGTTGTTGGAATGGTTTTATCCATAATCCATGGTCTGTGAGCTTGAACAAGTCTGACCATTCTCATCTGGAATCCTTAAAATAAAGTATTTTCACCCACAAAACTGGCATTCACTGAATCTATTACATCATTCTCTATAAGCTCCCGAAACTCGAGTGTCAAAATCCCATTAGATCCAGGGATGATCACCCTGTCTGGTACTAAACAGTAAGCATTTATCTTGTCAAGAGCCCATACTGGGAGAACAGATAATATATTGATACAAATCTAATAATGTTGAATGGCTCCAATGCATACTGTTATCAAGGTGGGTGAATGTTTACTCTTATTACAAATCAAAAAGTTACTGATGGTCAATATCCATTACAAGGTCCAAAACAAGTCAGGCACAGCAGATGCAGATTTTCTCGCTCGTGTTCTAGGAACCCAAAGATCACCATTTAACAGTGTTTTCCTAGAAACAGGTTGAATTTATCCAAGAGTAGAATAGTTAGAATATATTGAATTTGCCTTTGGCCCTCAAAAGATTTTGACCTTGAAATTAGGCTCCTTTGCTAGCATGATCTCCTGTTTTACTGCAATGCTATCAGTCTATGTGGGATTCCTTTGTATGTTCCAAACACGTAAAATACAAAGAAAGAATAGTTTAGTTCATTTTGTATCTAATGCAATTTAGACATAAGGTTATTTGAGCTTTGCATTAATATTCGTCTTTTACAAATTCTAAGAAAAAGTCACCCAGCTCTACTGGTACCCAACTTGTTACAGTTTTGTGATATTTTGAGTATTTAAAAAAACAAACAAAAACAAACAAAAAAACAACAACAACCTCCCTCCCATTATGTAGAAATGTATACCTCGGGTCTGAAAAATACATCTTTGGTTCTTAACCATGGCCCTCTTACTCCTAGTGACCACTAATAATTTTCTGTTTCTAAGCTAAAATCACATACATAAAACCATACATTAATTGCATGGACATTTAGACACACTAAATCGTGGGCATCAGCATAAATGTCTTCATATTAATAAGTAATGATCATATTGCATGGACTACGTTAAATGATTGGGTTATATGTTAGCTTGCATCATGAAAGCATAGGTTAGAAAGCAAGATCCGTTTTGTAATGTATTTACCAGACTTTTAAATAGTGCGTTGAATACACTCTCCATCACATAATTTGGCTCTTTCCCTCCCATGGGGAATTCAGAGTATTTATTTTCAGATACACTGGGAGTTTTTGAAACACTGGACTAATTTAGCTGACTCAGTATGTTAAGTGGTCATACACAGCCATTTGGCATTAGAAAGGACGTCATTTCCAATGCACTATTATAAATGGGGACTGGTAAAGAGCTACGGTTGTTAACTATTTGTTAACAGCGCATTAGAGAATCAGTATTTGGCAGAAGAATCAAAATGATTTTTCAACCAAAAAAAAAAATGAATAAAAATCTAAATAAATGCAAAATGGAGATTATGGGAAAAAAAGCTCAAATCCATGATTTTTGTAAAATATATATAATTTGCAAAAAAAAAAAAATATATATATACTATGGCAAAAAAAAAATGCGAATGACAAAAATATAACTAAAAAGGAAAAAAAAAGTGCATGGCTGGAAGCATTTGTGTACGTACCTCCTAATGCAGAATAAGCAGAGACAGCCAGTCACAGAACAGAAAGGTGAAAGGTCATAGGCCATAAGGAAAACAAGAAGGGCACATTTAAACCACTTTTTAAAATAATAATAAAAAAATAAAATAAACTCATAGCCAAACCAATACAAACTCACAGATAATATGGAAAAATTAAAGACATACCAAACAAAAAAAATAGAAAATCACTGTAGATTAAAGCATTATTTCTTAAGCAGAAAACCATATTTTATAAATGAAACCGCTATAAGATAATAGTAAAACACAGCGTTGTATTTTTAATTTTTTTTAAAGAGAGAAATCGGGTAAAATGAGAATGTAGAATATTCTTGCGTGTTCCACACAGTCACACATCTGGCAGCCATTTTTATTCAACCAAAAGCATCTTGTGAACCAAGTTTAGATAAGATCCATACTGTTAAATGAAGTAGTGAAACGGTTTATCGGGACACCAAGACTAGTTTTTCATACCCTGCAAATCACTCTTTAGTGAATATATTCTTCAATTTGTAAAATGTAGGCTGAACAGATATGACAAAATTCTCCAGGAAAACTGCAATCACAGCTTGGCTAATTTATACCAATTTTGCAATTCAGTTTATGAAATAAACCCAATTAAAAGTTTATTAAACAAATCTTCTTTAAAAAACAAACAAAACAAAAAAACCCACCTAACTGCAAAGTTAAACGGTTCTTATTTTTAAAAGAGGATCAATTTACTTCTCAATAGTTGCTTGCCCTATATTTGGCAAAGTCAACTTTCTACATGAGAGGTTTGCCTTGACGTGGCAGGTGGGCTAAACTCTCTCATGGCCATTGGACAAACTAAATAACCTCCATTAGTTTAAATGTGTTAAATGTGCCTAGGGATTTGGGAAGAGCGCAGGCAATTTGTTTTTCCTTTTGGTTTCAACTTTCTACATGCCTGAGATAAATGCAGGGCAGTTAGACACTCAGATGATAGCCCTTGCTCAATTTTCGATACTTTCCCCATTAACTCCTAGATATTCCTACACACCAGCCATCTTACTGTCTGACACACAGAACTGTATCAAGCTTTGTAACATGTTTGACCCTACATACATGTTAGAAACAGTGACTGACCTAAATATATATCGTTAGGAACGGTGCGAGAACTCTACACCACTAAAAGTTGTGTAAAACAAATATGATCATAGATTTTAGATACTTAGGTCATCCGTTCAGTGTTAGGTTTGTTGAATTAAGTTTTGTTTTTGGGTTGTTTTTTTTTTTCTTCAAACAAACTGGGTTACTTTGAGTTATTTCCAAGGTTACCGCTTGTCAGCTGACTGTTTCCACCGCAAAAATGTAGTTTATTTATACCAGATTTGATATAAGCAAAAAGTGATCTTACAATAGGAGGAGTAAATAATAAAATTTCAGTTTACATGCAGAGTTTTGTAAAATCCAAAACTACGCAATGGTACCTCACTATTCTCTTCATTTATGTGACCGTTATGAAAAATGTAAAATTAAATACAAGCAGACGGCAAATGAATGCTCGTTACGGTAATGAGTAATGACAGGTAATGCAAACGTGTTAAACAAGCTTTAATTGATTCAGTATTATTTCTTTATTATGTTACTTTTTTTTTGGTAAAGGTGGGGAGGGTGTGCCAGCAGGGTTACTCTAATCGAATAGTTTTATTCAAACACTGTTTATTCATTTGGAATAACCATTTAACTTGGTAGCAATAACGTGTTTTATATATTTAACCATCAGTTCTAGTGTATGGGATGGTTCTAACTAGGGTTTACCCTAATAAAATACCATCTGTCCATCAGCTGGTTATAACACACACTGATGGAGTACAAACAGTACAATTATTATACTGCCTGAAGGAGTAAGAGGCTAATTTCCTCTACATACAACATCCTTCCCATCATCCACTGCAAGAATAGACCAGTAGCGTGATAGAACATCTCAAGTGGAAATATTACTCATCCAATTTTGGAACAATCAAATAGAATAATAAAGGTTAAATGTGGTTAGTGGCACAGGCAGAGCACACAATGAGAATGTGGTATGGTGTACGTGGGTACTGCAAGGGGGGGCAGATGCGCTCACATGACATTATAAAATCAGTCTTTTTGTGTATTTCTGCTCTCCCTGTTCTAGCTTTCAGCAAGTCTTTTGTGGTTTGTTCTTACAGAGTTCACAATGTGAGAACAGTGATCACACTCACATTAGGTCATATTTATTCCAAAAATATACTCTGAAACAACAATATTAGAAAGAGGAATGGTCACATCAGGAAAAGAAAAGCAACTTTTAAAAAAAAAAACACAATTTTTTCTTTTTTTTTCTCCAATCAAGCATTTCATTTAGAAGATGCACAAGATGTATAGCGGTTTTGGCACAGCCTGGGACCAATACCAAACCCTAAATGTCCCAGGATTCTCTGTGTGGACCATAACTGAAAATTATTAAAGTTTGCAAGCAAAGCAATTTGAAAAGATGCACACATAATATAATAAAAACGGTTTACAACTCCTCTGCTGCATATTGCACCCCCATATGTAAAAAGTGTTTATTGGGGTAAGACAGAGGAAAGTCACCAACACATAACTGAAGAAAAGAAAAAGAAAAACATTAAAAATCTCAGAGCATTTTACAAGCAACTCTAAATTTTAAGTCAATGGGGCTCTGAGCTCTTCCAGCACCAAGTCTGCCCCCTCTGCTGCTACACAAATTGGGCAGATAATGACAAAGTGAAATTACTCACAAATTTTAACAGCGAGCCCAGTGCGCACTACTCAACACTGGCATTAAATTAAATTAAAGGACCACTATAGGCACCCAGACCACTTCAGCTTAATGAAGTGGTCTGGGTGCCAGGTCCAGCTAGGATTAACCCTTTCTTCTATAAACATAGCAGTTTCAGAAAAATTGCTATGTTTACCTATGGGTTAATCCAGCCTCTAGTGGCTGTCTCACTGACAGCCGCTAGAGGCACTTCCGCGCTGCTCACTGTGATTTTCACAGTGAGAAGACGCCAGCGTCCATGGGAAAGCATTGAGAATGCTTTCCTATGGACTGGCTGAATGCGCACGCGGCTTGTGCCGCGCATACGCATTCAGCCAATGATGACGAGAAGGAGGAGGAGAGTCCCTCGACCGGCACTGGAAAAAGGTAAATTTAACCCGTTCCACCCCCTAGAGCCCGGCGGGAGGGGGGCCCTGAGGGTGGGGTGGACCTAGAGACCCAGAAAAACAAGTATGTTTGACTGGCACTATAGTGGTCCTTTAACCCCTTAAGGACCGAGGACGGTTCAGGACCGTCATCGGCATTTTTGCCTTGAGGACCGATGACGGTCCTGAACCGTCCTAACGGTCAGAGCTACTTACCTGATCGCCGTCGTTCCCCCGGCGGCGATCAGCGTGGCTCCGGTTGTGGGGAGACTGCCTGCAGCCCAGACAGTCTCCCCACGGCAGATTAGGACCCCTGTGGCCATGTGATCGCTTAACACAGCGATCACATGGTCACAATAGGTGTCCATGTGTCTGCCTGCAGGGGGACTGTCTGTGCTGACAGGCAGTCTCCCTGCTAGTGTAAAATCAATTAAAAAAATAAAGTTAATGTTAATAAAAAATAAATAAATAATTATATATGTGTATATATGATATATAGACATATATTATATCTATATAATATATGTCTATATATCATATATATATAATGTCATACTAAGTGTATTTTTATATTAATATGTACTTATATTAATATAAAAATACACTTATAATTAAATTACACACGTATATATATAATATATATAATAACTATATATATTGTATATATATATTATTATAAAATATAAATAATAAGTAATTTAAATTAAATAAAAAAATTTAAATAATAATAAAAAATTTAAAAAAAATTATATAGCTATATGAAATTTTATTCTAACTGTATTTTAAAATTAATATATATATATTTATATCAAAATACACTTAGAATGAATTTGTATATATATCTATGTATATAAAAATAAATAAAAATAATAAGAAATATACATACGTCCATATACAAAATTACATAAATAATTATATAAATATACACGTAGACTTCAAATATATAAATATGCATATATATTTAAATTCTACGTGCGTATTTATGTAATATTTTTACATAATTCAGTAATTTTATTGATTGCAATTTGAGGGACCTGCCTGCCAACCCAGGCCGAAATTCCAGAGAATTTAATTTGCTAGCACTGTATTTTACCCTGTAACGTTCTACGACACCCTAAAACCTGTACATGGGGGGTACTGTTTTACTCGGGAGACTTCGCTGAACACAAATATTAGTGATTCAAAACAGTAAAACATATCACAGTGATGATATTGTCAGTGAAAGTTACTTTTTTTGCATTTTTCACACACAAACAGCACTTTTACTGATGATATAATTGTTGTGATACTTTTCCAGTTTTTAAACACTAATATTTGTGTTCAGCGATGTCTCCCGAGTAAAACAGTACCCCCCATGTACAGGTTTTATAGCATTTTTGAAAGTTACAAGGTCAAATATATGGGTCAAATATTTTTACATTGAAAATGGCCAGGTTGGTTACGTTGCCTTTGAGAGCGTATGGTAGCCCAGGAATGAGAATTACCCCCATGATGGCATACCATTTGCAAAAGAAGACAACCCAAGGTATTGCAAATGGGGTATGTCCAGTCTTTTTTAGTAACCACTTGGTCACAAACACTGGCCAAAATTAGCGTTCAATTTAGTTTTTTTACTTTTTTCACACACAAACAAATATGAATGCTTACTTTGGCCAGTGTTTTCGACTAAGTGGCTACTAAAAAAGACTGGACATACCCCATATTGAATACCCTGGGTTGTCTACTTTAAAAAAAATATGTACATGTGGGGTGTTATTCAGAGATTTATGACAGATAATAGTGTTACAATGTCACTATTGATAAATTTTAAAATGTATGTTTTGAAACCGCAATATCCTACTTGTACCTATAGCCCTATAACATGCAAAAAAAAGCAAAAAAGCACGTAAACACTAGGTATTTTTAAACTCAGGACAAAATTTTGAATCTATTTAGCAGTTTTTTTCATTCGCTTTTGTAGATGAGTAAAAGATTTTTCAAGTAAAAGTCAAAAAACATGTATTTTTTTCAATTTTTCATCATATTTTTTTATTTTTTTTAAATTAAAATACATGAGATTATATAAATAATGGTATGTAAAGAAAGCCCCTTTTGTCCTGAAAAAAACAATATATAATTTGTATGGGAACAGTAAATGAGAAAGCGGAAAATTACAGCCAAACACAAACACCACAAAAGTGTAAAAATATGCCTGGTCGCAAATGTACAACATCGCAAAAACAGTCCAGTCCTTAAGGGGTTAAGCTTTGTAGGGACAAAAGATAAATGAAACTTTCATATTATGTTAAATGCAGCATAGGTTTCATGAAAAAAAAAAAAAGAAGGTTGATGCAAAATTATTATGGTGCTGAGAAAAGTCCCTTTAACCTCCTGGCACAAATTCCCAGTGAACGATCGGTATTTAATGACTTGAAACTCATTAGGTACAGGTCAACAAATTTGAGAATGAGGTGCATGAAAAGGGTTGTCAAGTTTCTAAATTTACAACAGTGTCAGAATTCTGAATATTAGTTTCCTATAGCTAAACAAATATCTGATGTGATGATATGAAAATACAGTTAGAGGAAAACTTTGTCCCAGAGTTCTCTCCCTTAATGCTGCCATTTACAGGAAGTATCAAAGCACCATAACCACTACAGCCTGCGTCAGTGACTACAGCCTGCGTCAGTGACGCTAAAAAAGTGTCCTAGCGCCCTCTCAAAAAAGGTAACTGAACTGGTTGAGAACAGCAACATACCTGGGAATCAGTTGGGTGCCAGTCACCTCAACTCGTGGAGTTAGAAGTTTCACTACTTTCCTTGGGAAGAGGTCAGGGCACTCCCAGAAACCCTGCGACTGTTATGGTGCTAGGATTGTGCCATTAAGGGATCCTTGATCAGTAGCAGCACCTACCCAGTTAAATATCACTTTGCTTGCAGCATGTACTATAAATGATATGCCCAGTAACAACTACCATCATAACACAGACATATTGCTGGGGAAAGCAACAAGATCTCCAGTCAGGTAAGCTCTGCTGCTGATCGACAATAACTAAAATGGCAGCCACCAGGAAGTAAACACTGCAGAATTTGACCGTTTTTCTTGAAGCAAGATTCATGATCTTTATACAGAGAACACACATTCATTCACTACTTGAAGAGATTTACAATTTGTAGGTTATAACAGTACAGTCCCTTTAAATTGTGAGAGATGTTTTGCATGTAAAACCAGTTTTCAAAGCTCCGTAGTTTAAAATATATCACCTAATAGCATAGGTCACTGCTACTCTAATTCCATCAGCTCATATTGTGATCGTGCATGTATTTTTGCGCCAAGAGTCCTTGTAAAGGAAACAATCCCTTTTCCTGAAATTGCAACATTGACTAAACATTGAAAAAAAAGTGTCCAACACGTCTTAACCCTTTTCAAGTGATGTTCAGTTTTTTTTATTTATATTACAAATTGGGACATGGCATAACAATTCAGTTAAGGCGCCCATTGTTATGTGGATTTTCTCTTTTTTCCAAATGCATATTTAGGATGTGAAATAAGGAGTAGTAGCTCTGATTCAGGGGTCGTGACTACGACCGATGAATGAGTGCTATAGAGTCCTGAAATTACTCTCCCAAGAAAGGGAATAACCCTCAATAAGAAGACTTAAAACAAAAAGGAGGACCACAAGAGTCCTAAATAGGAGAGTAATGTAAAGAGGGGAATAGGGGTCCCTACCTTTTAATAATTCTAAAGATACACACAACAGGACAGGTGGGAAGAGGTACAGCAAAAGAGAGTCCTCCAGACTAGACACAGGGAACAGTTACTAAAAAACTGCCTGCTAAATGTCTAGGATCCTAAGAAGCACGCCCTCTAAATCTTCCCAAAACAGGGACCCTAATTGAAGAAAGGGGTAACTAAAGAAATAGGGGAAGGGAGCAATGAAAAGGGAGATGCCCCAAGGAGTAAATCTTATACAAAAAGCCCCTATAGAAGTCCACACTTGCCCTAGTTACCTCGGCACTGTGATAAATCACCAGTGCCTACCAAAAAGACTCAGTCCCTGCCTGTCAAAGGTAAGTAATAACTGATAAAATAAATTAAATCAATCCATCAGTGCTACCAAAAAAGTGCAAAACAAAGAAAATAAAAAAAATAAAAATAAAAAGATAAAATAAAATAAAATAAAAAAATAAAATAAAAAGAAGCTCTATCACAGATTTATCACAGTGCCGAGGTAACTAGGGCAAGTGGACTTCTATAGGGGCTTTTTGTATAAGATTTACTCCTTGGGGCATCTCCCTTTTCATTGCTCCCTTCCCCTATTTCTTCAGTTACCCCTTTCTTCAATTAGGGTCCCTGTTTTGGGAAGATTTAGAGGGCGTGCTTCTTAGGATCCTAGACATTTAGCAGGCAGTTTTTTAGTAACTGTTCCCTGTGTCTAGTCTGGAGGACTCTTTTGCTATACCTCTTCCCACCTGTCCTGTTGTGTGTATCTTTAGAATTATTAAAAGGTAGGGACCCCTATTCCCCTCTTTACATTACTCTCCTATTTAGGACTCTTGTGGTCTTCCTTTTTGTTTTAAATATTTAGGATGTGGTTTCTTAAATAACTAGGGATATGTTTTTTTCAACTTATGTTTTTCTGATTTGACATGTAGTTTAAAGTGTTATTTTAAGCCCCATGACCACATCTGTGATTTGTAGTGGTCATGGTTCCTGGAGTCTGTATGTTCAGAGTTTCAGTAAGAGTTTAACCTCTGTCAGAGTTGTAACTCCACCTCCAGCAGCATAATTAGGGCATCATTAGCTGGCGCAGAACAAAAGTTTAGGGCTAGCTAATGAGGATTCTGTGCATATACCCTGCGTTCATCAACAGAGAAGGCCCTGCCCTGCGGGGACCAGGTAAGAGGGTAAATCTTTGCAAAACATTTTGCCCCATTACCAGGAGATTGGTCCAGGCTGTAGTGGTTATGATGTGTGCAATGGAGTAACCCTTTCGGCTGTTTAAAAGCAGAATAAAACCATATAAAAAGAAAAGGGCTAACGTCTCCTTAAATGGTATATTTGTTCATGAATATGAGAGTGATGGGTGAAGGCAAATAGCAAATATACCAGGATCAGCATTGTTAAATGAATTCTAGGCAACTGCAAATTTTATAAATGACTGAATGTTTTAGTGCAGTGTTTATCACGGCTTGTAAGGTTGGGCTAAAAGAAAATGATTGCGGAGCACAGATATTGCAATGTATTTACCAAACAAAACAAAAAAGGGTGGAAATGTAAAAATGATTATCAATGTGTGATATGTATTGCTTCTTTCTTCCATTCCTATTCAAATTTATTAAATTTTATCATTCATAAAATATTAGCATGTTATGCTAAATCTTTTTAGACATTATATTTGGGGTACAATTAGCAGATAGTTATTTTTAAAAGACAAAGCACCCATCAGTAGGCTACATTTCACTAAAACAGTTCCACTGTGTCTCTCCCTCCCCTCCCTGAAACGTTTCCATTCATTGCTGCAAACGAACATACCTCCCAAGTGTCCCTATTGTAGCCTTTATTTCTCTTTTTTATCCAAATGTCCCTCTTTCTAGGTGCTCCATGTTGTTGGTGTGTGAGTGTATAACAGAGCTCCACAGCAGTAATACTCACATGTGTCTTTAAACGACAATAAATGTGTTTAGAAATCAGTCTGTGTAAATAAGATACATTGTTCTTGTTCTAAATTACAATTTAGTTCCTTAAAGGACCACTACAGTGCCAGAAAAACACTTGTTTTCCTGGCACTATAGTGCCCTGAGGGTGCCCCCACCCGCCGGGCTCTGGGGAGCGGAAGGGGTTAAAATCTTACCTTTCTCCAGCGCCGGGCGGGGAGCTCGCCTCCTCCATAGCGACGGCAGGAGCCGCGCGCGCATTCAGCCAGTTCATGGGAAAACATTTACAATGCTTTCCTATGGACGCTGGCATCTTCTCACTGTGATTTTCACAGTGAGAAGCACGCAAGCGCCTCTAGTGGCTGTCAAGAGACAGCCACTAGAGGCTGGATTAACCATATTATAAACATAGCAGTTTCTCTGAAACTGCTATGTTTATAAAAATTTAAAAAAGGGTTAATCCTAGATGGATCTGGCACCCAGACCATCTCATTAAGCTGAAGTGGTCTGGGTGCCTATAGTGGTCCTTTAAATTGTTATAAGTGAGTCACCTAAAACAGCTCCACCCAAAGTCACAACCCTAAAATTATAGTGTCCCTCTTTGTCCATTTGAAATGTTGGCAGGCATGAAAGTACAGCTGTACACAATGCCTCCCTTGATATAGGAGAACCTGAAAGGTTGCAATGCATAATGTGGCCACAATAATCCTCCTTTGCATTAATAAAAATAAATTTATTTCCGCTCCTATTAACGAATTAATTCATGATTTTTGTTAAACTATTTGCTACCTGGGACTTCATCTGACGCAGGTTGTGCAGCTTTACTGTATGGGACACAGCTGAACATCATGGGAAATGCAAAAAAAAAATAAAAGTGTATTGAAACTGCCTGCACCTGACAGGTCATCTCTATGATTAAGCTGCTCTTTGCTCATGATGGACTCCGTTATATGAATGTAAGAAATAGTTATAGCTACAAAAACAAATGCAGAACTACCAGAAAAATCTATTCTAAATAAACGTGTTTATTTCACCAGAATAAGTTTGGGAGGGGGTGGGATATGCTACCCCCTCCAGTGTTTGAAAACCTGACATTCACTGTAGTTCAATTTTCCAGAACAGTCATCAATCAAATCAATTTGATTACGTTTGGGGAGTGTGCACTAGGGAGCTTGGAATCCCCTCCACAGGGGAATAAGATTTTTTTTTTACAGTTTAATATTATAATTGTATCATCATTACTGTACAAAGTCAATGTATTATGTGCAAAACAAAATAAGCAAAATAAACAGGCACTACTGATATGTCAAAGTAGATATTATTGAGATGTAACGTTTGCACTTATTTTACCTCCGGTTATGACTAGTTTCAATAAAGTTAAAAAAAAATTAAAAAAAAAAACACAATAGATCCCCAAATAATTATTGCAGAAAAGGAGAAAAAATAAGCTTATATAAACCTTGGACAGTGATTCTCCTGAACCGTAGCATGCAGACGAAAACCTATAAATTCCTTCCAAAGCTGTTTAACAATGTGAACATTTTGATGTTATAATAAATGACACAAGTGTTCATAAAAACATTATAGAGAGGAAATAAACACGGCCCATTTTAGAGGTTTAATTAGATCCTTATTTCTTGCAGATCAACTAAAATGTATGCCAGGACAACGGAACGTGCTACTTTTTGATCATTAAAAGAAAGACAATTTAAGACATGTGCAGCATTCAACAGCGAAAAATGGAAAAATAGAAGAAAAAAAAAAAAATTTCACTTACCTAATTTTAAGAGCCAGCCTTCTCGGTCTGGGTTGAAAAATGTGTGTGTCAAGTCATTCCCATCATCCTCTGGAATTTTAAAGGGTTCATTCTTAATACTTTCATATAAGTTCTGTGAAGAGGAAAATAAAAATTTAAATAAAAAAGGGAATCATTCCCCTTCTGGCATACAAGTTATCTAGCACTGCAGTCTTTAGAATCTCCCACTGATGTCATATGTCAAGTTTAAAACAAATTGCTGGAAACAATAGCCAGACCGTTCCCCAGGGCTTTTACATATTGAAGATAGTCTCTGATTACAAAAAAAAAAAAAAAAAGCTTGCCAAGTATATCTGGACCTGCAAAACACCAGCAGATGGAACGTCAAGGCTCAGCGCTCTCAGCGTTTCATGACAAAGGAACCAAGGTAGAAGAAAATAATGCTAAAGGAAAAACCTACCGGACCCAAGTAGATCAACACAAGGAATTCTCCGGTATTAGGCTCATGGTAGAAGCTTACCATTGCTCTATATTTGCATGAGGTCTCTTTAACACTAACATTTCGTCAGGTTAGAGAATCATAGGCTGCAGATTCAACACTATTTGGGTCCTCATTATTCTACACTCCTTTAAAAATGTCATGTTTCCCTCCTGCCATTGTCAAACCCAATGGAACATAATTATTAATCATTTGTATCCTGCAGAAGAATTTTACTACAGGATTGCAAACACACCAACTGCACACTGCCAAAGGAGAGTAGTTTCAGAAGTCTAGCCTGATGGCATCTCAATCCAGTTAGATTTCAGTGGACATTCATGAGTCTACTGAAAACCTTAAACATATAGTCACGTACCTAGTATATGCAATTACTTATTCAACTGAACATGGTAAATCTATTGATTATTTTTTCCTAACATGGGATACTTCCCTAAGTTTACCTTTCTCTACTTTTTCATTTCCTTTCCTACTTGTAATAAAAAAAAAAAAAAATGAAAGCTTCTATAATGTGCACTAAGTATCTATGCCAAACTTGGGTACACTTTTATTCTTATTTACACATGCTTGCTGGAGAGATAAATTCCTTTTAGATCCCTTACCTTGCTACATTTTCTTTTTCTACCTAAATGCTGTAACGTTTCGCAGTCTCCGTTATCGATACTCACTGGTACCATTTCTACAAAATGTCCGTAAATTATGTTAAATAAATCCGTCATCTGGATTATTTGGCAAATTAATGCTTCATTAAAGTGGACGTAGTGTATATTGTGGTGAGCTTTTTGATAGCTTCCTGGACAAGTTTTTAGATTCATAATTCGGATTGCAAAAGATAGATCCCCAGATGTTTTAAAACTACAGCTACCATGATGCTTTGTCATTGTAAATGCATGCAAAGCATCAACAGGATTGTAGTTCTACAAAACCTGGGGATCTACCTTATCTGCACCCCTGGTCTACAACAAGCACTGGGTCTTTCCAGAAATAGGCATTTTCAAGAACATATATGTTTTAATTCCACACAAGTAGACTATTCAAGTAATCATGTTACTTCTTTTGTGTCCGCACAAAAAGTTTCCTGCACCTTCAAAGTATTGGGTATGTTGGCATTAAAATATATTTTATTGTGAATTTGTTCAGACTGTAACGATACAAAGTGTGGAAATGCCCAAAGTGGTGACTATTAATGCAAGTCATGCATCACGTGCCCCACATTTAAACCCCCACCCCCCCTCCATCTTCAATCTTCTTGAAGATGGCCAATGGCCTTAATTCAGTAATGTATTTTGTGAGAGAATCTGAGATGAACTTTTAGACATGCTTGATTAGTCTGGTGTTTGGATCCATCACACATCCTGCCATGCAAAATAGCCACATCACAGTGGTTTCTAAAGAAAGTGGCCTGACTAGATTAAAGATTTAAAAAAAAAAAAAGACTGGGGTTCAAGCAAAGTGGAGTGCTGGACTGATGGACTAACACAGACACACACACACTTTTTTCTATTAAGAATACTATTCTGGCAGCTCAACTGATAACTTTGTCTAACTTTATCTCAAACATGACAGTTCCTGTTAAATTAATCTGATAAAAATCATTTCTTATAGCACAAACTAAAAAACATTCAATAGATGTCAGAGATTATGTTTATTATGTAACCACTGGAAGCCAAAGTTGTTCCAGTAATGTGTTCTTGCCTGAACGCTGACTGCTGTTCTGTCTTGGACCAGACGGATATGCACATTACAATTTGTAAACGTGTAATTTCCCAAATTAGTTTAAGATGGCACAAAATGGGTACCATGCCACAGAGCAAGCCATTATGGCTTCCCCATTCTCTTGGATATCATTTTGTTCCAACAGTTAAACTTGCAACATAAAGCTGGTAATGTATCCCAAATAATGATAAGGATGTGTTAGATTTCATTCGATCAAGGTATTCGATTGCATGACCATTCAGAGATTGCAATATCCTTGCCCCAGATGTTCCTGCTTGATTACAAGACTTGAACCAGCAAGCAGTAGAATTTTAATAATAATTTAAAAAAGCAAAGAAAGAGAGGGGAAAAAAGGTATTGCAATGCAAAATAAAAAACACATGGTATTCCCTCAAGAAAGCTTAATTTAGAAGGGTTTTGCAGCTTTGAAATATCTAACCTCACAAGAATGGAACTCTCGTTACAGCCTAATGATATCCTGCTGCAGAATAAAAAAGTTGGGCATGTCATGGGGTATAAAGAAGGAAAAGCTAGGGATATTTATTTTCAGAGGCCATTAGCCAGTCCTACGGCTGCATTCCAATGACATTATTTCAATAACACCAGACGATAAAGGAAACAGAGTATGCCGTCTACAACCTGCAAGTTTAATTTAATTTGAGACGGATAGGATTGTAAATGAGCAGCAGCTGCTCGGGGACCAGAGTTATGTAATAAATCCAACTCTAGAGTTTTCCTATTGCCGTTAATGTAACATTAAAAGTTACAGTTGGGCGTGCCACGTGACTTGAGTGCACATGCAATATTGGGCGTCCTCGTTACAGAGTCATTATAAAATGCACATTTATGAACGGTAATACTTTGGAAACTAAAACAGTTGTTCAGCTTAATCTGAACCATTCTGACGACCCATGCTAAGGTACAACACACATTTATAACTAATCAACCTCACCATACGCCCAAAATCAAAACCAGACTTATCAATAATGTACATTACATAAATAAAGTGTTTTATATCACCCAGAGAATGCACGATTTGGGGATAGAAAATCTGCAAGAGTCAACATTTGGCTTAATTGGATATCCAACAAGATGATGTGATGACAAGAGTAACTCACCCGAAGTAATTCTTCTGGAAGATCTCCTCCTTCATTAATGCCACGATTCATGGTTATAAAGCGCTCTACCGACGGCTTATCTCGCACATTAGGGTTGTGCAAACTGGTGTTAAGCATAATGATGGCAAAAGACAGGACATAACAGGTATCTGGAATTAAGGAAGGTCAGTTTTAGGTCAGTAAAGAAACACATGCTGGTCACATCTTATGACAATTTCTAAACTGAACCTACAGCAATTTCCAATAGAATTCGATTTATTTTTTTTACTCTGTTCCTCAAATAAATAGTTTCAATTATAATACCACACTATTAATGAACTCCGAAGGAACACAAGGCGATCATATTTGTGTGTTCTTTGCGGAAATTGTTTCATCATATCACACAAGGTTAAATCTCACAATTACATTTGACCAAAATATTCGATTTCAGATGACACACAAAAAGAATACTAGATATCTTTTAAATGTCTCTAGGCAGTGTACGGAGCTGGGGCCCCACAGATCCTGCACAGACACATGGATTTACAAGATCTTCCCTTTACAAATAACTGGAAACAGAAGTAGCAGAAGTTCAAGAATACAAAAATGACATGTGCAACCGAAATAAAGAAGTGCATGAATTCTCCCAAACGTGGTAACAGTTCAAATGATGTTACAAACCAGAAAGCACACAGATGAGCTTAAGTGAATGGCAGTCTGCTATGAAATGAAGATTTGATAGTGCAGTTAAAGTACACATATATTGGAAGTTTTCTAAATGTGCACTTTTATCAGCTACAGTTAGGTTTCAAGCAGCGCGGTCAATGGGATTATTGGCCCTGAAATGCAATGTTGAGAAACACTATTCTACTGATTTAGCCACAAAACCCAGCGTTTACTTCACAGCTGATCATGGTTGTATGGGAACTAGATAATTCCCAACTCGGGAATGTACACCAGATTTCTGTGACAATGCTTGGAAAAAAAAGAGAGTCACAGTTATCATTTACATGATAATTCAAGAGCACCCTGGCAGGATTTAGGCTGGTTAAACATCATGGAAAATGTAGTTTATAAACCACTGTTGTCAAGGTTGTTCCCCATTGATTTATGTCCACCTCACCACGACTGAATGCTGGTGAAAAGGTAAAGCCTTGTGTGTAACAAGTACAAGTGTATACTTTGTTTATTCAATCTCTTCCTGGGTCCCCTTTTCTGTTTTGTATAATTTTTATTTTTTTTAACCCCTGTGTGACATGTCATGATTCCCTTTTATTCCAGAAGTTTGGTCCTTAAGGGGTTACGGTTTATAATTTTACATAATTTCCTTTATTCTTTCCCCAAATACACTGTTGAGTTAGCATGGTTTCAAATGTGGTGGATCTATGATATGGCTCATATACAAAATAAAAATCTATTTAAAGTGGTCATTTGAGAAAGTGGATTTATACTTTGCTTAATCCCTTAAGGACCAAACTTCTGGAATAAAAGGGAATCATGACATGTCACACATGTCATGTGTCCTTAAGGGGTTAAAAACCTTAAAGATTTAACATTCACTTGTAAATCAACTTCACCCCCAGACAAAACTATGGTAAGTCATGACAGCGTTAGTCAGGGGGTTACTTCTTCAATCACGCCACAAATTGGAACTGGGAACTTCCATTTAAGAGGCCATTCATGTTGACACAGACAGTGAGGCAAGTTTGTGGTAAGCACCTCATTATGATAAAGGATGTCTTAATTCTCATATGAAATATACACCATTGACTCTAAATAAAATATCAGTACTACGTGATTCGTCCACTAACCTGTAGACTGAAAAACACCAGGATTACAAAGACAATAACGTGACGCAAAAGCCTCCATCATGCGGTCAATCTTCTGAGCCTCACCAGGCAGCCTAAAGCTCCACAGGAACTGCCTGCAAAGACAGAGTCACTGCACTCAACACGGGGTTTGAAGAGAGTGTGGTTAACAAGAGATATAACATATCTGGCTTTCTTCTGAATTAACAAATATGGACAGGAGAAAGGAAAAATAAGTCTCATTTTGAATATCATTAAAAGAAATTTGTAAAAACACAAAAAGCTTGTTATATTGGAAAAATGTGACTGATATTATATTATTATTCTGTAAAAGTTTGATTTAAAAAAAAACAAAAAAAAACAAAACCCCTCTACCAAGGTTTAAGGCTGTCTTTAACTGATGCGGAGCGGTCTGACTGTCACCATCATCTTCATTTATACAGCACAAACACACTCCAAACACACTCCACAGTGATTTAAATTTACATACGGAATAGAACAGACAAAAGGTGAAGAAGATCCTGCTCAAACGAGCTTACAATGAATGCTATGAATGTCTGTCTGTGTGTCTCCATTCTGTCCCATGCTATGTGTACATGTTATCCCATTTTGTCTGTGTCGCAAAAAGTGAACATTTCGAGTACAATATGGCATATTTTTTCAGGCCTTGATGTTAAAATGTTGTCCTAATGGTTGTTCCTATCAGTGTGTATCTTTGCGCTTAAGTTTTTGCTGTTTTTTTTAGGTCTTTCTCTAGATCTCTCCCTTGAAAAAAAAAATTATATATATATATATATATATATATATATATATATAAAAAGACGTGTCCTTGTTAAAAAAACCAAAACAAAAAAAAAAAAAAAAATTAAAAGGAAGAAAACATACACCAAATCTATTTCCCTCCCCCCCTCCCCATTTCTCCACCTCTATTTCTCCTCCTTATTTGCAATTTATGCCTTGGCTGTTCCTGGAGTGAATTAGACTGTCATGCCATTTGCTACATCTTCAATATAAATTTAAAAGAAAACAGAGCATCATGTGAAATTAAAGACACACACACATTTTCAGTGATGTAAATTCTAGAAGGGATTGTTCCTCTTTAAATCCACACTCATTTATTTGAAACATCCTACTGTGCACATTTATAGTGAATTAAAATTAGGTATAGCCACCTTGGACCAAGCAATATTTTAGATATCCATCTCGCTGCGCAGATCCCCAGGTTTCCTAAGCCAGAGGATTCTATTGTGCTTTAATGAAATGTACCAACCTCAATGCCTGGACAAGATTCAAATCTGCAAACTCATGAAGTTCAACGAATGCTTGAAGGACGAGAATATTAAAGTCATCCCTTTAAAAAAAAAAAAGGAAATATAAAGAGAGAACAAAATCAACATCCCAGTTATAAATAACCTGCCATACTAAAAATAGTGCAAGTTTCTGCATATCTACAACATATAGAGAAATGATAGAGAGATCATTTGCTTTATTTCCCTTGTCAGTTCATCTGCAAACCCCATGACTCTGAACCAGCCACAAACTTTGGTTTGCTTATGTGTTGAGAGTAGCTGAGCTGGCCCTTGCTGTCTATATATGGTTTCTGTCCTCTGCACAAAGTACAAATGACATGTTCAAGGTGCTATAAATAATTGCAGTAACACTGGTCCAGATTAAGTTTGCTTAATTTGGGCATCACATCTGCATCTGGCTCTCTCTAACCTAATCTTTCCCCTCCGATAAGGCCACACAGAAGACGAGATATGAAATGCATTGTCCAAATCAGAGGCGAGGGAAGATATTAAAGCGGGGCTTGACAAAGTGAGGACCGTGATGACTATATACTACTCAAATGTGTAACATCAGAGACTCTATATCCCTTTATAGGCTATTAAAAATAAAGCCAATTAAAATTGTATCCAACAAATTAGTAATCAACACTTGGCAGTAGGATTGATATATTTATAGACAGAGAAGGATTAAGACCCCAAAGGGGGGTGGGCTGGTTATATGTTTGACCCAGATGGTGAATAGGGCCTAAGAAAATGCATGTCTCCAGTCTATCCCTAGGGTCCTAGGTGGTCCGTACACCGGCTAAGAGAATAAAATGGTTAATCCTGCTCGATCTATAATACATATAGTCTGGTTCCTTACAATGCCAAGCCCTGTATTACAGGTTTCTAGAGGACATCACATTACATTCAGTGGTCTGAACTAGCAAAGTATGCACACATAATATGATAGATATGCCTTGTATAATATAAACAAAAAATTTAAAAAGTCAATGATTAATTTACTTTAGCACTGCTGACACAGATACGCAGAATACTAAACAAGCAACAGCAAGCTTGATGCTTTTAAATCCACTCTACCCACGCATCATTTTACACAGAGCTTGCAAATCCTTTTTGCGAGGTCCAAAATCCATAGTCCATAACGTGTGCGAACACAATGGATTTTAACATTTCACCAGTGTTCGGTCTATGTGCACATCTCAGAAAAGACTTAGTCATTCCGAAAAGGTTAAACCATAATAGAGGGACATTTACACCAGGCTGCCAGCTTGTGACTAGTTCATAGATCCAATGACCTTGTGAGGGATGCTGTACAGAACAGAAGATGCAAAACAAGAGAATGTGTTTTTCCCCTAATATTCCTACTGCGCTATAACAATAGAGAGCAAAATCTTGGGTGAGAGGAAAATATTGTGGGTGTTGGAAACTGAAATGTCACCATTTATGGATTGTATGGAGTGACACTTTAGTAAACTCTGACTTGGAGGTCAGTCGCTCATTAGAATCTCTCGCCAACACAGACCATTCTCATGACGCCTATTGTATTGATATACTAAGTGGCTGTTAACCCCCCATTGACAATGGGTTGAACAGCAGCCTGATTACTATGTCACTTAAAGTGTTAAACTCAATGTGTCAACAAAAACAGACCTGGTTAATGCCTGGTTTTCAAAATTACCCATGGGTGGTGAACTGGGTGGGAATTCCAATCCAATTGCAAGAGGCCAGGCAACACCAAATGGAATTAATTTGCTAGAAAGGCTTTACTTTTGTCTCTAGGCCCTATCCACACAAAATGATCATGATGTTCCTTTAAATCTGTTAACGCTAAGCGTATAGTGCTTCCTCTATGTCAGGCTTCCCCAGACTCCGGCCCACCAGATGTTGCTGAACTACAACTCCCACCATTCGATGAATGAACTAGATAGGATGAGAATCATGGGAGTTGTAGTTCAGCAACATCTGGAAAAAAGAAGGGGAAGGGGGATCGGTTGCATGCATCTCATGGTGGATATAAAAGCACTGCAGCTAGCAGTGATAATGCTAGAAGTCGAATGGGATTCATATGTTGCATTCCTTATATAGACTTAATTAGTCGTGAAATATTAGTCAAATTGAAAACTAGATAAGGGGTACTTTCTCTGTTTCTGCTTAATCTAGACTCTTTGAAGAGAAATAGCAGCATTTGATTCTCTCTCTAGGTAAAGATGTGCCAGTGCAGAGGATTTTATAGCTCTTACTATCCAGACATGTTTCTGTACCTAAAGAGGGGATTGATAATAAATGGAAGTATAATGAAATCACCCTCAGAAGCAGGTCACCCATTACTAAAACATACTGTAAAACAAAGGTTATAGGATCCTATTTCAGCTCACGTTACTGTGGGTGGTCCCTACCACACTAAGTTAACTATCTAAGAGGGATTACAGCCTATGTAAATGACAATACATCTATCCCTACGATTAGGGTCACCACCACGTTTTCTTGGACACAGAATTTGATTGACAGCTCCAGAATGTTCTGCCCTGTAGTATGAATAACTCATATGCTGCAGGATTTATCATCTGATTTACCACCTTCAGCATTTGACTACTGCATAACACAGAGCACACGCTGCCCATGAATTTGTCTAAGTGATCGGTTTTCTGGAAACCGTGGTGGAGGGGGCATTCCTTCCTATGCTGTACAAATGTCCCTGAGTTTGGTTATACAAGATAGTCATAAGTTAGATAAATGCCATATGGCCACATCAGCACCCAAAAATCAAATGCACAAGACCTAGTATTGGGAAAAGTATGAAAGACACAAAGAGAAAGGAAACCCCCCAGCACTGTTTCATTGATACTCCAGAAACCCCCACCCCCGGGCAACCAGACATTGATCGAGAACTCTATGGGTCGCAGACCACGTACCCACCACACCTTCTATTTGAACTGCTAACAACTCACACTTTAGTAAATCACCCTGTTGGTGTTAACATGCAGCAAAACAATAGTGGTGAATAAAGAATTAGAAAATAATTTTAAAAAATAAATTAAAATCTTATAATACAGTTCAATGCACTGTAGTGGCAGACATTTACTGTAACTCGTGGCTCTTGTAGATCTACAATTACCATAAAGATTAACCAGCCTTTAATATGGCAAAGCACTATGGGAACAGAAATTCAACAATATCTGGGGATTAATTAACCTTTTGGTCGCCGCTGCTCTAAACCATCAAAACTAGAAACGTGACAGTTCTTGGAAGCCATGTATAAACCCATTAGGAAGTTGGTCTTTGAGGCTTCCAGTAATCTACAACAGATTGATCCTTATAGGTTTTCTTCAAGACATGCTTTCTCAGACATGGTTTACTAACCAATGCTGAAGAAGGAACTTTACTCATGCCCAGTGCACTTCAAGGCGAAGACCCTTATATGCAGATTCCAAAAATGTAAATTACCTTTCCCCCAGGTAATCTCCAATAACCGTTTTATTCAGCCCTTCTCCTTTATACAGGAACTGTGCAATATCCTCCGCAGTGTTCTGGAGTAAATCATTCTCTAAGAGAAACTGGATACCCTATTAAAATAAAATACAAATACGAGAATAGCTAAATCAGAATAAATACAGCTGTGACACTCATTATCAGAACGATTTATAGCGTATGCATCTTACAGGTGAGGACTCACGGGGACGGGAATGGAATGATTTACATGGGGTTTCCAAGGTCTTGTGTAAGAAGATTTAAAATATACCGAAGGATATTTAAAAAAAGGTTCACTTCATTCATGTCAAATATGTATTGAATCGCTTTGTTTAATACATTTTTTTTAAAAATGTTAAGTAACTACACATGCAAAAAAATAAATAAAAAAAATAATAAAAAATAAAAAAATAAGGAAAGACAAAGGCTGGACAAGGTGAGATGGAAGATGGCAAGTGAAGGATTGGGTAATAAAGTGAGATGGAGGGAGGGAAGATGATTACTTCAGTTATACAAAAGTTTGCAATTGGCACAGACCTGGACTTTGGTTCCAGACATAGAACATGTACAAAGCTTATGGGCACAATACCAGAATACTACGCACCTAGAACATGTTACCGAGCTTGTGGGCACAATTCCAAAATGCTATGCATCTAGTATTGAGCAGTATGCATCTTAAGCAGCAGACCATTACATTTTAAATCTCTACACTTTAAATTATATAAAAATACTCCGAAATGCTATCTGCTTTGGCTACTGTAATAGGATTTCTTAATTTTACAATGTGCCCAATTCTAGGGTTACATATTCATATTGGTATACTAAAGGAGATAATGGCAGAGACATGAGTCAACATGGACTCATGGAGTTAAGTGAATAAACGTAAAATTCTAGTCTCTTGCAGTGCAGGACTGGACAGGCACAAATGAAAATCCAGATAGCTCTGTCTAGCACCTAACAGGAGACTGTCTCCAAGATGCAAAACAAACATTCTATCCGCGAAAGTCTGAAGTATGTTTTTATATTCAAACTTTGCTTTTTAATCTTTAACGATCAAAAAGCAAAGGGGAAAAAAACAAATTAACAGGGTCCTTTTCAATCTATCGTTCCGGTAAATTTTCTTGTAAATGTTCTATTTATAGTTAAATCCCCCCTCTGAGAATATTGTAAAGCACTATGGAATCTGTTAGTGCTATATAAATGGCAATAATAATAATAAAAAAGAAAAAAAAGAAAAGAAAACCAATGTAGGCTGTACAACAAAATGGTAAATAAAATATACTTATTATAAAGATTCTTACCTTTTTAGGATCCATATTGAATTTTTTTCTTCCCATGGCAATCTGTTTATTCCTCTGTGTGGATTTGCTATTATGGGGGGGGGAAATTTTGAAATTACAAAATATTTACTGCAGACATATCTGGTGGCATTACTACTACTACTACATGTTAAATTAAAAAAACAAAACTGAATAAGATATCAGATAACAGGGCGCCACACTCACTTTAGTTGCCAATAAGAGGATTCCCATAAAAAGAGGAAACAATCAAAAAACATTCAGTTTATTAAAGATCAAATAAAAATCAAGATTAGGCAACAGCACAACATGCAGGGCCGGATTAACATAGGGGCTGATTGAGCAGTAGCTCCAGGCCCAGGCCCAGGCCCAGGCCCATGGAATAGGCCATTTCAAAAAATAAATAAAAAAATTACGTTTATTTTATTTTTGTACATTTTTTTGTACACCCTACTCTTAGGTTTTCCTCCTGACTGGTATTTTACCGTCACAGCCAGTATTTGAGGCTGCCTGGTGGGTGCCAATATTGCAGTCATACTGGCAATACAAATGCAGGTATTTTTCACAGTATAAACAGAGATTACTCTGCAATACCAGCGCCGACCAGTAGGGGTCACTGTGTGTGGAGAGAGGCAGGGATAGGAAGTTACAGCATCTCCCTGCCCCTCTCTACTCACTGATCCGTGGGGGAGCAGCTACACAGCACAGAGTCCAGACAGCAGCTCCCAGCCTGCAGAAACCGACTACAGCTCAGGGAAGTGAGGGATGGCGAGAAAGGCTGCAGGGTGACATGGGGGCACTGAGACACTAATGACACTGTGTCCCCATGGCTCCCAGCAAGTGTCCATAGTGTCCCCATTGCTCCCAGTGTTTGTGTTTCCATTTTTCTCAGTGTCCCTAGTGTCTTAGTGTCCCCAAATGTCTGTGTCTCCATGTCTGTGTCCTCGTATCCCCATGTCTCCAAGTGTCTCAGTGTCCCCAAGTATCCTAGTGACACAGGACACACTGAGCAATGAGGACACAGACACTGGGAGACTAGTGGACTGGGTGACATGGGGACACTGACACTATGATATATGGGGACATTGATGCCAGACTGGCCTTCCAATTCTTTGGGCAGACATGCCCCCTTTTTGGGCATTTTCGCTCCTTTTGGCAGTTCTAGTCACGTGATTCCTGTCAGTGGCCCACCCTTTTACACCACCCATTGACTTCCTGCTTCACTGGACACTGCTGTTAGGAGGAATGGATTTACTTGAAAGATGAACGCATTAGAGAGAGATTAGCATATTGTAAGAGAATCTGTGTTTTCTTATAACTGCATCCTATGAGTTTCCCTCTGGCACCATCTCCACCAGATACATAACGTTGAGAGGTTTGACTGTTTTAGTGTTTTTGGTCGATAAGATTCTGTAATTAGGCCCCTCATAATTGTCAGCACCAGGCCTTCTGGGCTCTTAATCTGGCCCTGACAACACGTGCAAATATTGCAATATATATAGCAGCTTTAATAAAACATGATACAAGTTATAATAGTATAAAGTGCATGTGCTAAAGTGCAAATGATACTGTAGGAGGGAAAGTGCAGGGTGCTTGTCAAGCCGCTAAGATCAGCAGCTAACTCCCACTACTCCTTCACAGACTGCAGTAAGAGCACATAACAAAAAATACAAACAATACACAATGTACATGTAAAAAAGACTGCTTATACCAAACAATAGGGTTCTTGATAAGCAGCTCATGAGGAAGTTGGATCGATTAAACGCGTAGAGCCCCATCAAGAACCCTATTTGGTATAAGCACTCTTTTTTTACATGTACATTGTGTATGGTTTGTATTTTTTGTGTTATGTGCTTTTACTGAATGAATGGTCAAGAAAATCGGAGTGTCAAAGTGAATTTCACATTCAAACAACCAGCTATGCTTTCAATTTGTCTCTCTTGGCCTAAAATAGGAGATTCACTTTATGACAAGTCAAATTTTGGTGAACATTCTGATAGTGCTGCAAAAGTGTCGCAAAATAGACATGCTGTTGATAAGCCTAGTGTATTTTAAGCTCAAAAATATTTTTCCATTATTTGAAAATCCCTTCCATCATTCAGTGGAATATCTCACACATTTAGTACACTGGCATATTGTTTACCAGCAGGAAAACCCTAAGTCTCAGGTGGGGCGTATGTACTCCATCACTGCGGTTTAATAAGGGTAAGTAGGATTGTAAATCCCAGGACAATTCATTATTCTAGAGCTTAATTCAAAACAAGTTCTTTAAAGGGACACTATAGTCACCCAGACCACTTCAGCTTAATGAAGTGGTCTTGGCGCCAGGTCCCTCAGGCTTTAACCCTTCAGATGTAAATATAGCAGTTTCAGAGAAACTGCTAGGTTTACATTTGGGGTTAATCAAGCCTCTAGTGGCTGTCTTCCGGACAGCCACTAGAGGCGCATCTGTGACGCTGGAGGCAGGAGGCTTTCCTATGGACACTTTGAATGCATGCGCGGCAAGCATTCGGCTCCAGTGACGGATGGGGGAGCTGATGTCGAATGGGGAGGAGAGGTCACCAGCACCGAGGGAGCCCGGCACTGGATTAAGGTAAGTGGCTGAAGGGGTTTTAACCCCTTCAGCGCCACGGAAGGGGGACCATGAGGGTCAGGAAAACAAAACTATAGTGATCGTTTAAATTGTGCTAGGCTACTGCCTCAATCATATTAAACCTTTGTATGCCTGAGGGTAATGGGATTTTTATCTTAGGTGCAGCAATTGAACAATTTGCACATGACACTTAACAGTTTTAGAGACTTTACTGTAGGAATTTTCTTTCCTCCTCCCAACTGCTTTATTTTGTCCTACATTCTGCAAGTTGGTTGTCAATTTAGTGAAAGACGCTAAGCAAATATTTTGGATTTAAGAACAGCAAATCATACCTTTCTTCTACTGACGTCAAGTTATCGATTTCAGTCATCACCTCCGCAATTTCAAATTTCAACCGCTGGAGATAAAAATAAATAAAATTACCATCAGTTGACATCTACTGAGTGAGCCCAACAGAGAACTTAAGAAGTTTTAAATTTGACAGAATTATTGCACGTACAATGTTGCATGGGATTATCTAGGATTACACATCATAGATACAAATAGACAAACTTTAAAGGGACTGAAAGTCTATGTAAACCACTAGTCTTGGAAGGCCTAAACTTCAAAGCTGTATACATAAAACATTTTATATGTGCGAGCGGGAAAGGATTAGGAACCTGGAGTGGAAGCCTATCAAATTGTTATGTTTGTAACAAAGGTTTGTGAGGTTTTAAAGGTTTAGTACATTGATTGCTAAATTTAGCACACCCCACGTTGCTGAAATACATTTCGTACAATGCACCGTCAGTCATGAGACTTGGGAATGGCTACTCAAGGTTGGCCATCACAGATTTGGGAGATCTGTTTAGGGATTAGCTCACCAAACCCTTTTAAAGGTTGTGCAGTGTTCTCAAACAGAAATATGGCCCAAACCACTATCTTACAAAATGTGGGGTTGTGAAAATGTAAAGGGAGTTACAAAATTTGACGTCAAAAACAACCAAATATAACAGACTTGGTGAATTTTTCCTGTTGAGCTATCTTGCCTAACTTTGAAATTCACATAGAATGTCTTGCAATTCATACTTTAGTGAAAATTATAAATGATTTTCCCTCTCCTTTTAGCTATTGTGCAAGAGAACCAGAAGACAGTGGATATTTGGTCCTTAATTCATAAAATATGAGCGAGTGCCTGCTCACATATTTTTTTGATAATTCGTATCATACTCTGATCAGTTTCAACTTGTGTAGATTACACTGTATTTAGACGAATGTACAATATGATATTGCCTTCTACAAAGCAAACATTCACTTGCATAAGCACTACAATTTGGCAACGTGTCTACTAGTGTTCTACTTGCCCTAATCATCTATCTTTCTATTTAAATTGTAAGCCATTCGGCAAGGATCTAAAAACCCACAGTATAGCGTTTTTGTGTTTTGGTGGTTGCAAATCCTCTGTTGCATCACACTATAAAGAAGGTCTGTAGTCTGGTGACAGTGGTGGCCCTTCAAGTACATGGAATGTGGCGTCATGTTTGACGAACAATTTTGACTTATGTGTTTGATATGGCATGTTATCCTACCTATCTTCTAGCCATTAGAAGATGGGAATATGGTGTCCATAAAAAGATTTGCATGGCCGTAAACAATCCTCACACTCTGCACAGATCAGATTCTTTATCAACTACAAGGTAAGAGAAACAATCTACAGTGCGTGATAAGGGAAGGAGAGAGGGTGTGGACAGGGAAGTGGCATCTGGTTGCTCACTCTTCTGTCACATGCCCTCTATAACTGGGCTTGGAAGTCTTCCCTGGAAGTGGTCAATAACCAGTGTCTTTAAATGTCTAAATACACAGTCATTTTATTAGTGGCCCCAAAGTGAAGGTCTTCCATTGTGCGTTGTTCCTCCATCTGCATGAACCACACTGTCAAGTGTCCAAAGTTTCATTGTAAGGGGAGTGTGCATGTACGGCAAAACACCACGTAGCGCCAATCTGATGGTCTCTGTGAGGTCATCGGATTGAAATATCCAAGTTTAAAAGAGTTAAAACAATAGGCTCAACTACATGGACATAGCACCCAGTCCACTTCATGGAGATAAATTGGCCTAGTGCCTACATAGTCTTTTTAAAATCAAATGCTGATCCTGCCATCTGCAAGTCCTAGCAGAAATCAATATCAGACAAGGAGCAGTGTTCCAATCTTCTATTGTCTCAATTTGATGCACCTGTTCCCACTGTAGAATTCATTTCCTGTTCTTAGCAGGCAGTGTTGGAAAATGCACATGGTCTTCTGCTGCCGTAGACAGTTGTCCTGCCTGTTTATTTCAGTTAATGTCACCTGCCTGTCAGCTTGAAACAGTCGGACGTCTCACTTTAATAAGAGGTTTTCACCAACAGAACTGCCACTCGCTACATGATTTCTGTTTTTCTCACTATTTTTCGTAACCTCTTCAGTCTGTTGGTAATCATTCCTGGAAATCAGAAGTTTCCGAAATACTCAAAACACATGTACTTTAGTCACTGTGTACTATGTTTTGTAATGTACACCAGTCAGTAAATACCTCTTTTCAGTGCATCTAAAATGTACCCTTGTGCGATGGAAACTACCGCTTATCCAAAGAAAAGCCACGCAGGTCATCAAGAGCCAGGAAGTACTCCTGATCCTGACATTATGGGAAAGGGCAGCATATCTTTAAAAAAAAAAAAAAAACCAAAAAAAACACTCTGGGATTGTTTTATACCTTCAAACTAAGCATGGCATTAGTGAAGTGATGTGTCTGACCAAAGTGGATTTAAGATGGCAGTGCCCATGCAGCAAGGGTAAGCCAGGAGATGCACTGAAGAGTTATTCACATTTAGTTATACAAGAATACATCATTTTATTTTCAGGAATAATTGCCATTTGCCTTTAAAGGATCACTATAGGGTCAGGAAACCAAACGTGTATTCCTGACCCTATAGTGTTAACACCATCTAGCCCCCTGGGCCCCTCATGCCTCCATAAATATAGTAAAAATCTTACTGTATTCAAGCCAGTAGCTGTAGATCTGCATGCTGTTAGACTCAAACACAAGCAGTCTGCTGACATGTGGTAGCCTGATCCAATCACAGTGCTTCCCCATTGGATTGGCTGAGACTGACAAAGAGGCAGATCAGGGGCAGAGCCAGCATAATTCAAACACAGCCCTGGCCAACCAGCATCTCCTCATAGAGATGAAATGAATCTCTATGAGGAAAGTTCAGTGTCTGCATGCAGTGGGAGGAGATACTGAATCACAGGATGCTGTGCACGTGCTGCCCTGTGCTCTGCTGACAGCAGATCTGAGTCCCTCTGGTTCACTCTGAGTGACAACATTGAAAGCTAGGAACATCTCCAGTTGCAAACAGAAAATACAGTGTTTACATGAGAAAGGCTGCAGGGAGCTATAGTTCTCACCTGACCCGCTTCAGTCTGGTTTCCACTCTGTGGAAGCAGCACTGACCAAAGTATCCAATCATCTACTCGCTGCAAAATCTTGTGGTCACTACTCTATCCTAATTCTCCTTGACCTGTCTGCGGCTTTTGACACTGTTTACCATCAACAGCTTCTTCTCATCCTCCGCAATATTGGTCTACAAGATATTGCTCTCTCCTGGTGCTCCTCCTACCTCTCCCAGCGCTCTTTCAGTGTTTCTTTCTCTGGCTCTGCTTCTTCTCCCCAACTCCTCTCTGTTGGTGTCCCCCCAAGGTTCAGTCCTTGGTCCCCTACTGTTCTCCATCTATACTGCCTCCCTTGGTAAACTCATTAGCTCCTTTGACTTCCAATATCATTTCTATGGGGATGACACGCAAATCTACCTGTCCTCTCCTGATCTCTCCCCGTCCCTCTTGACTAGTATCTCTGACTGTCTCTCTCCTGTTTCTAACTGGATGGATGCCCACTTCCTTAAACTAAATTTGACCAAAACTGAAATTCTTGCTTTCAAATCTCTACATAATGCTGCTCCCACCTAACTATCCTCCATTATACACAAGTATGTCCCGTCTAGGCCCTTATGATCTGCTGAAGACTTACGTCTATCTTCTGTCCGTACTCCCACCTCTGATGCTTGCCTTCAAGATTTCTCGAGGGCTGCACCGTTCCTGTGGAACTCTCTTCCCTCCTCCGTTAGATGCTCACCCAGTCTCCACTCCTTCAATCGTTAAAAACCCACTTCTTCATAAAAGCGTATCAATTAAACTGTTAATAGCTCCTGACTGATTCCTCTTCTGCAACTGTCACTAGTCTAATACTATCCTTACCTTTTTGTGTCATTTTACCCCACTCCCTCTAGCATGTAAGCTCATTGAGCAGGGCCCTCAACCCCTCTGTTCCTGTGTGTCCAACTTGTCTGGTTACAACTACATGTCTGTTCGTCCACCCATTGTAAAGCGCTGCGGAATTTGACGGCGCTCTATAAATATCATAATAATAACAACCTCATTAAGCTGAAGTTGTTCAGGTGTCCCTTTAATAAGCAGGTGTAAATAAAGTGATCACATTAGTGTATGTGATGGACATGTACTAGAAAACAAGCATGTTATAAGTCCTGGAACAGTTTATATTATTCTACACAACCTTATTTTGCCAATGCATTGGTTGCATTTACTCAGGGAGTGCTCATAACAGCCCAGGGAATGTATGTGAAGTATGAGGAAATTCCAAAATCTATGCAATGTCTAGTATTTAGTATGCGGTGATAAAACTAATCTTAGCCGTACGGAAAACATTTGTGCTCAGAGTAGCTTTCAATGTGTGCAACACCAGAATTATACAAGCAAAACTTTGGAGTGTTTATGATGGATAGAGATGAAAAAAAATGGGTGAGAGTTACCCTTTACATGTAATCTTTACCACTAATTAAATTATGTTTAAAAATAACAATTAAACTGTGGCTCCCTATGGTGGCAACAAGACACTATACAGTAGATTAAAAAATTATCAGTCATGTTTATATTTCGATTTAAAAAATAAATAAATTACATGCTAAAAAAACAAACAAAAAAAAAACATCTATATGAAACATTTTTGTTAACATCTATCCTTTTTAGAAGGCTATGGCTGAACTAATTAGCGCTATTTTACCTTATGGCCATTCTTTCTGAATGTTAATTCTCCTCCAGGACTTAAAGGTGCACCCCAAGCAATTTTTTTCCCTTGAAATCTTCAGTTTCGATTACAAAACTACTCTTAAGTAGAAACAGTTCCTGTATTAACCCCTTAAGGATCAATCACTGTAGAATTCTAAAATTATAAAAAATTCACGCAACCTAATCTGAAATGTGATAGTGTGTCAACACAGAATGTACTACTGACTTAAATCACAGCAGGTTTGTATAGGTCTGTGATGCTAAATAAGCAGAAAATTGCATTCTGTCATTGTGTATTTAGGGATCAGGATAATCATGGCAAGAATCGTCACTGGTCCTCAAGATGTTAATACACCAAACAGCAAAAATAAAAAACCAAAACAAACAAAGACATTATGGAACACATAATGATACGTAACGGATACCGTGAACTGTGTACATGGGATTCTGGAGATATAAGCCACAAGAAACAAAGTCATGTACTTTATTATTTTAAATTATTTTCCCACAAATGACATCTGTTCTGCAGAGGTTTGTAAAGCATGATCTGCCCATTCCAATAATAGCCAGATTATGTAATATATTATTGCATATCTATTTAAAATTCTATGACAGATCCACTATTTTTTAATTTATTTTTTTACTTCCTAAACTGGAAGTTAGAGTAAATAATTGTGGCGTATAATAATAATAATAATCTGCACACACATGTTGATAATGCTCACGGGGTAATTTACGGTTAACATGACAGACTGAGAGCTGCAATGAGTCACTGCATTTTTTTTTGTGTAGCCCCCTGCTTTCTCAGCAATTGAGCACCCATGTGTATTACACTATTCAATGCTTCAATGATTCACTAAATCAGCTGTGCAGAGGTTTTTAGAGCTACGCTCTGTGAGTATACACACACATTTACATTAATATTTAAGATTGATTTCAATGAGAAAAGCCATGTGTATAACAGGACATATATTGCACATTACATTTATATGATATTATACACATTCTGACTTCACAATGTGAAAACACGATAATGTAAATTTGTGTAGAATCCAAGGCTATGTATAGTCTCGATGTCAGTGAGATAGTTCAGAGGATAGGGCTCCAGCATTGAAGAAACCGGTTTGATACCTAGCAGGGTCAGCTCATCATTAGAGCCTTCCAAGGTTGTTAAAAGGAGTAGCATTAAATTAGGCAACAACATCCAGACCCAATGTAGTTGAAAAATATTCAACACTTATTCTACACTTAGATATTACTCTGAATCCAGATTAGAATGTTGTATGGTTATTGTGATTAAGAAAATAAAGTCTGATTCTAATCTACGAAATGTACTGTATTATACACTAAAATACAGTTAAGGGAACTTTTAAGTCTCAGTGTTCCAAGTTATAGGCTTGAAGTGATAAGGCTTAATAAGGCTTTGAAACAAGTAGTATGAGATCAGAGAACAATATAGTTATACAGTAACTACAGTAAGATTAATGTTTTCCTACCATAGCACACAGCTTTATTATAGAAAAAGGAGAACAGACAATCTATACAAATGTCTAGGTGTATTAATAAATGTAAAAATAAATCTGGTTCCTCCCCTCACCTACCAGATAACCTTCCAAAATCCTATATAAATACTCTGGTCTATAAAGACAGTTGAGTGCATCCGTAGTACCCAACAATCCAAAAAGGAATCCAAAGCAACATGCAACATAGTTGCATGAATGGCATGAATGAATACATCTGAAAAAAATATATATTTTAATTTATGAAGTGTTTTATGGCATAACCAATTTTGTATATAGCAATATAAAATTATGTCCCATGCACAAGCCAGGTCTAATCACACCTTGTAAAACAAAATTACTGAATTTTTGGAAGGTGGGAAGTCCTGCTTGTTGAAATACTAATGAAAATACTATAAATGACACCTGAAGGATTAGGAAAGGTTCTATAGAGTAATAACTTCACCTCTATGTCATCGATGAGCTCTTTCTTCCTCCGTCTTATATTCAATAGTTCTTCACGCTCTTCTGGAGATAGATCCTCAGGTACTGGGGATAAAGGAAGAAATAGAATATCAGCCAAGAAAAAAAAAAAAGAGGTATTTTCCGAATTGTGAAACAAAAAATTACCACTTCCTATGTCAAAACAGTATGACAAATAAAATGTCTAATTACATTATGTTCTGGTTTCATGGTTATTTGAATTTGAGAATTCAGAGTAAAATTTTCAATTTTAGGTCAAAATGATCAAGCTTACCAAAACCAGAGGGATATCCTGCAAGTGGGGATTGTATACTACTGCATTCTGTTTTACGTAGAGCTGGTTATAGCTCTACCATATGTGAGTTGACATCTTATCAAAGTGTTTATCCTACCACGTAATACCATATTGCACTATTGGTTTGCCTCTGTTTTGCTTCCTTTTCATATACGGCCATTAAGCGAAGCGACCATACCAGGACTAGAAGATCTATTGCCACCTTTGAGACTGGGCCATACCATTTGGTATTTTTTATTCTTTTCAGTTTTATGGTGGACTCTTTATATCATGTGGGTTTTTATTTCTCTTATTGCGCTTATTATTATATACTGTTGTGTTTGGAGTATTTTTCTTGGCGCTACCTGTATATTGTTGCTTGATTTGTTCTAGATTTCTTGGGGGTTGGAGGGATTCCCCTATTATCAGGTGTGCTGCCTCCCATCCTAGTGTTTATAGTTTTAGCGCTTTATTCCTTGTTCAGTTTATAAAGGTCCACTGCAAAGGACTTCCTTTCAAAAGCAAGTTCTAACTCACAGTTTGCGGCAGAGAAAGAGAATGGCCCAGTGTGTCTCCTTTCAGCTCAAATCTGCTGTATATTAGTGTCATGTGGCTTATTATTCCTAGTTTGATTGTGCGGAGCTAGACAATAAAATGTGATCGTCCAAACGGTTTCTATACTGTACAACCGTGATGTGTAACCTTAGCATCACAGATATTTGCAAACTATGTTTCCCCATGATGCACAGCCAGCTTTTAGATTACAAGCAATACGTGTGTCAAGCTTAAAGGGACACTACTAGTATCATACAACCATTACAACTGGCTCTAGTGATTAGGGTACCAGTAGTGCCCTGGCGCTCTCCCAGTATAATTTGTCAAACTGTTTAAGACCGGTTTGATAACATACCGGATTTCTGCAGGGTACCTGCAGCTCCTTTCTGGAGAACTCCATTTAACTTCACTGAGCTAAGCAGGATCCTGCAAGGCCTCACTCACTGGCTGAGCCAAGCACTCTCAGCCAATGATCATGGCCCTGTATCGGCTGAGCTTTTCGCTCTGTGAAGACATCTGGTTTCTCCAGCAGGAAAAGACCGGATGCGGCACAAGCATCCATGACACCCGTGTAAGTTTTAAAACATTTCTAAGATCATTTGACAGACTACAATAGGCGGTAGCCAGGTGGCAATCCTGGCACCATAACCACTACTGCAGAGTGTTCCTTTAACCTAAGACGTAATAGAATGCCTCCATACTGTTAAATATATTTGATAATGATCAACATTAAATAGCTTAATAAAAAACGATAAGCCAGATTTAGTCGAATATAAAATGCAAGATAAACAATGCACACAAAAAACTGCATTTTTTTACTCTGCTAAGAAAATGCGCAAAGTTTGACGAAAGCATGTGATTTGAGAACGGGACTAAATTCCCATTTACCAAAATGAGCTATAAAGCTATGCTTTTTCCTTGTAAATAGCAACATGAATGGTGTACAAGGAATGAAAACAACGCATTAAAACCATCAGTAGACATTTTTCTGTAAGCAAAGAATCAAATTCCAAAGAACCAGGAATGTTACCTGCTGATGTACCAGCAGGGGTTAATCGAATACAGGAGCTCTGTGGATGCAGAGGGCTGCAGCAGCCTGTGTTAACCTGGGCTTGCCTTTGATCTTCAGCTGGAGCCAGCAATCAGTGGATTGTCTACACAGAACACTCCCCAAGAAACCAGCTTAATGCACAGTCTTTGAACCACAATACAACGCAGATAGACAGATACTTCAATATTATATTGAACCAGTAACAGAAATGGCACAATGCAGAGGGAGAACGAAGAGAAGCAATTAACAATCACGGCCTTGATAAAGGATTTTAAAGGGTTCCTCTATGTACGTTACGTGCAAAAGTGTAATGTCATTTCCTGATTCATATCGGAAAATGTTCACAAGCACAGCGTTCAACATGTACAAAGTGAATGACTCTCATATAGAAAGAAAAATACTGGAATCAGGAGTTTTGACAATAAGGAAGAAGAAGAACAATTAATGCACAATAAACCACATTAAATGCTACACTAATCCAAAATTGAAACACATGCTGCATCACTCACTGCACAATATACATGCCAGGAGAAACTGTGACAAGGACTAGAAATGACATGGCTGTAACAAAATGAAGCCATTAACACTTTCCAACATTTATTTACTGTATAACTGTACACAGAGGGGTATTTACTAGAGTGGGAATTGTCAGGGATTCAAAGAGTTCCAAACTTAGGACCAAAGTAGCTTAACCGGAAACATTCCCCAAATCAACTATACTCCAAGTTCGACTGCTTTGGCCTTAAATTTGCTTTGAATTCCTGACAATTCTCACTTTAGTGAATAACCCTGACCGTGTTTAAAGTGATGACATCGCTAATGGTTTTTTTTTGTTTTTTTAAATGATCATAGCATCTTTATATGGGAGTTGATGGCACAAACCTCACTTTTTTTTTTTTAATCTTGTCTCATGGTAAGGGCCAATCTTTTTGCAAAATGTGGCAATGGCCTGCACCAAAGATCCAGTGGTCTTGCAGGATTTTCCAAAGACAGAATACACCAATGTGGATAGCTCCCGGCAAATGAAGAGCTGAAAAGAGACTGGTTTGAGTAATTCTCCCTTTTGCAGAGGGTGCCACCGTTTATGAATCATGCGCACACCGCACATGTGGCCCCCACAGAAATAAGAACTGATCCCCCAATCAGATACAAATCAAACTGCTCAAAAAAGAATTTACTTATGTATCGTACTTACAATATGCAGCCAGTGATAGGCTAGGGGGATCAGCCAATCAAAGGCCAGCACCCAGTGCTTCGAAAATCTCTCCATCTCTGCTCTGTATGACTGTCGAGCAGAAAAAGAAAAAATGACCAGGACGACCCAGGGAGCACCATAAATGACCAGAATTAAAAATAAAACTAATTTATAACGATGGAGCATTGAAAGCACCATTTAGATAAGAGCCCTTTTACTCTTCTAGGAGGGAGTGGAGGTGGGAAACGTTTACTTCCCTCTAAGCCAGTAGCAAGATGTTCACTCGCTGCAGCTCTGCTCAACCATCACGAGATATACATAGTTATAGCAATCTCCTCTGTACCACCAATGTTCCTCATGAAGTACTAAAACCAATGCTTCGCTCTGAGAATCCTCTTATCTGGATGAGTACCCACCCTGCTGTCTGACAAATATGCCAGTTTTATTTCTTTAAATTGGCATATTTCTAAAGTGAGGGTATACACTGATAACTCTTAAAAGGACTTCAGCAAGTTGAAGTGCTTGAGGGGTGTTGCAATAAAGCAGTTCTTTTAGTCTCTGGGATTTTTGCATGATTTTCAAAGATTCCTGAAAGGGACATACCCACATTGTGTGCTAAGCCTTGGGGAGAAGCGAATAGTAGATATACACTTACCTTCACCAGCTCTCGGCACCAGCCAGAGTACAACACAGAGGTCCACGGACAATTAAATGAGACAGCACGATCTTCCACAGATCAACAGAAATACGACTTGTGGAAGCAGCATGCGTGTGAAAGCGGAAGTACAAGGATATCCATGTGACATACACATGCTCACCATTTTTTCTCCCTCAAAAACTGTTTGAGACCAAAGGTTATCTAAGCCTGTTTGTGGTTTACATTCAAATCTAAGCACAAATCTCAATGTATCTTTCCTGGTAAAATATTTTATAAATAATGTAAGGTTGATGGGCAATCTGCTAAATAAAACATTAAACACACACACACACAATACAGCCAGATCTGTAACATAATTAGATGATTCAGTTACTTGAGCCCATAGCTGACTAATGGACTAAAACAAAACAAACAAACATACATCATGAAAACTCTACATATAAACAAAGATAGTAGAACGAACCATACGTCATAGCTCCACGATTTTCAATAAAACGGTCTTTTCAACAATTCGATTAAAATGTTCTGCTTCGTATGAGCTGCCACAGTCCACTGCAATGCTCACAAAAAAGGACAGTACAGTGGTGAAGTGTTACAAAATTCTGAGTGACAAAACCGTAATTGAATGTAGCACAACTGCTCAGACACTTCAGAAAATGGGTCCCCATACCCAATAAACTACTGGACATGAGCCAGTGGTATAAAGCTTGACACCACTGCAATCAAGAGGTGTTCTTTAGCAAGATTAATCTAGAATCACCAACACATTGGGTTTGGTGGACATTACGAGAATGCTACCTGCCTGACTGCAGTGTCCGCAATAAGGATTACAGTCCTTGGAAAGTTTGTCACAGTCCAAACTCTGCCCCTTTGCAGTTGTGGCACATCTTCACACTACAGGATACAATGGTAGAGAATTATATGCTTCAGATTTACAGCATCGGTTTTGGTAAGGCCCTGTTTCAGCATGACAAGGTCTCCATGCACAAAATGTGGTCCACGTTTTTTTTTTCCTTCAGAAAATGGTGTAGAAGAACTTGATTTATGGGGTTGAGGTCAGGACTCTGCACAAGCCGACCACCTCTGTAATTAAATTAAATTGGAATGATAACTGTAAGCCAGATCTAAATGTACAACATCTGTTACCAGCCTCCCAAACGCTCTACAGCTGAATGAAAGTGAATCCCATCTGCAATGCACGAATTAAAAACATGAAGGAATTACAGCAGCAAAGGGTAACCAGCAGCAAAGGGTAACCAATGCCATATTTAAGCAAAATATATATATTTTTTAAATAAAGAGCTCAACACACAGGTGTTCACGTATTTCGGTCCATATAGGGCAACATTGCAAATTACTTATTTTTTTTAATATAAGTTACTTCTAAAGTGGCACCTATTCAAACCCCATCATCTATTTGCCACTAAGAACACAGAAAATTCTAATCTGCAACATGTATTTCTATCGAATTTCTTAATTACTGCTACCTTTGGCATAGCTTGTTGAACCAGTGCTCCTTTGCATAGAATTCCCCCCCTTCACCCCCTCCCCAATCATAAAAGCACTTTAATCTAAACCACGCAACAATCTCATGAGCAGTCAGCAAGAGCACATGGTCAGCACTCCAAGAAAAAAATATCTTTATTAAAAGCGAAAAAATAAAGAGAAAAAAAATAAATACAAAAATGCATAAAAAAGTGATTATTAAAGTTGAAGTGTCCTTTCGTGGTATCCCATTAAACATTTTACAGTGTTGGAGCTCAATCCACGAATCTTAATCCACTAGAGCCCAACCATGAAGAGTCTGGACATCACCAGCCTTGGAAATCTACATTTTGAACAAGTTTGGCAAGAAACGCATTAGTCATTTTTCTAGATTACATATTATTAATAAATGGATCAAATTTGTGGGTATTCATTTTAGAACATCCTATGGAAGAACAAGCCTTTGTCTCGACTGAGCTGATTAATATTATACACAAAGGTCAGAGGAAACACTAATCTTTGGGGCTTTCCAACATTAAAATGTTCTAGATGTCAAACAGCCATCCCATCACTACTGTAAACTGCATAAGTAAGGAATACTAAAATATCTTAAACAAGCTGATCATTCACTACATTAGTATACAATTAAAATGCAATGTCAAGAGTGATGTGTCAGCCAGTTCACACTTTGTAGGTTTAAGCCAAACCCTACATATCTGTGATAATGCTCCCCCACTTCACTAACCACAAAGTAAAAACGTAACCAAGTGTTACGGATATGTAGGATACCTGTGAGGTCCAGACTTGTTAAAATATCTCTCTTACATTCCATATTGTGTGAAGGCTATGGAATATTTAAGATTGTTAAACAGTTTGCCTCATTTTAAACATTAGATGGTCAGCCGTTTTGGTACGCCATCAGGTAATAGGATGTAGGGCTAGTTACCAACTAGCAGAAAGGGGAGAGGCTAAGAGTAAACTCAGATCCAGCATGGACGCAGTCAACTTCAAGAGCCATTGAAGGAACGGACAGTGACTAAAGGAAAACGGCGGCTTGCAAGTTATTCGCAGACCCTTTTTATTGGTAAAAGATTAGTGCCCCTTCTGAATGCACATTTTACGGTTGAGATAAATTTTGCTTTGCTTGAGCTTTAAATACTAGGGGCATAGTACACCCATAAACCACTTCATTAGTAGTGCATCATGAGTGTTCTAGTCCCCCATACAAGGCGCTGGATTGCACAGTACAGGAAAGCATGCAAGTATCATCTATAGAGACGTGGTTGACACCTCAATCTATTGTGTGTCATATACACTGAGTAGAATGGTACAATTGCCCTTAGCAGTAAGACTGATGCAGCACATTTATATACCAGTTTCCGGTTTCAGAAAAGGTGTCAATAACTACACACCAAAAATAATCCACTTTTTAATGAGAACGTTGCTTGCACTGTGTTTAGTAAACAGTGACTTCTTCAATTTCTTGCTGGGTCCGCAAATGAAACTAGAAGGCTGTCCACCTGCTGTCATATTGGGGAGTATTTATAGACACACACAAAGTGCAGACAGAGGAAACCGTGGCGACAGAAAATTACATAATTTCTCATTTTAGGTCATGCCAATAATCTGGATTTGCTCACATGGAACAATAAAAGTTTTCCTTATAATCTGGCTAAGTAAAGGTCAGTTTGGTTGGGAGCAGATTGATTTTTTGCTGCTCTAACAATTATATATTTACGACATCTTGACAAGACATTCCACTACACATTTACAGCCCTGCGTTTCTTATATACCTCCTTCGGAAAGTAACATTAATATGAGCTTTATAGCTCCACTTGTAGAATATGATGCTCATTGTGGTGTCATTGTCATATGATATTTTTTTTCACATTTAGAAAAAACACAAAAAATCATTCCGACAGTCATCCTGTTTTGGCACCTTTTGCCTATGACTCTAACCATGGACTACACATTGATTAATCCCTCAATTGCCAGAAATAACCAAAATGCATCATTACCACTCAGAGTTAAGTTCCAGAAACAAACGCACAGAAAAAAAAAAAAAAAGTAATAAAATTAACTGGACTCTGACCCAATCTTCCTGTCTCACCAAGTCACAAGATTGAATTACTGGGAAAGCACAATTGCTGTTTATGTGTCTGCTTTTCCTCCGTGTTACCGGCCCTACTGGAAATCCACCCACATGTGTTTTCAAAGCGGCTTCGCAGCCACAGAAATCCCTCTCTTGTTTCCCACCAATTGAGACGCATCACAGACACAGGAGCAGTTTTGCACTGGCTCGGTTTATGTAGTCTGGTGTATGGGAAACAGCTCTCATTTAGAATCTGGAAGGCTCATGGGTTCGCCCACCCAGGCATTTTTTTTTTTTTTTTTTTTACAATGGACTGGTCTTAAAAGCTAAACATTTATAGATTAGGTTAACTGCTTCTAACACATTTTAGGTTGTCTTCTGCAGACCGACAACTGGAATTGGCAGTTTTAGGTGTGGTTTATGGGGATACAATAAAGTCAACCAAATTTAAATTAAGAGTAGACTCAGTTTTCCTCAATCAATTAAAGGCCACGTTTCCAATTATCTACAGATACTGGACACAAAAAGGTATAATGTAGAAAGAGACAAATCAGCGGTTATAAAAAATAGTGAATGTAAAAAAACACAAAAAAAAAAAAAAACACAACATGGATCATTTGCCCCATCATGCTCCTCTAGCAGTTTCACAAGAGGTTATATACAAGGAAATGGAAATTGTGGCGAACATGGGGAAAAAAGGCATATTTTTCAGTCACATTTTTTTCAAAACACTCACTAAATATGCATATTCATATTTAAGTTTGTTCTGTGGGCCAAAAACGCATCTACAAGAATTGGATGATATTTTAAACAGGAATTTAAAAAAAGGAATTTTAAAAAAAAAATTACAGTCAGTTCGGTATTCTGCAAATTAAATCACACGTCACAGTAGATGAAGAGTACACTATCAACCACACTGGTGTCTGAGCACAATGCGATTAGCTGTCCTATCAGCAGAAATATTAAATAATACATTTTTACCCTTAGAGCATCAGCAGGAGAAGGAAATTAACTTAAAGTTGCTAACAAACCGAAAACAAATGTGCCAAGGAAAAAAAAAAAAAAAAAAGTTTAAAAAGAAATTTAAAAAATTTTAAAGTTGAAGATGCACAAATCTCCCCAACCCTTTCTTTCACAACCAGGTGGTGTTTTGGGCATCCAGAAAAGCAAAGGTTTAAATCTAATTTTTGTTATAGTATGCATCAATAGCACATTATTTATTGGAAAGAAAAATAAACATTCTGATTGGAAGAAAAAGAGGATGAGCGCAGTATTAGGGAGCTAAGAGCAAGACAGGATGAGTGAGGGTAGGCTGTGTTTTTGGGTTCATCCTCCCCGCACACTGAACAGCTTGTTTATTTGTGTTGCCCGATTAACGATTGTCTTTTGAGTATTTAATTATATCAATTAGGCCATATGCTACATGTCTGCACCTCCAGCATGGTGCAGGCCCCTCTGAATGCTTCCCTTCCAGTCTCTGACCAGGAAGAAGCATCGGCAAAGAGCTGCTCCCAGCCAGACGTACAGGCCGGAAGTGAAAGCAGCGCGCGCACACACACACGTGTCCCATTGTGAAGGGGTTAATATTGCAGGCAGCACTTATTTGGAGGACATCAATTTTTCATTACTTTGGGGAATAGAAGGAAGATCTGTGCAACAAGCACTCACAGACACAATGTGAAGAGAACAAGTGTCAGGCACATATGACTGTCACATAGCCATCCATTTCCCTGAAACGTTATAGAAGTGTGAAGAAAAAAAAAAATGATACTGCAACATTTAAACCATAACAAAAAAAACAAACCTGCAGAGTTTTGGTTTAAGGCCTATAGATCATCATAGAAGCCCTGTTGGACTCCAGCCCCCATAACTTGATCTCAATAAAGTTGTTATGGTTGCTGGAGTCCATTGGAGACTTAACACCCCGATGATCTACCTCACAAATATATTCTCATGCTTTACTACCACTCAGATACATTTCCCATACACACTTCTACGATATCAGGGTAAACCCATATTAAAAAGAGCACTATAGTGTCAGGAAAACAAACTAGAGGCTGGATTAACCCTGCAATGTAAACATAGCAGTTTCAGAGAAACTGCCATGTTTACAGCTGCAGGGTTAAAACCTGGGGTAACTGGCACCCAGACCACTTCATTGAGCTGAAGTGGTCTGGGTGACTATAGTGGTCCTTTAAGACTGGCAAAATATCTGGGAAGCAACTACTTGGCTTTCCTTGCGCGTCATTTAAAAAAAAATTAAAAAAAATTAATAAATCCAGAAATAAAATAATTATTCTCTGTTAACTGTTCTGGAAGTTACTTACACATATTACTTAATAAAATTTTATTTTAGAATGCAGATAAGCAGGAGCAAGGCCTAACTGCAATGCTGGTTTGCTTTGAGTTACACAAGTCAAGCTGTCCTGTGGGATAATTGTTTAACTAAATGGACTTTGGTGGGGACCCTCAATCTAAAATATTTAGTGCATACAAATTGCAAGGGTCACTTCCGATCCCTTACTATTTACGCAGGGCTGAAAACTAGTTGAGGTTTTGCTTTGATGGCATGTACTTTGTTTTGCCAGCCGTCTGCTTCCGATACGTCTCTGCACTTCAAAATGTGTTGCTTTAGGGCTTACAGCATCAACATGACTGTATATTCCGGTTATACTGCACAATAAAAATATGAAGTTACTGTACAAGTAAGGAATTATAAAATATCAATACGAAACAAATTTTATTAAAAAAAATAAATAAACCAGAAAAAAAAAAAAAAAACACACACCTTCTTGCAGCATATGCCATCCTAAAATTAAAGAGGAGCAACCCTGACACACTTGCAAACAAACTGTCAGGATCAGCATCAAAGGGCATGTATTTTTGTAGGGGGGAGTTCAATGATACAGATAAACTATATAGTGAATCGTGGGAAAAAGCTCTAGCACAAAAGAACACACATAAAAGTGGTACATAAAATAAACTACATTTACTTCGATGCCTTGCTAGCCTAAAAAATGGATGCCAATGCTTTTTTCTTGGGCAGAAAACTCCCTATTCCCTCATTAGAATTTAATGGAATGTTTACAAAAAGTTATTCACTAAACGGTAAATGAATATTATATTGAGCTAGATAAATAGCAAATAATTTTACTAATTATGTTTGGGTTTTTTGTTTTGTTTTTTAAATTAAATTATCCTGTAGTTATCTTCTCAATGATTCCCAATTTAGTTAATCTAGTTTATAGAATATGTCTGTGCCTTACATCACATTTTAAATACTTACATTTTAGAAAGAAACAATAGGGCCAGAAAAATGTTCGAAGGACGATCAGTGACAGAAGCCCCAAACAAAATAGTGGGTGTGGAATATTTTTCCCACAGAATGTGCTAATTTCTACAGATATATATTACAGTAAACTAAAAGGGAAGTAATAAAAATATGTCTCCACATTTTCCCAAACTAAAAACTACAGTAAAAAAATAAAAAATTAATAATTAGTATATAAATAAAAAATGTCTGATGCACAGTCAAATTTCAAAAACTGTGAAAAGGCTTTTGCAAGCCAGTTTAATAGAAGGCAGAATAACCACAGGCATAACGATTGATAAGGATTTTGAGTGGTCAAGATGACATTTAAACATTTTCACATTTTTTTTTTTTTTTTTATGTGACGGCACATAAGAACATCTGCCCTATTTTTTAAATACTTTCATTAGTTTCTGGCCTTATCTTAAATCTAGGATAGCCTTATGCCTATCCCACACATGCCTAAACTCCCTCACGGTTTTAACCTCTACCACTTCAGCTGGAAGCCTATTCCATGCATCCACTACCCTCTCTGAAAATTCTCACACCAACGTGATTTGAAAACAAGGTCTGATGTCATTCAGAAAACAACTTTCTATTCTTGATTTTTAAAGGGGGCACCGAGACTTCTTGATCTGCAGACAAACACTCTACCATTGAGCTATAACCCCAATTTTAAAGGAAAAGGCAAGCTCTGATATGCTAGCTTTGGCAGCTTACAGCTGTTCATCAAGCACGTATACCAGGACAGGTCTTCTGCACAAATCTAAAACAACACATAAAGGCCAGTGGAACGTATAAATGGAATGAGATACTTCAGACATCTAATAAAATGGAATTGAAACATTCACACAGAATAGTTTTTCACCTTAATAATTTGTTCATAGCATTACTATATATAAGTGTATAATCATCCACATCAATGAATTACAGTTTGAAAATGAGCTGCATTCTTCATTTCCTTTTAAGACTCCAATAATGGCACGCACATGCAACAAGGGCTCATCTGACCTTACACATGATAAAAAAAAAGCACATCAGATTATCATAACCATTTGTGTTTAGGAAGTGACAGAAAAATATTAAGAGGACTAAGTCACGCATAACAGGACCAGGTTCTGTTCAAACCTCTTTATACTTCCCACATCTATACATTGTGCTAGCAAAATAGTGTAGCTGCAGAGTAAATTAGAGATTATAGCATAAAGCAAATTTGTTTTAGGATACAACATCTAGGATGGTTTGTCATTCTAAAGGCTGGCAAAGAAATAATGGTTGTAATAGTAGTACATCACATGGAAGAGATGCATTTTTTGGGGGCACCTACTGCCTAAAGCTTCAAACTGATTCAACAGAAGTCAAAGATAACATCGGCTTTGGCTGCCCCAGGTGGCTTCCTAGAAGAGGTATGGTTCGAGCAAACCTCTAATCTGTACGTCTGCTAGCTTTTGGTTAAAACGCGTTGTATAGATGAAACCAAAAGGGTAGGTTTTTGACAGGAATGTTTTATAATGAGGTTTAGTCACTTCCTCTAAAAGAAACCTGCAAATTGTTCCATCAGTTAAGTCAGGAATAGCTAGAAAAGCAAGGTGTCTTAACCAAAATGTGCTCTCGCTCAAGGTTACATTTCCTTCTTGTTATGAAAAACCAAAAAGGTACAGTAAAAAAATAAAATAAAAAGAAATCCTGCAACTGGAGTAAAGCTGCCAAACAAGAAAAGATGCCCCCATCACCTAAATGTGTGGAGTAGAGGAGGAGTGGTTTCTTAAAGGGACACTCCAGGCAGCTGGAAATTGAAGATACTATTTTTTTTTTTTTTTAAGTTCCTGCTTTTACTGGAAATCTCCAGCCTGTACAGAATTTGCCATTAGTTGCCAGACAAGGAAGCAACTAATGCTTATTTTACTTTCTATAGCAGAGCAGGGCTGCTTTTCCCATAAGCAGTGGTTTATAGGCACCATAAGGGTTCCTCATAATGGGTGAAGTTTCTGGCAAGGCACAGGTCTGAGTAAACTCTGCCCAGCTATGAAATAGTGCATTCATTATATAAAGAGAAGACATGGCACCAGCTAGAACGCATTGTTTGTGGCCATTTTAACTCGGGTAGCTTTAAAAGAAACGGATATAATGGAATATAAAAATCTAGTGGGTCCACGTAGGCCATTTTTTCCTAGAAAGAAAAATTTTAAAAAGCAAAAAAAAAAAAGTTTTCCCTTCAGATTACTCCTGCATGCGCACTCCATCTTCAGGCTAGTTTTCCAATTACAGTCACTGTATAGATTTCATCCACTTCACATTTACCTTAACATTGAATGACCCATCTCTCCTAAAGTAATGTCCTATTCTCTGTTATATTCTTAAAGGGACACTATAGTCACTCACACCACTTCAGCTCAATGAAGTGGTCTGGGTACCAGGTCCCCCAAGCTTTAACCATTCATATGTAAACATAGCAGTTTCAGCGAAACTGCTATTTTTACATTGCAGGGTTAAGACAGCTTCTAGTGGCTGTCTTCCTGATAGCCACTAGAGGCGCTTCTGCAAGAAAGGCTTCATCTGCAAATTAAGGGGGGGAAAAAAAAATAAAAAAATGTAAATAAAAAAACCGAACGAACTGCATGCAACCAAAAAACTAAATGAACTTAACACATTCTCAGAATTTCCCCAAACCACAATTTTGTGTGTTCTTAACTTCATAGATTCTACTAGTTCAACATCTTGTTTCATTGTGGATTTTACATCAGAGAGCTGAAACTCTACTGTTGTTTTATACGCATTCTTTTACGGAAGACTTGACACTAAAGAACACGCCAGTTGATTAAAGACACCTTTAAAATGCTTTTGGCTTCATTTTATTCCACTGATCAAGAGAGCGTGTATAATTACAACAGACGGTGTCTGATGAAAAGTGAAGTGTAAAGCCACAGTTTATACAAGGGGTGTGGCGTGCTTATTATAAGTGGACAAAAAAAAAAAAAAAAAGTGCATTAACGCCACCACGAACAGGAAAAATAAAGCCCATACCTGCATCTGTTATATCTAGAAGTGATAGCTCTATATAAATCAGAACTTAATAGGGGGCATTCCATACACTATATTTAGCAGTATAAAAATGTAGACAATATTTCAGCCATTTCCTCATACTACAGTTAGGACAGCACAGGAGAGAAAAAAAATATATATATCTGTAGGATTGCATGACTTGGAACCAACTCCTGTGTTCCATACTCTGTAACAAAAAAATAAATTATAAATAAAATCTATTTTAAGACTGTAAAAGGGTAACCATCACATATGTTGAATTAACACTGCTGAATACAACAATCAGAATCACAATACATATACAATGCTCATTTTTCTTTTAAATTTACAAATTATATAGCACCAACATATTCCACAGGAATATGCACCTGCCATTTTACAGCAAAACCTGACCCCTATTAGATAGTCAGTGCTGGAAGGAAGGGAGTTCAGGTCACTTCATCACAGCTAAAGAGCCGCACAGGAAGTCAGAGGAGGGGAGACAAAGAGGAGGGAGGAGCAGACAGAGCATGGACCAGACTCCCATCAGCTTCAGAACCCACTGGACTACAGGAAATCCATCCCATGCACCCAGAAAGATATAGAGGCAACGGGTGGTTACAAACATGCAAATTATGACGTGTGTGTGTGTCAGTATGTAAGGGGGTCTCACGGTGTGTGTGTGTGTGTGTGTGTATCAGTATGTAGGGGTCTCACGGTGTGTGTGTGTGTGTGTGTCAGTATGTAGGGGTCTCACGGTGTGTGTGTGTGTGTGTTTCAGTAGGTTTATTATATATGTCCTTTTATCTCAGCATTCAAATGTCAACACTGTACTCAAACACACCCCTGCATTTACATGCCAACACACCCCTCTTATCTATTTAGCAGCTGGTTAGCATATAGCCCCTTAATGCTTTACTTATGTGGGATCGCATAGATCTAGATTTAGTTCAAGAAAAAACATTATCTTAATTTCAAAACTTCAAGCCGTTTAGTAGCTAGTTCCTTAGTTTGATATTCTTATGTGGGATTGCCCAATATAAAGATATCAAATCAGGGAATTCTCTACTAAACTGCTTAAAGAGAATTAAGACTGGGACTCATAACTGCCTAATATGCAAAATATGAAGTCTCCTGTCACCCACCACCACGAAAGCATAAAATGTCACCTTGAGGCATCTTTGCAAAAAATCTAAATACCTCAAAAGTACAAGTTTCCTTTTCAGGTTACCTCATCTTTCAAGAACGAGGACGTATTCAGTAATGTTGCAACACAAACAATCTGGTTTCACAAGAGATTTTTGTGTCCCAACTGCCTTATATGTGACCACCATTCACCCGATGTGCCTAATCTACACTATACAGACAGCCAAAAATTGAACTAACCTCAACAGAAGATCCCTAAGCAGTAAACAGTACATCCAACTGAATATAAAACTACATATTGCAATAAAACGAGATATATTCAGTGTGAATTACTTAAACTTACATAAACTGACAGATAATTTGTAACAGTTTCAAATGCCACAAAGTGTTACATCTTGTGTGAAATCAGAAGGTTGTATCAAAGCAGAATGGCAGGCAAACAGCCAATATCAGCCACAAGGCAGTCTTTGTAAATAACTAAATGGTAGGTTTTAGAACACAGAGATCGGCATTTAATAGAATACTGTATATGTATGAAGTCATCATTAAAGGAAATATATCATTAACATGATTAAAACGTATTAAAAAAATAAAATTTAAAAAAGCAGATCACAGAACAGGCAGTAAAAAAAGTATATGGGAAAAAATTAAGCATTTCCTTTAATATCTGAAATAAGAGGATATTTCTAAAATATTTCAAAAGAACAAAGTGGGACACTTCTTCAGGGAGTGTGGCTGGATGTGCAGCCGTGGGGCAAGACTATTATTGTATATGACTGCCTCATTTAGAACTAGAATTAATTATTTAATTGCATCAAACTCATTTTAAAAAGCATTTCTGTGAGTTGTATTTCTCTGTTGAATAGAGGAAGGGGGATTTGTAAAGGTTTATTCATTCAAGTATGAATTGTTGAGAATATAACCTATACTCTTGTTATACTCTTTCCTTATAGGCCTCCAGGAAGTAGTGTATTCTGCTTCATTCTCCCCCTCCCTCCCCCCATCCCCCAACACCCCTATATGAATTACATAATCTAACTACATTTTTCATTATTATATTATTTAGACAGAATTTTGTACAGCACATCAAAATTATAGAATGGGGATAAAATCAGACCCATGTGCAAGGTGTGCCAACAGGTGGGTCCGGGACCCTGTCATCGAATACTTGCCTATTACATATAAAATATTAACAGACCAGATGAAGAAGGCAGAGCTCAAACACGCATACAATCAATGAGATAAGTATACCCAAAAGGTCTAGACCTCGGGTTTCAAAACGGCAGATCCCCAGGTGTTTTCAAACTACAGCTTCCATAATGTTTGGTCGTCATTATAAAGCAAAGCATGATTGCAGTTGTAGTTCTACAACATCTGGGGGATCTACCTTTTGGGCACCCCTGGTGTAGAGGTTATCCCACAATTTAATGGTAATTATTTTATAGCACTTGGAAGGCTGGTCTGAGGTTGCTTGGAATCGAACCTGCGACTCAGATACTACAGGTGGAGCCTTATTCCCACCATCCCCAAAAAAACTCTTCAATTGTAATTTATACAAGTTGCAGCAGATCATTCTCAAATACATGCCTTCTTTTCCCACTGCTATAATCATTAGCTTTCAGGGCGAAGATAACAAGCACACAAAGAAGCTGTAATTACCGTTTAAAACTATTACAATAGCTATCCAAAACACTGCTATTACATAATACTCTAGTCTAGGCAATTAAAGAAGGCACCCAAAGTAACACAGACACTGAATATAATAAAAGAACACTAATTGGTTATGGTGCAAGGAGGTACCCTGATCACATTGTTACTGTGTTCACTGACTCATAACAGCAGTGATTATAAAAAGTTAAAATTATAAAATAAAAAAAGCCTACGCCTATTGACATGTACATCAAACATGGTCTAAAGTGGTCAATTTGACCAATTTCTGTATATTCTGTATGAATTCCTACACATGGGGTCATGCCTCTACCCATTCACTAATCAATAAGGCAGGCAGAAACGTATGGAACATGATTCACACATTATAAACCTAAGTGAGATGCTCCCAACTGTGGATTAGCCATTATATGAACTTTTCAAATATTTGCATTTTGCCTAATAATGCATTAATTGAAATTAGGTCAGTTTTAGCATAGACAATTCAAGTGGGTGACTGCAGTCATACATTAAGAAAATGTCATATGTCTATAGATCTAGGCTGCAGGCATTCAGAAGCATGTCCAGGACTCTTATCAGCATGAATACCAAGACTTTTATTTTACTATAGGTCAACCAGGTTCTGATTATTTCCATCAAAGGCAACTACGGAAAACACAGCAGTCTTCTACGGCACAAAACAATGGCATTTAAAAGTATTATCCAAAGTGGACAGCCATTGCAGAATGAAACATGGGAGACAAATTTGACAAAAATACCTAAAATCTAAGAAACCGGTCCAAAAGTTATGAGACAAACAAAATGTCTATTATTCAGGTTTTAACACATATTTATAAACTTATACAAGAACAATATATACAAGCGATTGAAAGGGAACAGTATTAAATTTGGGGTTAGGCCGTTGCTTTACGTTCAAAGTTTGAGCTTAGACGTTTCCATTTTTCCGCTTGATCCTCCCATTTCCGCTGCTCTTCTTGCCCTTCTTATCCTGTGTCCATTTCTGTTGCTCTTCCTACCCCAGCCCATTATATTTCAATAATGTCCAAAACCAATCTACCATTTGGATGCCTTTGTGTCATGCCACTGGAGGAAAATGGGTTGTACCTCCCAGTTACAGCAGCATAGACAGCTCCCAAGCTTATTTATCCAGTCAGACGGAAGGGTGTGATTCTATATTACATCCTGTTATAACTTCAACTAATTGAAAGACCACTCTCTCAATACCCGTTTCCACTTGTGTCGCCATGTAAAATTAGTACTGGATTTGTCAAGCCGTGCTGTATACCATGTAAGTACAATAACAATACTATATGAGCAATAAAATACTTCTTGTGCCTTTCCAAAACTTTTATAACAACTTTAATGCACCTTTGTTGATGCCTCGGGTAGTTTAAGAGTGGATGAACAAAACTTGGCAGGTGATCAAGCCTACAACCTGAAAACATGGTTTTCCCGTCCAGTCTTTCTGGTGGGCACACATTGTTTCAGCTTCGTCCCTAAATGGCGTGAAGCGTGCCATCAAGCTTGGAGTTCACAAAGAAGCAGATGTGCGAGGAGGCGTTTTATGCCCTTTAGATTCATTCTAGTGTCGTATAATACAATCACACACTGTTATAAAGATGATGGGATTTCAGAGTTTAAAAAAATAAAATAAAAAAACAAGCCATCACCACCTCTATGTTGCAGCACTCAAAATTTGCCAGTAACATTCAACTGAAGGTGGATAACCTGGACTTTCTGTAAGGGGGTAGAAACACACAGGAGATAAAACAAACCAACTGCCACCTGGGACCAAAAATGAAAAAAATAAAACATTGAAACGATCTAAAATATCCCAAAAGAATAACCATCACAGGGAAGAGTCTTATATGAGAGTTTACTATATTCTATTTAACAATTTATAAAAGGAAAATATATATTTTACTGCATGTGCATAATAATGGTCCTTTATTTTAGTTTAAAGCTAAACTGTTGGCAGTGCCCATTTAACTAACTGTAACCTATGTAATAAGAAATTATATCATCACTATACAACAGTAAACTATACACACCAATCTATATTTTGTAATGAGAATGACTGAACTAACCCAATATCGCAAATATTTAAATTGCCATTATACATTATTGCAGATCTATACACATCAAGCACATGGCAAAATCTAGCAATATAAGATTCATTTTGTATGTCAATTGGCCAGCGGTTTATTACAAGCATCAAAAACGCCCTTTACAACCGGAAAGTTCCCCTACATACAGTAGCTAGGCTCAATGTTTGGTATTTCACATATAATTAGCAATACACAAAAGGAAAAAAATGGGAGTACATTTTTGAGGGCTCCTAGCAATTGCACAGGAAGGCTGACCTTTCACAGATGGCTGCTAAAGACTAAACAGGTAGGTCACGTATCGGATAAATAATCCTACAGCCAAGTCCTGCCCTGCTAAGAATGGTTCTACTGCATTCCTCTGTCATGATACTGCATTCTTCTGAGATTCAGAGAAACAATTGAATAGCATTCGCTTCTGCAGGTTATATGACACATGGAATGTAAGCCATGCTCTGTAAGTATGTGAGCAGACCCACAGTTTTAAAGTGCACATTTAAAGGGACAATATAGGCACCCAGACCACTTCATTTCATTGAAGTTATCTGGTGCAATGTCCTTGTCTCCTTATCCCGGCAATGTTTAGATTGCAGGGTTAAGACTGCCACAAGGGGCTGTCTACCAGACATGTGGACGCACTGCATCTTCAAATCCCCCCCCATAGGAAAGCACTGATTTAAAGTTTTCCTGTGGGGAAGGCCTAAGTTGCACGCTTGATATAAGATTTAGATAAACAGGATGGGGGCGGAGCCTGACCGCGAGCTGAAATGGCCACATAGCGCGAAAGCTCCCGCCGACGGGCATACACATTCAGCTACAAACCTAGCCACAATCAGTGCACGGACCCCCAGAGGCGCAGCACATACACCGGAACACCGGTAGGCGCAAGCGGACATTGGGGGGGGGGGGCGGAAAAAACATGAACAGCCGCCATCCGTGGCCCCTCTGTTCCGGCAACCACGAGGCCAGACGCCATCTTCCCCACAACGGAGGGAAGACTCTGCATCCGACTCAGACCGCAGTGAGGCAGCTGGCTCAGCTTCCACACCGCTCACCAAGAGGGACCTGCAACTACTGCTGCAAGAAGCTGCAGCAGATATAAAGAAACACATGGCAGCAGAAATTGGAAAACAGCTGCAACTTCTGAAGGCTGATCTGGCTGACCTGGGGGAGAGGACAGGGCAGGTGGAGCAGAGGGCAGATGATCTCATGGAAAACCTCAATATGCACCAAGCTGAGCTCACTACACTGAGGAACAAAGTGGAAGAATTAGAGACAGGTATGGAAGACCTAAATAATCGCTCTAGGCGTAACAACATAAGGATTAGGGGCCTCCCCGAAACAGTCACGCCTGACATGCTGCTCTCCACGCTGCGCGAATTGTTACTTACAATCCTTCCAGAAGCAACGCCACAAGACCTCGCCATAGACCGGGCGCACAGAGCCCTCAAACCTCCTAGCCAAAACCAAATGGCGCCCCGAGATGTAATAGTACGCCTTCACTACTTTACTGTTAAAGAAGCCATCATGGCGGCCACACGAAAAACTCCGCCAAAATTTGACGCCATCACTCTTCAGTTTTACCAAGACGTCTCACCTACCACATTAATGAAACGCAGAGAGCTCAAACCCCTAACCAGCGCACTGGCACAAGCCAACATACCATACAGATGGGGACACCCCTTCAAGCTACTAGTCCGCCAACATGAGAGCACACACGTCCTGCAAGATATCTCAAAAATGGCGCCCTTCGCTGCCGCATTGGGCATCAGCTTACCCGATGCACGAGCGCAATCTAGAAAACCAGTGGACAACGCCAGACCACAAAGGATGCCACTCTGGGAAAAACTTCGGACACCCCGGAACCGACCACCCAAGCGCCAGCAGCAGACATCGGTGCAGACTCGCGACCGGGACACCTGAATGGCATGGAACAAGCCCATCATGGACTCACCCACTCACTGGCAGAGACTATCCTAAGAGAGTTAAAGGGACTTCCAAACTGTTTGACCTACTTCTGAGTGCGAGAACGCACACCACCATATACTTTTACGCTGTGTCTGATGGCGCTACTTTAGCCATGGTTCACTAAGGTTTAAGGGGACGCAAAATAGTTATGGGGAGGACACTATAGGGCGCTGAAAAGGGCCTGACACGGGGGGGGAGAAAGGGGGGAAGGACAGGTGCTAGAGCAGCTGGGGACGACGGGGGGGAAAAGGAAAGGAGAGGAGGAAAACATGGGATGGGAAGGATGGGGGGGGGTAAGGGAGAGGTACGTACCATTGGCGACTCTCACTAAATGAGACAGGAAGCCCTGGTGGCTCCCCCGGGAATCGCCAAACTCAACGCAGCTATGTTGGTCCACTGGCACAAACCCACTAGACCCGATGGGGAAGACCCAGAGCGAACCCACCCCGGGGCACTGATTACAGCCCGCCTATGCCCAGAGCGGGAAGCACACGGAGACTGAACTGTGCAATGCACCACTCAGCACAGTACGGGGGTCACGAGATCCAACCAGGTGGGGACGACTCCACACACCCCACTCCATTTGACCTGGCGCACACCATAAGACCAGGCGTTTTTTTTTCTGTTGTATAGGTATTATTTGGTTTTCAATGTTAATCCTAGTTCAATGGTTTGAAATGGTCTCAGCAGGAGGACACATGACGGACACAACATCTCGACACACGGGACACCGTCCACCACTGGGGGGAGGTAATAGCGAACCACGCTCCACCACACAACCATGACTGCTAGTCTGACGTGCATCTCAATCAATTGTAAAGGGCTGAATAACCCCGCTAAGCGACACCGACTCATGAGATGGGCAAACCGCAGTAAAGCTGACATACTCCTACTACAGGAGACACACTATGCAGACACACGGCCTTTCCCTCTCCTGAGCCGCCACTTCCAGGCTTGCTACTTTGCCAACTCCAACTCAGGCAAACACAATGGAGTGGCGATTCTCCTAAGGAAAACTTGCCCCCTCCAGATTACCACCACACACAGGGACCCCAACGGCCGCTTCCTTACGGTGGCGGGCTCAATAGGCCCAACCAAATACGCGATCACCTCGGTCTATGGCCCCACAACCCCGGACCCGGGATTCTGGCCTACTCTAAGTGCACATCTCAGCCTACACCAAACGCCCACCAGATTATAGGCGGGGACTTCAACGCCGTGATTGAACCACAGGCAGATAGACTCAAACGACCACCACAGACTCCAGCACCGACCAGAAACGACAAATTCATGGCAGACTTAATTTCCACTACCAACCTGATAGATGTCTGGAGACTGCAGCACCCCTCCACACTAGACTACACCTTTTATTCCCACCCACACCAAACATACTCACGTATAGACTACTTCCTGGTTTCCCCGTCACTACTTCCGCTCATAACAATGACTTCCATAGGCAACATAACGTGGTCCGACCACGCTGAGATAGCACTCACGTTCCAGCCCCCACGAATCTCCAGACCCTGGTCCTGGAGACTTAATCCGACACTACTCAACGACCCTCAAACGGTACAACAAATCACAACAGAACTCAAACATTACTTCGCTACAAACAAGGACACAGTACAATCAAATGCAATTATATGGGCAGCACACAAAACGGTGATCAGGGGTATCCTTATTAGCTTAGCCACTGCGCATAAAAAAAGACGCCTCGCTAACATAGAGAAAATCCTAGCGGCCATCAGGGACCTTGAAGCCCTCCATAAAGTCACCCCCACCCCGGACCTCACCACACAACTCCAACACCAACGACAGGCCCTTCACAATGCAATGGTAGTGGATGCCACCAGGGCTCTACAATGGACACAACAAAAGTTCTACGAAAAATCCAATAAAGCCGACACACTCCTGGCCCGCAGGCTGCGCAAGCGCATCCAGGCCAAGCAGATAACACGCATCCGCACACCATCGGGTCATGACACAGAGGTACCTACCAAAATTGCGGAGGTATTCCAACACTATTTTGCAGACCTATATGACCACTCCCCCCACCATAGGCAATGGACCGACACCCTACAAGACCGTATCCAAACCTTTTTAGACCGAACTCATCTGCCCACACTATCGGATAGCGCAATCACCCAACTCTCCATGGAGATCACAGAACAAGAAGTTGCAACGGCTATAGGGGCCACCAAACCCAACAAAAGCCCAGGACCGGACGGATATCCGGGCTTATATTACAAAACATTCCGGGACACTCTCCTACCCCATCTTGTACAACTATACAACACCCTGCTGCAGGGAAACCCACTCCCCAAAGATATGCTGCAAGCCAACATTTGCCTTCTACCTAAACCCAACAAACCCCTCTCAGACCCAGGCCACTATCGGCCAATATCCCTATTGAACGTAGATATCAAACTGTTCACGAAAATACTCTCCAATAGGCTGCTACCACATGTCACATCACTAATCCACCCGGACCAGGTGGGCTTCATCCCCACTCGCCAAGCTAGCGACAATACCAAGAGGATGCTAGACCTGATCTGGGTGGCTACCCAGCGCTCCATTCCAATGCTACTCCTATCCCTGGACGCCGAAAAGGCGTTTGATAGGTTACTATGGCCATTTCTCTTTGCCACTCTGGAGAAACTCAGATTCCCCAAACCATTTCAAGACGCCCTGCGAATGATTTACTCTAATCCTACTGCCAACCTACTCATACCAAACACGAACCCCCCCTCGTTCGCCATCTACAATGGCACGAGGCAGGGCTGTCCCCTGTCCCCCATCCTGTTCGCCCTCTCACTTGAACCGCTACTGCATCTTATCCGCACCACTCCCCAGATCACAGGCATCAAAATCCGCACACAAACATACAAGGCTGCGGCATACGCTGATGACCTGATGCTGTCACTCACAGATCCGCAGAACGCACTCCCACCTCTCCTCAAACTCATAGACGACTACTCAGAGGTATCGGGATACAAATTAAACTTCGATAAAACTGAAGCACTCATGCTGACCATACCGGAGAATCAAAGACAAACGCTACGGACCACATATGCCTTCAATTATAAGGCCTCACACATCTCGTATCTAGGGATCAACCTACCAGCGGAACTACAGCGCACATACACACTTAACTACTCACCGCTGATCCAGAAAATCATAGAAGACCTGCAGAGATGGAGGGACTTGTCTTTGTCGTGGCTGGGACGCCTAGCCTCGGTGAAGATGAACCTCCTACCAAGACTGCTCTATCTTTTTCAAACCCTCCCCATCCCCATACCCACCTCGGACTTCAAATACCTACAGTCACATATCGACAAATTCATCTGGTCGAATAAACGACCGAGAGTGAAAAGGGCGACCAGGTACATCCCTAATAGGACGGGAGGCCTGGGCCTTCCCAACTTACAACACTATTACCATGCGGCGCAAGCCACACAGATACAACATCTACACGCCCCACCGGGAGCGAAGCGCTGGGTGGACCTAGAACACGACATATTTGGCTTCGACCTCCCCTCATTGTACATATGGGTCCCACGGATCTCCCGGCCCCTGCCACTATCCCCGACACTAGCTAATTCTATCAGCTCCTGGGATAAGCTTACCCAAAAATTCCCTATCATCAACAACCCATCACCACTGACACCCATACTGCGCAATAAAGCATTTAGCCCAGGAATGAACCCAAAAGATTTCGCTCATTACGAACACAACGACCTTTATAGAATATGCCACTTCTTTGAGGGAGGAAAACTAATGCAATACAAAGACCTTCCCCAACAACACTCACCATACAACACACATGACTTTTTCAGATACATACAACTAAAGAGCTTTTTGGAACTCCCTGAAAATAGGATAGCAGCTACCAACAGATGCACAACATTTGAACGAGCATGCATACATAACCCAGCCCGCAAGGGCCAGATCACTGATAATTATAGCCTGCTCATCTCTACTCATGTCCCAGGAGCGATGGCATATGTGGCGGCTTGGGAGAGGGATCTGGGGCCACCGGGAGACCCGACTGACTGGCAGGACATATGGGAGGCCACAGCATCTATCTCTATATGCGTCAACCACAAAGAGCAGGCCTATAAAACTCTACTACGATGGTATCTAACCCCCGCAAGACTATACCGAATGGGTAGGACCGACTCGGACCTCTGCTGGAAGCGGTGTGGGCAAAGGGGAACATACATACACCAATGGTGGCAATGCCCTAAACTAGCACCGCTTTGGGCGGAGGTGGCCTGCCTGGTATCCAGCTTACTCCACGCAGATATACCCTTAGACCCGTGGATCTGGCTTCTATCCAAACCCTGGGAACCTTTAACCAGAGCCCAAAACAAATTAGCAAACAGAATAGCTCTGGCTACAAGGAGGGCGATAGCGGAACTCTGGGGCTCCCCGGAGGTCCCCATTTTAGCCACAATCATCCGCAAAACCAGGGAAGCCATTGAAATGGACAGAATCTCAGCCCTAGTCCATGAAACGTCAGGCCACTTTCATAAAATTTGGGACCCTTGGCTGAGTGAGCCGGCGCTAAACCCGCCGAACCTGGCTACGCCGCAGGCCCAATAAATGGCCAATAGAGGCATAACGGGGAGGGGAGCTCAGAGGGTGAAACCCATACGCATGACAAACAGGGGAGTACCCATAGGGGACCATAACCGCAACTCAAGGGGGCCAATCCACAACAGACTCCAGCAGTCTCCCAAAACCATAGCGCAGAAACACTAAACCTTCCCGCGAGCATAACACCCAACCACTGAGACCAAAAGGTGTTTATGTTTTTACTTGATTGTGTATATTTGTGTAATTTTGTATTTTTGTACCATTGTGCGACCTATCAACACCCAACTAATGCAACAGCAAAGCTGGAAACTAGCTAGACAAATTGTCTACTCACATAACAATGTCAAACATGTTATATCATAAGACAAATGTTTACACCATGGTTGCAAAATGCTTCTGAACAGGTGAAAATAAATAAATAAAGAATGTTTAAAAAAAAACAACTTAGGTTCTACAACTCCTATGATAGGCTGCCAAGCACAATGGACCTAAATAGAGGCTGCCTGTCTGTCAATTAGTCCAGATCTACAAGAGGTTTCATTAACCTATACATACAACTTTTTCTATAGTGTTACTTTAGGGTTTTTTTGCCTTTTCAAAACAATAAAAATAAAAAAAATAAAAAATAAAACCTGCCAAGCATAGATGTCCCGATCTTCCTTTGGTAAAGTCCTAAATCATGATTACCTTCATCCAATTCAATGTCTTTTTAGAGAAGCAATGGGCACACATGGCACAGGGATGGCAATCTCTGCAATTCGACAGTTCAATACTTCTCTTTGGGAAGCACTGAATCGAATACTCTGCTGTAGTGGTTGCTTGTAAGCATTATAATAGCAAAATGTAAATCAGGATGTTTCTTAGAAACCGCACTGGTTCCATATGGAACGCTTTAGGGGCACCATCTATGCCCTTAAAACACTTCATCAAAACAAAGTGATTTTGTTGCTTACACGGTCCTTAAAATTAAGATTCTCCTCTCCAAAGTGTAAATTATGTGATTAAAGTTTAATGAAAAATGTGGCAGGAGATTGTAGATATTGTGGAAACATTTGCACATTGTTTGATTCAATGCCAATTAAAACTGACTGATTAACCTTAAAAAAAAAAAAAAAAATTTATAAAAAAAGCTTCATAATATTACAGCATAAACAGTCAATATTTCTAGAACAAATTATATTTAATGCCAGTAAAAGAAAATGTGATAAATAAATAAAATACAGTTTTAGTAGTTGTAAATGGAAAGTTTCAGGTTTAAAAAAAAAAAAAAAAAAATTAAAAAAAAAGTGTTAAATGGAGTGCTTCAGGTTCTGTCCATGGTCCACTTTTCTTTGAAATCGGTCTATAAATTATTTTGAAGTTGGCATTTGTCGGTGTTTGCAGATGACACAAAGCTAGGTAAGAACATGCAGTCTGAACAGGATAGAACTACAGAGGTATGTGGTTAAATTGGGGGACTAGGCAGGCAACTGGCAGATGAGATTCAATACAGATAAATGCAAAGTCAGGCATTTTGGAATAAAGAACCCACAAGCCACTGAGCCCCAACAACTCCATTTAATGTATAGCATTAAATGCAAATAACGTGGGAACAATTATAGATCACAAACTAGGCAACAGGATGCAATCAGATCTGCTATTGCAAAAGCTAGTAAGGTGCTTTCTTGTATATAAAAAAAAATAAAGTGTTTTGATTCACATGAATCCAAATATCATTTTGCCTCTTTACAAATCATTTATAAGACCCCACCTTGAATATGAGGTGCAATTTTAGGCACCAGATTTAAAAAAAAAGTGCAGAGGTGAGTTACAAAACTAGCAAGGGTGGTGGGAAACCGTTATGAGGAAAGGCTTAAACAACTGTGTTTGTTTTCAATTAAAAAAAAAAAAAAAGTGCCTTAGAAAGGATCTTATAGCACTGTACAAATATATACAGGGTCAGTAAAAATAGCTACGTGGTAACCTGTTCATTAACAGGAATATACAACAGACAAGAGGTCACCAATTGAGCCTAGAAGAAAGTCGTTTTTTGTTTACAGTAGAGAAAAGGGTTCTTTACAGTAAGAACAATAAAGATGTGGAATTCTCTGTTTATGGAGGTTGTCTTATCAGATTCTCTAGATAATTTCCAAAAAGACTTGTGCAGTGTGGTGACCCAGATAATGCCCCATATACTAGGGATCGGCCGATTATCGGTCTGGCCGATATTCAGTATTTTCGGCAACATCGGTATCGGCCAGTTCAGATACCGATATTGCCGATAATATATAACAGGACCGCCAGGCCCATTACAAGCATGGCGGTCCTGGGGGGGCCGGCAGCAAGTGCTTACTTACCTTCCCATCAGCTCCTCTGTGTAAATCTCGCGAGACCCGCAGCCGTCAGGGCATTGCCACGGGTTACCATGCAGGCCGCGAGATTTACACAGAGTAGCTGCTGGGAGGTAAGTAAACGTTTGCTGCCGGCCCCCACTGCTCAGTACACACCACTGGACCAACAGGGACTGCTATATCCCCCCTCCCTGGCCAGGTAACAAGCAGGGAGGGGGGACAAAAAAAAATAAAAAATTAAATATTAAAAAAATATATATAAAAAATGTTTTAATAAAAAATGCCCCCTCAATTACATACATACAAACACACTCCATTATATATATACACACACACACACACACTACACAAACACACTGAATATAATGCAGTGTGTGTTTGTGTAGTGTGTATATAATGTAGTGTGTGTGTATATAAGTCAGTGTGTTTATATAATGCACACTACACAAACACACTGCATCCACTATACAGCATTCACTTTACGCACACACTGCATCCACTACACACGCACACACACTGCATCCACTACACACTATACAAACACACACTGCATCCATTACACACACTACACAAAGACACACAGCTCCCCTGTCTAAGCACACTGCATCCACTACACATAGCATGTATATTTTGTGCATTTACCTTTAGAAATAGTTGTTGTTTTTTCAAAATGGTAAATGTACAGAATATCGGTAAGTTATCTGCGATTGGCCTGAAAGTTCACAGAATATCGGTATCGGCTCTAAAAAAAAAATTTAAAAAATCAATACCGGTCGATCCCTACCATATACCAGCAATGTCCAAAAACCCAGTTACAAATGCCTTTATTCTCATATGCGCCAGGCTTGAAAAGAACAATGCAAAACACAACAGCGACTGGACACCCATGGTCTATACAAGGGGTCGTCAAACTCCGGCCCTCCAGATGTTGCTGAACTACAACTCACATGATTCTCTGGCTATCTATGTAATTAAAAGAATCATGGGAGTTGCAGTTCAGGAAAATCTGGAGAGCCACAGTTTTAGGACCCCTGGTCTATACTAATCGTGTTTAGGTTGAAGAATACAGAAACAAACAAACAAACAAAAAACAGTTTCATCACTAAAAATAAGTAGGAAAACTTCCTTTCAAGAGGCTAACAGCAATTAGCACAGAAAACATGTGCTCTGAGGTTTCCTCTCTAAGGATTGGCAAGGATGTACCACTTAAGTACTGCAAGTGATACTGGAGAGTTCCACGTTAAATCTGTTCAATCTCTTTCCGTGGGAAACTCGAATAAGACTGTGGATGACGAGTGATCATATTGAGTGGAAGGAAATTTAGGGTGTGTGCGTTAGCTAATGGGTTGCATTATTTCCTGTGATATTTAGGAAAAATTTTCCGGTATTACCCTTTGCTAGTTATTATTAGACTAGTAAAACCCAAACAGGGAATTTCTGAAAAGGTATCGTAAATCAGAATAATACTTAAAATTGCGCCTGCTACCCTGTTCGCCTACAGCATCATTTACACCTCAGCCTCATCTCTTTGTTCAGATTGCTGTGCCCAAAAGAGACCAATATACGTTAGGGAAGCCTTAAAGGGACACTAGAGGCACCAAGACCACTACATCTCATTGAGTGAGTGCCCCTGTCCCCTTAACCCTGCAATGTAAACTATGCAATGTTTTCATTGCAAGGTTAAGACTGCCTCTAGTGGCTCTCTACCAAACAGCCATTAAAGGTGCTTCCTGCCGTTTCACATTAAATCCGTGAAATAACACTGGACATCTTTACACTTTAAATGAGGACGTCCAGCATATTGCAAAACCCCATCGAATGCCACCTATGTTGAAAGCTATTGCAGCACATGTGCATTAGGTTCCCCTTGCGATGACAGAGGAGGCAGAGACTGAGCCAGCGCCAAGGGACCTCAACGCTGGCCTCAAGTGTTTTAAGGGTTTTTAACCCTCTGAATGGCACAGGGGGAGGGAGGTATAGAGAGAAATTGTAAGCACCTTGGCACCTTGATACTGTGCATGCAAAGTGCCGTAAGGGTCGGCCATAGAGAATCATTGTATTCCATTCTCTATGGCAGTAACTCCGGCACATCACGGCCAAGAATTCCAGAGAAAATAGTATAAGCGTCTGTCATTCTCAGTTTTAGGCACATTCCCATTATGTAGGTTGGTATGTGTTACTTTTTCTAACTATCAGAAGAGGACTTAAACATAATTTTGGGATGCAAAGCAAAATTTAAACATACCCTCCCATTTCCCTGCAATTTCAGTTCCTTTTTATGGAAATGTGTTTCACATTGATCAAGGTTTAATCTACTATGGTAACAATGGACAACATTTATAGACATCGAAATCGAAGTGAAAGACATTTCCTTTAGTTACGCTTTTTGTGATGTACCCAAGGAGAAGAAACAACGAGCATCTGTTTACGATTTAGATTCTTCTCCCTGCCCTGCCTAATTTGATGAGGCTGGTCTCTAAGAATATTCCATTATACATAAATCTGAATTACAAGATAACTTTACTTTTTCCTAAACTGCACAAACCATGATTCCAATGAAGAAACAAGCGTTCCTGACTTAACACAGGAGAAAAGAGAGGGGTGGAGGGGGGGGTTTAGGGAGAAAGAATGCAATTGGTCATAATACTACTCCAACATTCAGAAAGACTTTGCACAGATCCCCAGAGTCCCTGCATGAGGTCAGAAATTGCAATCAATTCCATATGGAATACCGACCAAATGACTACAAGTCATGCCAAGTCCTCCCACAAACCTTTTAAGAACAAATGCTCTCAGCAAGTCCTTGTGATTGTTCTAAATAAATAATAAAAGCACAGTAATAAACAAGGACTGTTTAGCACAAAACACCATGTATAGCTAAGCAACACATTGCTGTCAGATGGGAGAGATCCCCTGCTTTCTTCTTGACAAATGGAATCGGTAAATATTCTCCAAAATATAAATCACCCCTATGGTCATGATCCTTATTTTGGATATTTAGGAACCCTCATGTTATTTTGGATTGGGGCCTTTGTGTACCTTTTAAACAACATTTTTCTATTTCAGGGTAACTGGATCATTCGACAGGAAGCAATATGACTGGCCTCATTCGGAATTAAATTTACGAATTGCAATTGTGGTTAAGGCAATATAAAACCACTTAATTACACCACAAATCAACAAGGCATATTAAGGAACTGAATGTTACGTTACTTAAGGTACAGTTTTTTTTCCCCTTAATATTTTAGACGAAATGTGCTTGAAAGGTTTAATAATCACTTCTGTTAACTCTTCAAAGTTAAAGGGACACTATAGGCACCTGAACAACTTTAGCTTAATGAAGCAGTTTTGGTGTTTAGAACATGCCCCTGCAGCCTCACTGCTCAATCCTCTGCCATTTAGGAGTTAAATCCCTTTGTTTATGAACCCTAGTCACACCTCCCTGCATGTGACTTGCACAGCCTTCCATAAACACTTCCTGTAAAGAGAGCCCTATTTAGGCTTTCTTTATTGCAAGTTCTGTTTAATTAAGATTTTCTTATCCCTGGCTATGTTAATGGCTTGCTAGACCCTACAAGAGCCTCCTGTATGTGATTAAAGTTAAATTTAGAGATTGAGATACAATTATTTAAGGTAAATTACATCTGTTTGAAAGTGAAACCAGTTTTTTTTTCATGCAGGCTCTGTCAGTCATAGCCAGGGGAGGTGTGGCTCGGACTGCATAAACAGAAACAGTGATTTAACTCCTAAATGACAGTGAATTGAGCAGTGAAATTGCAGGGGAATGACCTATACACTAAAACTGCTTTATTTAGCTAAAGTAATTTAGGTGACTATAGTGTTCCTTTAAAAGTGAAAGCTCTCTGCACCATGACCAGTTATGCTCTTATGGCTATGGTACAAGAAGCTCCTGTACGGATTCATGTCTTAGTCAATTATAAATTAGCAAAACTTCCAAAACGGCTAAAAGATCAAACATGTACAACGCCTCAAAAATACAAGGTCAAAAGAAAAGGAAAACATTTCTACATTGATTCTTCATGTTTGCTACCACCTTTATAATACAGTATTAGGCCAATTCTATATTGGATTTTAAAGGGAACACCATATTTTTAAAACCAGCAAAAAAAAAAAAAAAAAAGATATAGATGTTCCTTATTTTTAGACCATAGCCTTTCCTTTTAAAAAGGAATCAGTTAAAATCACCATTAAAAACTTGACTAATACAATGCCAAGGCAGTCTCTGCACAACAGTCTTATTCTCCTCTAGTGATGTCATCAATCCTGATTACTTTGTCCAATCAGATGCTCCTCATACAAATATTTAGGACACAGGGTGTATGCAATTGCCGCAATCCAGTGCTTCACTGTGAGAAGAGTTGAATCCAATAGAGAAGCACAAGATGCACACCTCATATTCTGAGGCCAGGAGTCAAACAGATTCATTATTTGAATCTATATTACTTCGAAAACCCTAATGGCTGCTTATCTGACAGCCACTAATAAGCATGGAAATTGCTACATGTATAAAGTGCTGTTTTCATTTGCAACGCTGCAGGGGTAGAATTCTGTAGCTTGCTACTATAGTGTATGTTGTATGATACAATTTAGCAAAATTTAGATTACTTTTTTTCTAAATATATATTTTAAGGTATATGAACATCTCAGGCCCCATAACTGTGCCTCAATTAAAGTTGTTATGGTGCCTGGAAGTTACTTGCCTATAGGGGATAACCAGTTACTAACCGACTAAACTTAAAGTGGAGTACACTGTGCCTGACAGCAATTGGTCCCTTTTCTTCCGGCAATGTCCATGGCTTGAATAAGGAAGCCTCTGTCTGTCACACACACAGTGTTCCCTAAAATGTAAATTTCCCCATTTCTGCTAGTTTATCATAAACTAAAAAAGTAAAAAAAATTCTCTTTAGTGAATAGATCAAGTTTTTACAAACAAGTATTCATCAGTCCAAAAGCCACCATATATCTTCAAAAAGAGGAAGAAGAAAAGAAAAATACAATAAAAGCAGTGCATGTCCATTGTATGGTCCTACTGAAGCTGGTGGTACTCTAAAAACAAATTGTGTAAGAGATCAATCATGTGCAGCTACACCACCATGCTATTTACAAGGGATTTATTTTACTTCTAACTAACAAAATCCCTATATGTGCATATTCTAGGCATACGTAAACACTACAGCTGTCATCTTTAAACACACACCAAAAAAAAAAAAAAAAACAGCTGCGACACACACTGTGACCATTTAGACCATCACCCATAGTATAGAGTTAAAAATCAGACAATGCCCACTTGAGTGAGGCATTTGCAGTGCTTATGTTAGTACAAAACATTTCTGCACAGTTGCTGCTACACACTTTTGCATAACTTCAACTTATAGGGGTGGGCTAAGCACCATAACCACTAGATGACAAAATATGCGACTAATACGGCTACAGAATAGCAACTTATGATCATAACCAATAAAATGTAATGTAGTGCTTGGATTGCCTCTTTAGAGGAAAAGGCTTGATGAAATTATATATGTGTCTATATGATAAAACAGCAAGCGTTTATGAAAAGACTAGTGACAAAGGGGTACCCTGCAGATTTAATGAAAAAATAAAAATTGTGTACTTTTTAAGAGAGAACACACGCAGCGTAGTGTAATAAAGTTTATTTATTTTTTTTTTATTTTTTTTTTCTTCCCCATTGGAAACCAGGCTAAAAACAGAACATTTCCCACAAAGGATTTCTTAGGCATTGACTGAGAATTAGGGTTGATTACAATTCAACATAGAGTATGCAGACATTTCATGTAGCCAAGAAAAGGAAAATTAACTCCATCTGTGGAGACGCATCACTGCTGCACAACTGACAGCTATGAGACCAGGAATAAGGGAGCGTGATAGATCAGAAAAGGAGACTTAATCCATCATGGGGAGGTGGGGAATTAAGATCACATAGGTAAATACTTGGAATGCAGTGGCGGCTGGTGAAGTTTTAAGATGGTGGGGTACTAGACAGCTCCCACAGCATTTACTCCTCCCTATACAGCACAGAGACCTGGGTAGATTACTGAGATATCCACACAGCAGGCAGAGTTGAGTAAAATAAAGAGAAATAACACACAGAGCTTGGGACAATAAGAAGATAGCCATAACTATCCCACACAGCCTGGATCACTGTGATGGATTACACAGAGCTGTAATACAGAGATCCCCGCATAGTACAAGTCTCTGTATAATGCTCCAACTCTCTCCACCATCCCCCCCCCCCGTCTATCTTCCTAGCCCTACCTTACCAAATCTCATCTTCATTAGTGCTCCTGCTATGATACATTTTAGCTTTCTATTAAATATTACTGCTGTGAAACAGGTCAGCTCTCGGCACACAGTGTGCACATGGTTAAAGGATCTGCTAGACTCCAACCATGTCAGCTACCACTCACGATTAGTTAAAGCAGCAGGATACTGATGCATGATAGACTCATTACCTGGGGATTTTTGGGAATTCTAAATTAATTTACAATTGAAGGCCAAAGTAGGTCAACTGGAAGCAAAGCTGACCTGTTCGGCTATTTTGTCCTTAAATTTTAGATTCACTTGAAATTCATGCAATTCATAACAATTCTCACACACATGAATAACCCTGAAAAGGTACTGGTTATTTTCGCATCCCCATAGGAACAGAATTAGAAAATGCCTAAATCCTAGGCAGTGGGTTGGGAGCTACTGCTTGGGAATCCTAGCAAAAATCAGTTGTACTTCAACCATGAGACATCACAATGACAGGTTATCCCTCCTTCGATTGGGCCGAGATAGAATCACACTCTGCAGAGAAGTGATGTCAGCCATCGCCCTGTTATTCACTAAACATACGATTTTGTCCGAATGGACAAATCCAATGAAAACCAAATTCCGACCACATTGGCAATTCACATATTCTCGATTTTTGTTAAATAAATTTTAAGACCCGCTAAGGAACAGATAATTGTTATGTCCTGATATGTAAAACCATAGAATTCATAGGGTGTTCTTTTTTACCCATTACTGTATATTTTTCTGGTGACTGTTGTCCTTTAAGTCTGATCTTACAGAAGCAAAGCCTTAGCGCCCATCCAACTTTTGGCATCAATGTAGAAAGCACAGAGCTAACCCATCCCAAAGCTCTCAGCCTCTCTCTCCTACCAAAAGTTGGATGGACCAATGCAGAAGTTTACAATAGATTCTGTTGCCTAGCAAAAACACAATGTTTGACAATGTATTTGGCTACAGGCACTGGATACTGTATTGAAAGAAGTGATGGTCTGCAGAAGTTCCCTGGGTGGTGTAGGATTACAAAAGTGATTTATGAAATCAAGTCCAAGTGCTTGGGATTTGAATCACTTGTGGCAAATTAAAAGGAAAATGACACACCCTAAACAACGTCATCTTGCTGAAGAGCTCTGGGGGTTAAAAATGTTTCTGCAATTTTTTATTTTATAAAAAGTGCAAATTTCAAGCAAAATCAATTATTTTATAAACTTCCATATTGTAACACCTCCAGCCAGACAGACAAGGTTCCCTTTCTCATTTGCCTTGAGTGCTCACTCAGGTCAAAAGTTGGAGGTTCTTATACAGAAGCACTCATTTCAATGCTTCCATACCAATAGCTGTGCATGCACCCTGCATCCGAATGTTTCTCTGTGTGAAGAGTTTGAATGGATGGGAGATCATTAGTAGGGAGACCTCTCAGAGACAGAGCTGCAACATGAAAAAAAAAACGCTCACTTGAACACTTTGACAAAAAAAAAAGGCAGCGAAACGACGTCAGCAGTGTTATTCCAAACCAGACGTCTAATATAAGTTGCGGTTTTGTAATAGCTGGACAGCTGACTTTTTGTCACCTTTATACCAAGCCCAGTTTCCATGTGCACTAAACAAAGCAAGTTTACAATACAAACCATTTAAAGGATCACTGTGAGCAAAAAAAAAAAAAATGCAATCCAGAATTCTGGGTAAAAAACACAGACCAATTAAACGCCTTTATTCCAACCCCACCAACTTAAAAATAGGAATGTTTTTACGAGTGGCCTCCCTTAAATAAACAAACAGTCAAGGAAGTGTCAGAAATAGTCTACTTTAAAAAGGAACAGATTTTTATTGATTTTATTTTTTTTTCCCCCGATTAAAATCATTCTTTAGCACCAGAAACAAGGCAAGTCACAGGACGACGAACAGGTACATGCATTGGCATGTTATTCTAATGAGCGTTGTTGTGCATAACAATAGTATACCATTATTAAATGTTCAAAGGGAATGAAAAAAAAAAATGTGTGCATTGAAGATGGCTTATGAATGAAACAACCCACCTCCTACAAACACACACAAAACAAAAGATATTCTGTGCATGGTAGATATTTGATTTGTGGGTCAAGTATTCTATGCATATGGTTTGCAAATGTATGGTTCTAATGTTATTCTGATTTGTGTTGCAAATTAAAATAAAGACACTCACAAGACAGTTTTCCACTGTGCATACCTTTTAGTGGGTGTCAGCAGAGAACCACTAGAGGCTTCAAAAAGAAATGGAGTCAATGTAATTCTCAAAGGGAAGCATTGTATTGGCGGAATAAGTCGATTGCAGCACATTTGCAGTTAGGCGGCAATTAGCAAAGAGCAGGTCAGGTGGCAGTAAAGAATTAGTCTTGGCACTAGATTGGTAAAAAATTTACATTTCTCACAGTTTTGTGAATGGGAAGCTACTAAAAGGCTAAGAGCGTTAGTTGATGCTCTCAGCAGCTCACAGTCTAAGGGTTCCTGATTCAAGTCACCGAATGCGACATAAGTAGATGGACAGAGTTAACGGGTGCTGAATTAAAAAAACTTTATATTAAAACATTTGTTAACGGTTTAATCCCTTCGGGTAAGCCGGTGACCAGTGACCTCCTTGCAACATAACTATTACGATAAAGTTGTTTTTGTGCCCAGTTGCAGGATAAAAAGGTGTATAAATTTTATAAGTACATATCAAGTAAATAATGGAATACATAAATATAATACTAAAAAAATCTGGGAAGTGATAGTTCTCCTTTAAAGTCTGATTAAATCTGTACTAACTGATCATCAAGATCGAATTCCTTACAACTTCATAAATAATCCTTACATTCTAAGGTATGGCTTTCCTCATGTTAAAATGATCTCAGTCCTTTAGCTAAATAAGACATTATGTCAGACTCCTTTACATATTCTTTCATAGAAATACAGGCAGTAAAATAAGGAGTATCCCCTAGGTATAGGATGTGGGATGAAATGCATTAAGACATCTTCCCTTTAAACCGCAACCTTGGCACTTATAACGTTAAAGGGCAATGTCCTATCATGGGAAATTTAAAATGGAATGGTACAAAGTTAATGGATGAAACACTTGTAATGCATTAAAGGCTTCCCAACTAATTTGTACATAAGAAGTAGCATTCAGTCTGTGAAAAAGTCAGATTTGTTTGTCTGCCAATGCATCAATTACATGTAGACACAATGCACAATGACACCATAGCCAATAGGGATAATGTCTCAGCCTGTGAATCAATAGGCACCTAAACAGGACATAGATGTGTCCGGTTTTAAATAGCCAAATTTAATCATCCAAACACTGTGCTATGCTAGACAGATGGCTAGCAAAGATATACAGGCAGAGCTATTAACATTTTAAGTTTTATTTACCAGGCACTCATCCAGGTCTGGACACAATGGTAACAAATATCGATATTGACAGTCAACATTCCTACCTATTCTGCCCATTTTGAATAGAAAAGGCATGAATTTAATTTTGATCTTATTTGGTACGGTTGTGTCAATATCATGATCCTCATGGGTTAAGCTCACAGACAGTGACATTGTAGAAACAGAAATTTAAGTGTAAAAGTATACAACAATTTTCAGAAACCTTACCTGCATAGTCAACCTGCATAGTCTGATTTTTTTTTTTTTTATTTCTCTCACAATTCGTGATGCCACACCGCTGCCATTTGCTTTGTTAATAACTGATGACCCTTATACAAAAATGTGCATTTATTTTCTATGCCACAAATGTTATGCTTTGTCAATTTCTATACATGTTACTGTTGTTGGGGCACGGCCTTAAAGCTTGTTATATTAACTCATGCACAAAAAATAAAGAATTATAATTTTTTTTTTTTTTTTAAAGTATACAACAATGTAGTTGGTATAAAATATACAATAAAATGTGATTTGAACCTCCTTTAACTCTATTGTCCTCATTAACATGTATGCAAGGTTTGAAATGCTAAGCATCTATACCCAAATCCCTTGCGTACATGTTACTCACCATTTTAACAACTTGCAATTAAAAAAAAATAACATTAAGGTGTTACCAACAAGCATAACCCACCGTACTGGTTATGACTAACCTGGCCTAGTTCCTCACTAATGAGGCAAACAGTTTGCCTTTTTACCTGGATCTTGCAGAAAGCCAAAACGTTTGAAATGGCCAGTGACGCACATGCAGCTTCTGCAGAGCTACAGACACTAAATGCCAATTGTCATTTGTTGGCATAGAGTGTCAGCTGAGATCTCTCAGCCAATAAAAGGATACATATGAGAGGCAAAGAACTGACCTTAGTCAGCCCAGATCTCTTGTTCCAGGCTGATTAAAAAAGTACTAACAATGCTGGCAGGGGTGGAGGTATACCACCACCAGCAACATCATAAAACATCTGAAACACTGCACAAACAGAGTCCAAGAACCATGGCCACTAATAACTAGCGCAGTGGTCATGGTGTGTGGAATAACCATTTAATACTGTTATTTGGTCTTTAATGGATGGTCGTTAAAAAAAAAAAAAACATTTACAGAATAATAAGTTAAATTAGGAACAAATATACTGATGTTTGGTCATTAAATAAAATTTACATTTCTACATAAAGACAACTTTTTTTTAAATAAATTAAAAAACTGATTTAAATATTACTGTACAGATATACACCAAAAAAAACCTCTGGGTATTTTTGTGGGGAAAATAGCTTTGAATTGAAGGGCAACAGCAGACCACCAGCAGTACATATCCAATCATAATCCTCAAGCTGTTCTAATACAAGTGGCTGGCAGTGGAGGTAGTTGCAGTCCTGTATCAGCCAGAAGGCCCCATATGGCCTAACATGAGGTAATCCGCATCTCAAAATACCAAATAAAACCGAACAGCTTCTCATTGCATTACAATTATAAAAATGGTCCGGTAATTTATTTCCTAATGCCTGATAAATGAGCCAACATGGTCTCCAAAATAAATTTAATTAAATTAAAAAAGATATAGTGCAGCTTTAAATTGCAATTCTGCCTAGTAAAGATCTGTGAAAGGACCTTTACATATAAAAAAATGTGAATAGAAGCAAATTTACACTATTGGCCTGATTTCTAATAGAATGCCACGAAGTGAAATTAATCTTCGTATATTTCAGGTGATACGGATATCTTCTGCTTTGTTCTTTGACATCGTACTCATTTTAAACCTTGATAAAAGTAAAGACTGAACATTGTACTAGAATATTCAACTCACACTGTATGTTTAACTAAAAAGTGCCATGTTGGTACTCCATTTTCCCCAACACAAAAAAAGAAAAAAGGAAAGTCTTTATGTAATGTTGTTTATTTTACATTTAAAGGGACCACTACAACTTAATGTTATTGTTCTGTTATCTACAGTCTGCCCCTGCAGGCTTTTTAATGCAAGCACTGCCTTTTCAGATAAAAGGGCAGTGTTTACATTGCTGGCTAATGACACATCTAAAAAGGCAGTCACTCAGACTGCCACTAGAAGTGCTTCCTGGGTCAGTGCATGGATTCAACGTATCTCTATGTGGACTTGCTGATTGGCACAGTGTAGCGTCTTGCCATGCATGCGCAATAGCATCACGATGGGAAAGCATTGGATTAGCTGAGATAGTTAAATTTGATGAACTTAGCCAAGGAGATGGAGCGGGGTAGGGTCAGCTGTGGTGAGACAAGGGCGGCACTGGAAATGAGGAGAGTCACATCACCTTTTACTCATCTAACAGGGGACCGATCATCTAAACTTTGCTTTTACAAATCATGTTATTGATACAGAGTTTCCTCCCCTCCCCCCCCCCATTATTAGTAGGTGATGGGTTATTAATGTAAGGTTAGCTTTCTTCATTTAAAGTGAACAACTGGCCTACAACTCCCACAAACCCTTGCTGTGCCTATAAAGTGCTGCTTAAAAGGTTACTCAAATATACACACCTATATGCTATTAGAAGTGGTCATGGAGGTCCTGTCCTGAAGATGTGAGTCAGGCTCTCACACTTTTTGGAAGAGGCTGTTCCTTTCCTATGCTGACCCAGAGACTTCTCACTCATGGAATGACTCAAGAGGGGTGTGATCAAGCCAGAGGGAAGACACATGGCCAAGTGGGCTTGCAATCCACAAAAATGTGAATGAGTCAGCCAACTTTAGATAGGGATTTAACAATCAAACACCAGTTTCTATAAAACAATTTTTATAGTATATATACACACACACACACACACACACACACATCTCATGATCCCACCTCACAAACATCACGTTGTAAAAATAAGGATAAGTAAATAATGAATCTTTAACAGCATGAAACCACTTTTTTTTTTTTTTATTCATTCATTAACCAAGCCTTAACCTTAAAGCACACAGATTAACACTTGAAGATCTTTGAAATTTCAGACCATGGTCAAAATGGTCTGTAATAGATCAACATTGTCAGTTCCTGGTTTGCCCATCTTCATTCTTACTGTGTTTTTGTGACAGGGATTGAAAGACCACCATGATATAGATTTAAAAAAAAAAAAAAAAGTATAAAGCAGCTGCACAGCAAAATTCCTTCAGAGAAACTACTTTCTTACCAAAATACAACATAGCTATTTATTAAAGAAAATGGAGGGGGTGGGTTGCGACACACTTCCTGACTCCATAGGACTTGGCTGCGTTTTCAAATATCCCTTCCTGATCCCCCAAATTCTCTACTTCCTTTGAGACGCCAGCTACAGGGAGCCCTGTGACTTTAGTTAACCAAATTTTCATTTAAACACCTCAAAAGGATCTGTTTCTTGGCATTCTCTCTGCCCCTGAATTTATTTCTTCCTTATCTGCTTCTAGCACTTCCTTAGCCCCCTATTCTCTTATTTCCCACCTGATTTTAAATTCTCTGATGAATGCTTTAAATTACTGAAAAATAAAAAATTGTTAAATTTAAAGGATTTATAGGTGGTTGGCATTTCTTCCCAGAATCCCTACTAATATATACACATACTGCCTTAAAACAAAACTTTGCTCCCTTATGCAAAGTTGGGGAGTGTGGGTTTCAATCCACACAGGGGGAAATTGGTCAAGGAATGACGGGCGTTATTTTAAGAGCAAATCCCTAAATGTTAGGAGATATTCTATTGGTGTCCATGGTGATTGCTCCTTATTTAGAGCTTTGCCCCAAAATAGCACCAGTTTCTGCCTAGATAAGTCTCCACCATAATGTTTAACTGTACATTATTACAATTCTAAGAATAATTTTGATACATAAAATTATATAAAACTTTACTATGTGCAAGTTGTAGAATAATTAAAACTTTATAATATATTATATATAGAGCGTGATTTTATAGCAATGAAAAGCAGAACCAGCACTTCTCTAGAAATTACACCAACTTATAAAACATTTGTAAATAACCTATCATGTGTTAAAAGAACACTCAGAGCACCATAACCACTTACCATTAGCTTATTGACAGAAAGTGCTCAGCTGACTCGCTCAGACAATGAGCCAGCCTTGGACAGCAGTTCTTAGCTAACTGGAGGCTACAGAAGTTTTTTGCGGGAGTTCTACCTCCATTAGATGAGGCAACAACGGTGGACTACAGATAAGGATGTCAAACTATTCACAAATTATTTGACAACCTGGGAGGGTGCACGTGCGCTCCTGGCAGCATAATGGCTACAGGACGTTGTAGTGTTTATGGTCCTTGGAATGTTCCTTCAACCTTTCTAAAGACTGCAAATGACATCACAAGCCAGTTTAGTCCAGGCACAGGTAGTGCACATATTGCAAATAACTAGGAGAAAGTCTCTGACTGCCAGGAGCAAAGGACAGCATTTATAATAATGGTGATTAGTACAGAGCTGAAATGGAGGCACCCAGTTGTTGGATAAAGAGATGGAGATTATAGTTGTTAATTTTTCACATCTCAAATACATATTTGTGAAAAGAACACTATAGGGTCAGGAACACAAACCTGTATTCCTGACCCTGTGGTGTTAATACCATCATTTAGATAAACCAGGAATCATCTGAAACTAGAGCAGAAATCTAAGTGTCACTGACTATTTTGCTTATTAAATCTGCAGGCTTTTTCCTCATCTGTTGATTATTTTGCACTGTAACGTATGTTTTTTTATATATACGCCATTATTTTTGGTGATGCAACAGAATTGTAAAATATTGATTTCTTTTAATCAGGTTTTTTTTAATTATGAAACTATGATTAACATATCTAGTTTAATGAACCCGTAGCAGAATATTTTCCAGATTATTTTGGGGAGAGTGTAAAAAGAACTAGAAAAGCTACTATTTCTGAGGAAATTGTGTGAAGTGTTCTTGCCTCCACCAGTAGTACAACTAGGGATCGAGCGATTATCGGTTTTACCGATGTTATCGGCAGATATTCGGTATTTTCGGCAATATCGGTATCGGTCACTAAAGATACCGATATTGATAGAGTGAGAAATGCATTTCAACTTTTATTTATTTATATAGCACTTTTAATTGCAACGTTGTTGCCCAAAGTGCTTCACAGTTACATTAAAACATACATTTATAAAAACATTAGCAGGTGTACAAAAGGCCTTGTCTATGACATCACTTGCTGCTGCAGTCTGGCACAGGTCAGAGTATTTTGGCGGTTGCCATCTTCAAACGGTCGTATTTTAAAAACTATACAGCATACAGTGAAGAGCTTTATATTGTGAGAATCACAAGACCCAGACCTACATTTTGATGCATAGTATGTTTTTGAAATATTTTAAATGAAGGCACAGTCGCAGTTTAGAAATTGCCCTTCAGATTTGAGCTGGCTAGAGTGGAGTTTCAATGAATGTCAATGGACGGCGTGAGTTGCAAACAAATGGTCATATTGTGAAAACTATCAGGACTATGGCTTAGCCGTGGACATGTTTAGTGGCAGCAGGAACAGCTGAACGTTTTGATATAAGATTTGTGTAAGTGGGCTTGAAAATGAGGGAGTGGTGGCAGTATAGAAATCATGTCCTGATTTTTCAGCTTTTGCCAGCTCCCACTCTAGTTTTGAACATTTTGCCATTCATTCCTATGGGACCAATTTCGCCACAAGAATGACGATATTCCATGAACCATTTGGCGAAACGTTCCACAAAGTAATAGCAATCCAATCGCGAACAATCTGCACGTTTCGGTATATTACTGTCTATGTAGTGTAAAAACTATGGGAGGAGTTAGGGTGGTAAATTTGGCTATAATAAGAATAATAATATATATGAGATAACATTAAGTGGTCTTGCTATGCAAGAACACTTAATTATGGCGTATGCGGACCACTCCCACCAGGGTGGTCTAAGGGAATGTGTATGTGAGGGGGGTGGGAGCTTGGATGTATCCATTCCCCTTATCAATGTCCTGACTGATGTCTACACGGCAAGTTAAGCCAGGACCCCCTTACCTTACTTGCACACCTTTGGTAAAAATACTACCCCACCTCCCCTTTTTTATTTGGTACCCTAAAAACCAAAATAGGTATTTGAGCCATATTCAATGCTTTTCCATCTTAGAATTTGACTCTGTGAAAGCAACTTGTTTAGTTCCTCAAAACTCTTTCCAGTGTTCATTAAGGAAGAGTGATCACAGTTTTTCTTGCAAAAATGGAGAATAAGCAAAAAGACTATTCAAAATCAAAAATGTATAAAAAAGGGACACAGGCAACCCGGCCAGGTTCATCTTCATCTAGAACAGTCTAAGCACCCTAAGTTTGAGAAATTAGTATGTTCCAATCATTAAAGAAATGAAAAGTTTCGTAGGTTACTATACTATCAACTTGTGGTTTGCAAGAATTTAGAAAATTCAATGTAATAAATTGAACGCAGATGTTCCTCAAAACACAAATAATAATGGTTTCACTTCATAGCAGCCAAACAGGTCAGCCAACTTCCTTCTTAAAACAAATGCTACAAGTCTCTGGAGCCCTTCAACATACATTAAAAAGAAACACATGTACAACTGTGCACAGACCAGTCTCCAGAACAGGCTCCACAGGTGGGCGAACAGACTGAATACTTTATTAAGCAGAGAATTATTAAAGATTTATAACATAAGCAAGATATTTGAATTTATAGGCTCAAATTGTTTAAACATTTTTTTTTTTCCTCCAGACTAACTTAATCTGCAATTTTTCATGCAGGAAAACAAAAATGTGCAAAAAAACTCAAGGACCTCCAAAAAGGCCCGAGGTGGAATGGCAGACGACTTGGAAAAATGATTCAAAGAGCAGAACTTTGTTCGTCAAAGAAATACCTTGTCAACTCTTGCTATTTCCTGTCTACTACAATAAATAAGGATGAATAATTACAAGAGGATATGATTGAATCGCATTCCAAAATAATAATTTTTTATAAAAAATTTTAAAAAATAAATAAATAAAATAAATAAAGTCAGCAATCTTCAAGATTAGATATTTCAGTTTGTGGTAGGGCCCCCCAGCCACCCCCATTTACCTCTCCTTGCAAATTTGTATGAAAGTTTCTTTAAAAGTATCAACAATCCATATTGTTACCTCCTGTTCCAGTTCTCATGATAGGGTTTATTCACTAAGCAGCTAACCAGATAACTGACCATCAAATTGCAAAGGTTTTAAAGTCTTAAAGACCTCTAGTGGCTGTCTTCCTGAGTTTGGATAGTTTGATAGTGTTGGACCTTATTGAATGTGCAAAAATACCAATATAAGCATGGCCTTATTCTGCAATATCATGATCTTTTGTCGTTAGTTACTACATACGCTGAAACAAAGCCATTTTGACCACAAAATACTAATAAAATCACAAGAGTGACAAAAAAAGTGGGTCTCTAAAATCCCAAATTCTTTGCAGATATAAACTACTATATTTGTGGTATGAAAAAGTATGATTTTCGCTCTGATTAGTTTTATTTTATCTGGCCCTTTCCAACTGGTTTTGACAAACCTCACAATCACCAGCCAGCTAAATGTCTGAGGCTGATGGGATTAGAAAAAATTTAACAAGGAAATACAAGCCGACCTTCCATGCTAAGTTATTATCCACTCTGACCTTGACAAATAAACTGCCTTTCAGAGAGTATTATTGAAGAATTAAACGAAATGCAGAAAAATTAACCAAATTGAAGCATGAAAACCAGGGCAGAAAATCGCCCGAGAGCAATTTAATCAGTGGGTGATGGATTACTTGAAAAGATTAACAGACACATTGCATTTACCCTGATATCAATAAACTGCTAGCATTTAATGCGAAAGCCACAGATAAAATCAGATTGGCAAAGACTGACACTGCAGCTGTTCTTCAGAATAATGTTAAAAAAAATAAAAATAAAAACAAATTTAAAAATAAGCAGTCATAGAAATCTGATCAAGCATGGAATGATTTTCTATTAAATTCCATGAAGACAAAAAGCGTGTGATGCATGCATAAGAGAAGAAAAACGAATTCTCTGTGCCACTCCAAACAATGTCAGCAATTGGAATAATTAGCCTATTTTAGTGGCTTATAGGTCATAGTGACAGATCTGCAATGTATGTTGGAAAACATTGCACAAGAGCACAGGCAGACTGCTATACAGCAATTCAAAGCCCTGTAATGACTTCAGGACAGGAACAAAATAAACTCAGGCATTCACTCCACACTGCCAAGGGTGGGGAAGAAAAACACACAGTTTCCTTTTACTGTAAAACCCAGTTCAAGTATCATATTCAGAGGAATAAATATACCAGACTGGGTGCAGCCAAACGAACAGCACTGTGCTATGGTAACAGCCAAAAAATAAATAAGATAGCAAATGAATGAGGTATACCAATACCACCATTCCCCACAACATAAAACATATTGTATATAAATTGTCATCTTTTCGAGATAATGCAAAAGAACAGTTAAAATCTGTCAGAGTTCTAAAGTTATACAAAGAGAGGGATTTTCTGTCCAATGTCGAACATGGAGGAGCGCAAGAATTTATTTTTTTTTAAAGTACACAGCTGTCCAAGTCATATCACATAGTGGATGAGTTAATTAATGAATTTTTAAAAGTGTGCAAGGCATAACTTTGAAAGCAGGTACCAAACCACGCAGCACCCACAGGGTTAAGTAAGAGCTTTAAACTAGGTTGGAATTCAAAGCTTTTATTTTATTGTCAAAATAAGGTTTTGTCTGTTTCCGAAACAGTTTAAAAATAAGAATTCTACTGAACATAGGACCACAGATCTGGCTTGTCTGGGAGCTGCAAGCCACAAGACATTTAGTTAATCCGTTACAGAATACTGGATTTATAATGTATCTCTGCTGCGTAGATTCTATACTGGCATTTCATGATAGCAGAGGCCCAGGCGTGTGGCAAAATGGCAATGGTCAGTCTAAGCCTTTTAATCAGGGTGGCAATTAGTTTAACCACTTAAGGACCAAACTTCTGGAATAAAAGGGAATCATGACATGTCACACGTCATGTGTCCTTAAGGGGTTAAACTCTTTACTCAAAAAGTACAAGAAAAACAGTTTAACACTTTCGGTACAGAGGTGAAAACAACAACACTACCCAAGTTAACCAACCAGCACGTAAAGGGTTGAATAGGTAAGTGAATAAGATTTTTGCAGCACATGAGAAGTTTGACAACTACACACATTTTGAGTAACCTTACAAGGACAAAACTGTGGGGGGGGGGAGAGAGAATATTTTCAGATTTGCTCTGGTTGTGTGTGCATGCGCCGTTTTCCCCAAGTATACAGGTGTCATTCTATCCTAAATAACACATTTTCTGTCATTTTATTCCTCTTTGAGATATTTTTCTCCTTTTTTCCCCTTGATTAAACCTATCTTTGCAAAATATGAAGATATGTATTCTTAAATACTTTATTTTTTTTAAAAGGAGGATTCTTAATTTGAATTATATTTTTATACATTAAATAAAAAGGCAGAACATTAGATCTGATCACTGGTCTCAAAAACCCCAACACACTGACAGTGGCGAAAAAGTTTGGAGGAAAGAAAAAAGGTGTACTTTTGCATTTTGATTTATTTTTAAGCAGGGAAGTGACAAATTTGTCAAATAAATAAATAAATAAATAAATTTAAAAAAACACAAAAAGAACCAAAGAGAAAATAACGAATGTTTGTCACAAATATGTATACAAAATCGGAAATACACCAGAAAGAAGAAAAATAAATATGTGACTTTGTATACATAACCATTATAAAGTCAGACGTCCTTTCCTATTAGTCCATCAAACAGTTAATTAAGGATTTGATATGAGGAAAGACATGTCACTGCAAGGGATAATTGCATATCAGGTTTTAACCATCTGTTGACTGAACCAACCTGCAAGCCCAGCAAAAGCAGGAGCAGCCATCACAAGAGGTGTCACACATGAAATTAACTGGATCAGCAAAGGACAGGATTCCTGCAGCATTGCACAACTCACTGCCTACTAATGGATGCACACAGCTTTATAACAGCAATTCCCCATTTTACAGCCATGTATCAAGTGTAAAGGAACTGCTTCCAATGTCATAAATATTATTTATCACCTTACCAAATCAAATAAATGAAAATTACCACTTTAGTCAGAACTGAACAAAAATACTATACTCTCATTAACCCCATTTATGCTGGTGACACCTGTAGCCAAAATGGTGGCTTGAAAAAAAAATAATAGCAAATAAAGAGATTGGGGGGGGAGGATTAAAAAAATAGGAGCAAACATAATGCTGCATTAAAATACCAATATCTAGATTAACCCATTGCATGCTGGCAAAAAGCATGACATTAACCATACTGCAGTATCATTAGCTGAAAATGGGATATTAACCAATTAATGCCCATTTAAATCAAATTAAAAACACAATTAACCCCTTCCTGTCTGCTCTGCAAAATTAATTCCATAGTATTGAGCTGTCCACATCTTTGTAGCCTGGCATGCAGGGGGGTTAACCCTTACTAGTGCAATGCTGTGAGGTCCACTACACACCCAATGCTGGCAATGGACAGGTTAACCCCTTGGCTGCTGCAGTGCCTGGCAGTGGTTAACCCCTGAGCTGCTGGTGCTTACCGGCCCCGTCCTCTTCCATGCTGGCTGTCTGCACACAGTGATCCCCGGAGCTGCTCCTGTCTCTCCCTCCACCAACACACACTGACTGAGCAAACACTGCACCACCACCAGCAGCAGCAGCAGCAACTGCGGCCACGCCCCCTGCGTCACCAGCCCCCTGTCACACTACGCGCAGCACGACACGCCCACCCCGGACACGTCACTACGTCACGTGTGTTCTCGGGTATAAAAGGCTGCGAGGGCGGCGGAGAGCAGTTGGGAAGTGGTTGGAGTGAGCCGTGGTTGTTATAGTAACTGCGGGCATGTTTTACTCTGAAATGTAGGCTGTAAATAAAGTGAGCTTTAATCCCTTAAGGACCAAACTTCAGGAAAAAAAGGGAATCATGATATGTCACACATGTCATGTGTCCTTAAGGGGTTAAATTATTAACCGCTGGAGGTATAAGGCAATTGTCCAAAGTCAGAGTTGACAAAAAAAAAACTGATGGTTTCGGAGTTTCCTGATATTAATTTATATATAATGTGAGCAACTACATCCTGGATACCACATCTATAATCAGTGATAACCCAGCCACCAGGATTGACTGATTTCCGATAAATTATCTTAATACTATGCATTAAATTATTATTATTATTATTATGATCTTTATATTGTACGTTAAAATGATATTTATACTGTATGTTAAAATGATCTTTGTACTGTATGTTAACGTGTGAATTGTCATTAATTAAGAGACTTTCAAAGTGTAAGCTAAAATAGCTACTTAAAAAATAAATCTCTAATTCGGCTATGTTTAGTTCAGCTTTATTTTGGTGTAAAACATGAAGTTGATTTTGAATTCCCAACAATTCGCACTTTACTGAATAACCCTTTCATTTTCTATATGATCCTTCTGCCACGCATCTCAACAACTCTGCTGCCAGAGGTGTAACTCCACTTCCGCTGTTTAACTTCTCTGCTGCCGGAGGTCTAACTCCACGTCCGCCGTTTAACTCCTCTGCTGCCGGAGATGTAACTCCACTTCCACCATTTAACTCCTCTGCTGCCGGAGATGTAACTCCACTTCTGCCATTTAACTCCTCTGCTGCCGGAGGTGTAACTCCACTTCTACCGTTTAACTCCTCTGATGCCAGAGGTGTAACTCCTCTTTCGCATTTAACTCCTCTGCTGCCGGAGGTGTAACTCCACTTCCGCTGTTTAACTCCTCTGCAGCTGGAGGTGTAACTCCACTTCCACCGTTTAACTCCTCTGATGCCAGAGGTGTAACTCCTCTTCCGCGTTTAACTCCTCCGCTGCCAGAGGTGTAACTCCACTTCCGCTGTTTAACTCCTCTGCTGCCAGAGGTGTAACTCGACTTACAGCAGCGTCACTGGGGCGCCATTAGCTAATGTGAATTCTGCGCATATTGGATGTCTGAAATCAGCACTCCAAGCATGCTGGTGATAAGCGTCCAATGGCGGCAACAAGCCTTGTCCTCCCCTCAGACATATTTCCCTCCCAGGCTAGAGAATGTGACATCAGCAGAGAAAGATTGGGCTGCAATGAGAACTTGGCCTAGGAGCTAGAATAAAGATAACTATTAGCTTTATCTTTTTATTTTTGGTAGGGCGGACAAGAACAGCAAGGGTTACTCTAACCAAAAACTGAGTTTTATTGGTTGGAGCTGAGAGCTTTAAATTTTGCAGGCAATGGTGCCTTTCAGCCATGACAAATTAGAGGTTCCACGAGGACAGGGACCGAAGACACATGGTTACTTTATTGCAGAGTTGTTGAATAGAATCTTTGTTTTGGGGACGCACATCGCTTGGGCTCCGTGCTACACAGAGAAACTAGCAACGATAAAGTCCCCACAGCGATCTGAAAAAGATGTCAGGGACACCCACACTTACCATGGGTCGAAAGAGCAAGAAGCTCAAGCCGGAAAAACCCAAGATGAGCATGAACATTGCAGATCTTTTGAGACAGGCGCATGGCCCGACCGGACCCAAAATGACCGCCGAATACGACGACTTCTCAGACTCCTCAAGAGACTCACTACTAGACAGGGTGACACCCCTAACACCGCTTCCACATCATGCCCAGGCGGTACCTCGGAGTACTGACACCCAGCCTGTGACCACGGCCACCCTAAAAGAACTTCTTGCAGGCCTCCAAAAAACGCTTCAGGCTGATGTTGCCACATTGCGCTCCGACCTCGCGGGCCTTGTAGGCCGCATAGAATCTGTGGAAATGGCAACCAAGCAGCAATCTACACAGCTCAGTTCATTGGAGGAAGAAGTGAGGTGTCTTAAAAGACAACAACTAACCTTTGAGCAGCACTTTGCCCTCCTGGAAGATGCACGGCGCCGCAACAATATCAAGGTACGAGGAGTACCCAACAAACTACCAGCAGCAAAACTTCCACACATGGTACGGAGATTGCTCTGTGCTTTACTGACCCCCAAACAGGCCAAAAACATCCAAGTAGAGGGGACCTTCCGAAGTCCCGGAGAGCACCAGAGCCTGCCTCAGGAGACCCAGTGGTACGACTTATCTGTACCAGGGACAAGGCGACAGTAATGGCGGCGCTGAGGGGGATATCACCATACCAGTTTGAAAATATGTTGTTGACATTTTACAATGATTTCTCAAGAGAAACACTCAAATGGAGAAACTCCCTGCAACCCTTCACGGCGACACTTAGAAATGGAGATATTCCCTATCAATGGCGTTCACCTTGGAAACTACAGGTCATGCAGGACAATGTTACTCATGAGGTGCGAGATCTGGAGGAGGCGGCCGCACTGCTAGCAACCTTCGGCCTCCCGCCGGACGCTCTGACCAGGCCTGACACGCGAGGCACCTTGAAACCACCACATGCACGAGACATAATTACCACTTTTGTCCCGGCTGACAGACGTGCCACAGCCGCAACTGTGCCTTCCACTACCTTAAACTTATACTTACCTACACTCTCTTATGCCGCCCTCTTGCATGTCTTGCAAACTTCACAGTTTGATAGTTAACTACCTGCTCTTTGCCTAGTTGAGTATATCTAACCTAACGCGGAGCTTTAACCTTATGTCCTTACCGGTCTATACACTGATATTAAGCTTGTATATCTCCTGTGGAACGACCACCTAGTCACGTTAGACTAGCATGCTGTTACTGTGAAACTGCGCAGAGAGCGTATTGCTTTTCTTATATATTCTATACTATTTCACAAAAATGTGCAATGTTGTATGCTATACCACTGTTTCATTATGTTTACTGAACTGCATCAGCTGTTGTGGCAATGCAAGACTTTCTGTTTATCCTTGCACAACCAAAATAAAGAATTATAAAAAATTAAAAAAAAGAATCTTTGTTTTGGACAACTTTAGTGTTTATATGTTCAATGATCACATGATAAGCAACCTTTAATACGTCCTGTGTTATTTTTCTGTGATATTTATTGCTATCAATCTAACGGCAAATCCACAAAAATTAAGCAAAGAATACTTGAGAAAAATAAATATATAATATATTATAACTTTCTATAACTAGCCACTCACATACCTGTTGTTAATATATATTAGTCATAAACAATTAAACAATAGTCTTTAAATAAAATTAGAGAGCTACACAATTAATAAATGTCATGTTGTAACTGAGAGCTTAAAGATGTGCCAGCAGAGCCGTAAATTTGAGACGCACTCCAAGCTTCCACAAGGTGACCTCCAAAGGTTTTAATACATGATGTACATAATTTTAAAAATCAGACATCATACCGTAATTAAAAAAAACTAACTTTTACAGTTCCTGCTCTTGAAGCAAAAACATATGTATTGTATAATAATAATAATAACTTACATAGCATTTTTCTCCACATTGGGCTCAAAGCGCTATATACATTTTACAATCAGGTATTTCGAAATTACAGATTCCATTCGAGTCTGTTTAAAATGTCCAGGGAGGTGGCTAGTTTCATTGTGTTCCATAGAGAGGTAAAGTGGTCCATAGAGATGGGGTGGTATGGCTTAAAACTCGTAAACCACATTTTTGTTAAATTCTTGGCACAGTTAGCTTCCTATGTCCGAGTTAGTTCAGATAGCTTGGTCCCTGATCATGTAGAGCTTTGTGGGATAGCAAACCTATCTTGAACAGTATGTGCCCTTGTATTGGTAGCCAGTGCAAAGTATGGAGTCACATGGCAAAGACGATGGAGTATTTTTTCTGGGAAACCCTAATAGAGTGCATTGCAGTAGTCTAAACGTGATGTCACCAAGGCGTGGATGATCATGAGAAGATCTTATGCAGGTGCTTGATCCTGGCTATATTTTGTGAATGGAAGAATGAGGCTTTTACTGTAGCTGATATATGATGTTTCAGAGAGAATTCGCTGTCAAGCACCACACCATATGGTTGAGGTTGAGTGCATACTGAAGCAATGGATTCTAGAGTGATATTCACATTCATATTGTACCAGAGAGTCTACATCATCACAGCTGTTAACAGATTGCTAAAATCGAGATTAGACCTTGATTTTTGGGGGGGTTGCGTCATTTAGTGGTCAAAAACTAGTCATCTCTACAAGAGCAGGGGTATGTGAGTGGCTAGTCATAGAAAAGTGAATGAAGTAATTGGCAGACCACAGACTAGGTTTATAATTAGGTTTGAGACTTCAACTTTAGTTGTAAATACAAGGTCTGGAGTGTGGCCACTCTTGTGCGTAGCAAAAGGAAAAGCTTGGGAGAAGCCTAGTGACTGCTTTGAAGAAAGTAGGTCTTGTCCAAACTCTGAAGACTTATCATCCACCCATGCATTGGAATTCCCCAGAATAAGCCATCTGTGGTCTTCTAAAACATATGCAGATACCAGCTCTAAATATATTCATGCGTGAACTGATTTCCATCTTCAGGTGGGTGTTAGATCCGGAGAATTTTAAAACAATATCTTCTGCAATTTTGGCAGCCACACATTCAAATGTTGTTGGATTTCCCATTGAAAAAAACATGAGCTTTAAGCTTGTTTTAAAACAAATTGATGCACATCCTCCTTTTCTACATTTTTCCTTGGACAGTGGATTGCTGAATAATTTGGTGTTGTTGCTGCTTCTACAATTGGATCAAGCCAGGGTTCTGTAATACACCCTAGAACTACTGATT